GTATTTGTTGTTTGTGAAGTTTTGGTAGTCCGTATAGTCTGGGTGGTCGTGGTACTGAACATCTGAGTCGATAGTAAATACGTTCAGATATAATGTTAGATTTTCTCATAGAGAAGATCTTGCTGTTAGGTTTGCGTACTAGTGATGGTGTTGGGTCTCGTTTGAGTTGTTCGTACGTTTGTCTGTCGTTAACAAGTGCGTCCATTTTGTTAAAGTAATCATTCCTGTCCATGACCACAGTCACGCGTCCTTTGTCTGCTGGTAAAATGACGATGTTGTTGTCGTGTTTTTAGTCGTTTGAGTGCTTGTTGTTCGTCTTTGTCAAGTTGTTGTGTCACGTATAGAGGACGATTTAAAGTGGAGGCTATCCTGCTTCTGATCTCGTCTTTGGTTGTTCTCTGACAAGTCTCTTTGATACGCTAGGACAGCCTCGACACTTGATACTATCGTCTCAGTCGGGATTTGTCTGGGTGTTATGGAATGTTTTAGTCCGTAAGATAGTAGTCGCGTTTCAGTTTCGTCTAATGAGCGGGAAGAAATATTCCTCACCCAGTTATCGTCATGTTTATGTCTTGCACGTGTTTTAGTTTGTTTTAAACGTTCAAGTTTTGTTGTTGTTTGATTTGGTGTTGTGTCTCTGTCTTGTTTGCTCGTTTCTCTGCAATAGTTTGTATGGTAGAAAGTAAAGTATCACTTACTGTCGTTGGTATGAGTTCCTTTCCAGTTTGTTCAGTCTTTTGTTCTTGTTGTTTGATGTAATAGTTGATTCGTCTGTGACAGTCGTTAATCCGTGCTCGTATCAGTCGTCTGCTGGTGGATTTGAAAATCTGAATAGCCTCTTGTGTGTTCAACGGAGACTTAATTCTAAGTCCGCCGGAACGAGACCAATATCCTTGCAGCGGTGGTTGAACCAGAGTTGTTGGCGTATGCGTCTGACGTTGCTTTGCAAAACGTATGTAGTCGTTAGCAAGTTGTTCGCTCTGTCGTCCAAATGATCGTAATAAAGTAAATGGTTTGAACCCGGGAGTATCGTTATATGTTTGTAAATGATGATCGTCCAGGTTAATAAAGTCCTGAGAAGGACTGTTTTGTTGTTGTTGACTGACAAAAATACTGATTGTCTTTAAAATCTATTGACGTTTTAAATTTGCATGTTTCGGGAATAATTGATCCTGACTAAGGTGTAAACGCAAGTAAAATGAATTTCATGTTTGAAATTTGCAATGTATACTAGCCGTATATATACTAATATACTAATTCGTATGTATTATCGTTTTAATTTTGTGTAATATGTTGCTGAATCATGCAAATTCTAAACGTGGCTTAGATTTTTCAAAGTAAAGAAGTTTCTTTGATACCACCATGTAGAGTATATACAGGTGGTATTAAAGTGGTGGCCAATTACCCTTTAATCGTATCAAAAGCAAAATTTTGTCAGTATTTGAATACCACAGTCAAGGTAATGGTTCACAAGAATAAAATAATCTTAAAGGACAAGACTTCGCTTATTTTCTTTCTAGCGATTCACAAGAACATTTAAATCGGATTATTCTTTTAAATAATCTTTTAATCTTCTTTAATATAATTGTCTTTTTTTATACTGTGCTTTGTCGCATGCCGTGTGAAACAGTTTGTGCGAGGTATCATTTTATTCCTTTGCAATTGGTGTATCCATGTCACGTGTTTCTTATCTTTGATTTATTAACTAGTAGATTTATTCAAACAGATTATTCTTTTCATGTCCTGAGCACAATTCTTATTTGGACATAGATCAAAATTAGATGAGAGGTGATGAACATCTTAGGCTAGAGTGGGTCAACTTGATACATTGAGCAAACGTAGCAAGCATTAATTCAGCTAAATTTTCCGATATTTCAATTATTTTGAGAGTTACAGCAACCATATGCGAGGAATGATTTCTCGGACTTAACATCGACTGAGTTGATAACTTTGCGAAAAGTAATTTCCTTAAAAATGTGTAAAATTTATCTGCATGAGCAGCTGTTGTTTTCACGTTACACAAGATTTGTGCAACGATTGGTATGAAATACTGTGGTAATCCGGGAGGAAATGTTACATCGCATTGTTGAGGCAAAGTTGACTGCACGTCTATTACCTATCGCCTGTGAATGAAACATTGAACAACGATTGAACAATGATGCGTTATGATATTTTAGTGATATACGTTATTCAAATTTTAGAATAAATTAGTAAGCTTTCGTTCCATTGAACTAAAATACACCGAACGCTATCTTAAGCAAATAATTGAAGCCAAATCTTACACCCAGACATGCGAGATTTTACGTCAGACACGCTTGTGTAGTGTTTAGAGTTTCTCAGGAGTGATAATTGATTGACTACACCCGGTGTCTGGGGTAAAATCGCGGCTTCAAAAAATTTACTAGGTTTTGTACAGGGTGGGCAACCTCCAGTCGGCGGGCTAGATTTAAGAAAATGAGGTTATTGGTGGGCTGGATTATTACATGAATAATATTCAATGGTCAGATACAGTCGGTGGGCCAGTCAAAAATCCTTCAGGCGCCGGACCCGTCCGTATGTTGCCCAACCCTGGTTTTGTATTACAGGTAGCGTTACATATACTTTAGTTCAATGCTTCCGTTCTTCAATAGTTTATTTTGTATATTCTTATTATTTCCATATCCTTAAAATGGCTAATTATTAATATGTTTCCTACTTTATTATAGGACATTGCATTATCTGTAATTTAAAATTGTATAAAATTTCAAAAAGTGCAAAGGGCATCAAGAAAGTAATTTACTAAAAATTTTTACTACAAACAAATTTAATTACATTCAGAACTACAAATGATTTTTTATATGCTTTAATTTAAGTACAAATGTATGGCACTAGAAATTGCCTTTAGCGACCCCAAAATTTAGCAATTGTTGCCTACGCTCATAATAACAAGTAAAACAGTTATGGAACCAAAACTAAGAAACAACATTTTTGAGCGATGAAATTCAATTTTTAATAGAAAATACGATTTAGAACACATTCGAAAGTCAAAAAATGCTGTGGTCTTTATTTTGCAACGAAATTTCTTCGACAAATCTCAGTCGCCTCGGGCTCGGTAGCATGCATTAAGTACAATATTTTATAATAAATAAAATGCATTTTTAAATCAGTCCGTTCAAGAAGAGATCCCACAACCAGTATAAGAAACAGACCAGCCTGCTTCTTTAGATCTCGTCTGAACGAGACGAAATCTCGCATTAACCAGCCAAACAGTCATCTTCTAGCATAATCCACTTTCCCATTTTTCATTTCCCCGCAAACTCTTCCATTGAAAAGTAGGAAAATATCGTGCTTAATGGCTCATTCAGCAATATTTCAATATAGATAACTCAAGTGAATCGCTGATGCATAATTTGACTTGGTCAAGCGAGCAAAATGTCTTACTTTGCCAGCCCGTTCATTTGAATTGGCTTTTAAATAATCTCTTAACTTTAAAGTGCCTCGAACACAATTTTTTAGCGATGTAAAAGCATTGCATGATTTCTAGAATACGTGAAAAAGCAGACTTTAAATTTATACGGTAGTTTAATTTTTGGCAATTTAAAAATGGCTAAATTGTCATTTCAATTGTCTAGCTTCTAAAGAAAATAATATGCTTGTGACGTCACGCAAAGTAATCGTGTATTTATCTTAAATAAATGGAATATGTAAAAGGACGGAAAAAAATTGTATTGGAGACACTTTAAGTATAAGCAATTCTTTTTTAATGCAGCTTTAGAGATTTATTTCTGTAAATTAATTCTGAAAAGTTCCCACACACGATCACACATTGTTCGCCAAATTTTTTCATGAGAATGCATCAAATTTCCATTTTGCTCCTCTCGTCATTTTCACATGCACTCCTGTTTTGTGAAACATTCAAAGATAATTTAAATTAGGTTTACTGGTTTGGGACATTGATTGTGTGGTTTTATGAGCCATGGAAAGGCTATTCCTAATGACCTTACATACGTCATACTTTCACAAAACAAAATTATTTTGAACAATTATTTGGTGTATGAGAAGTTTATGTCTTTATAAAGCGTTTTACTCAAATCACTTTGAGCTGTTATTGACTTATGACACACGAATGTATCAATGGTATAAGTTATTTCATTCTGATGTATAGCTTAAGCTTTTCATAACATTCTTACGTATAGCATTTTATGTATAGCATTCTTATGTATAGTTTTAATTTAAACATGATTTGTGTGAGTGGAAAGTGTACACCAATAAATATAATATATTCATGAAACACGAATACATTCAATAATGCTTTAGTGATTAGTATGTCATGTTGATATAGTTCAGCAGTAAATTGTTGCGCCAAGCATGTGTATTCTTTGTGAAGTTGTAGTTGCATGATTGTCACTGAAAATTTCAGTTCCGTTTGTTGAACTTATAGGGTTATTTTGTCAACGCAATAATTCGTGCTATTAATGACGTAATTCATTTTGCATGTCATCAAAGTATTATATTTTGTATGCAAGCAAAACAATTATTCTGCCTACTTTGAAATTGAGTCTTTGTGGTGTCGTTTGCATTGGTGAACTTCATGCTCTTTCGATGTTTGTAGGCACAAACCATACCCAACAGCACGATAATGATGACAACTGACAATAAACTCGATAATGACAGCCTTACGTCCGAGAATGCAGAATTTTCGTCGAATTTTTCGGCACTAAGGATATGGGAACTGAGTGGGACAAAACCGATGAAGTAGTAAACTCTTTATGGTGGTTTGTGTGCTCGTTTGGGAAAACATGATAAATATTCAGGTAACGTTAGATATTATCATACCTAATCTGATAAAATTCGATTTGACACGTCCCCTGGTGTGTAAGTTCTTTACATGTAAATAGTATATAAAGCCGTCGCTATGGAGGGAACTGAGGAGCATATGCCTCTAAGCTCCCATTGAAGTGCAGACAGCCTGGCGATTCTGTATGAATCGATCTTGATGTTTGAGTTGAGGTTCTTATTTTCTTTCAAAGCCACACAAAAAGTAATAGCATTTTCGACGATTAGCTGCGATAGTCAGACTGGTTCTCGTATTGTCAAGAATATGCTCTGATTTGCCGTTCCTTCGCATCTGTCTACTATCATATCGTCTCCTAGAGGAACTAATGATTCGCCCTCATACGGTGGAATATTCAGAAGTGAAATGATATTCACTTGAGTCGCTGAACTGACATAGCATGTTTATCACATCACTCACTGACGTCATTGTTTGTGTCTAGGTCTGTGCCAAGTTCTTTAGGCGACGTAGTATTATTATTCCTGCCCAATATCGGACTATTTTAGATCGTAAAATCGTCGCTATCAATGCTTAAATTATATTTTATCGTTTGAATCGGCGTAACAGGGCCAAATTTGTGTTCTCCTTGCACGAAAGCATGATGTGTAGCTAATGATAATTTTGTTTCGTAAGCACTTTAATTAAAGGAATTTACGAACAAATGTGAATAGTTCTGCTTACACTTTATAAAAATTTTCGCGTGCGTGTTCGATTGCGGCATGATGAAATTATTTTAAATTTTATAAATTTAAAGTTTTCTATCATTACCTTGCTTCACTATCAAGCATTATCTTTTAAATGCTATGAAGGATAACCCAGCTTTAAATTGCGATAAAGTTGTACAATTGTTATATTTCATTCGTCTCCAACCGTGTGCGGAAGTATTAACAATAAACGAGAGACATTATTATAATAAAGATGATAATAACAAAGGTAATAACAAAACTAACCACAATAATCCTCGCATCGTTTACTGTCTAACCTTGATCTTGGCATCGTAAAGGACACGGTTGACATATTAAATCATCTTCGCTAAAATAGCTGCTTGGGTATTGCCCCTTTGGGCAACGTTTTTGACTCCACTATAATTGCGATAAAACATAAACCACACAAACTCCCGAACCACTGTAATATATGCATGGTATAAGATAATAAAAAATACTCCAGTATAGTTTAAATTTCAAAGCAAAATGTTCTTATTATGCTCCGACAACTATTCAGTGAACGTTTGGCGTGTTTTGGTGGACAAAAATGTCTGACGCAATTCCAATGACGTCACCTTGATGGTTTTAGCAAATCATATTTTTGTGTTTTTATTAGCTCATTTGACTAAGTTGATTGCATGCCAATTTTTTAGTGAACCATAACAGCATAGAAAGATCTAGAAAATATTCTTCAAATTTCACATGCTATCTAAACCACGCGATTTTACCGACTAAGATTAGATTATTTGACTTAGCTATAAGTTGATCCCAGAGCAAAACATTGATAATCACATTCTAGTACATTAGATACTTAATTTTTATTTCTGAAGGTGTCCGTGTTGGTTTCAAGCGCTTTCTACAGTTTCGTGAAAGAAATCGTACGTTAGAGACAAAACAATGGTTAACGATTTATTTTTTTGACTTTATGAATTAATTGCTTGCAATAAATAAAGCATTAGACGTTATATAATTAGCTGTTTGTCACACGAGTCTTCTTTCATGCATTTCTTGAATATTTGTCTGCCGCTGTGTCTGTTCATGCGAAAGACATTAACATATCCGTACACGAGTATTGACTACCAGGAAGTTATGTACGCCTGTCTTGTTAGTTTGTTTTTCTTTATCTTTCAGTTAATAAGTGTCAAGTGTAAGTCAAGTCGCTTCCTCCTGTTCAACTTTCATATGCTCGATTGTTTTATCTATTAACAAAAGTATACTCCAGCAAGACGAAGGAGATTGTTATTGTATCTCTGTGTCTGTGTCTGTCTGTTCTCTTTGACGATTGATTTCTATTTGTTTACAGAAAATCCTGTGAAATTGATACTTGAGTATATTGTGCATAATACTCCAATATCTAGACTTGACATTTGACATTTTGAGCGTTTATCGGTGGCAAAGCAATCGAACTTTTGACACGAAGTTTATGTCAATACGTCGCGTGGGCTGATGCCTTAAGTGTCGTGTTATTTATCGCAATAAAAAATACTTCTGTCACGCACATCTTACTGTTGATTACCCATAGTGGCACGCGCAATCTTTTCTACTGTCTGACACGTGCCAATTACATGTGATCGTCCAGATTCAGGAATTCGAACTGACAAAGGACGACAACCGACATCATTTATATAGATTTGATACAAAAATTGTCAGCAAAATGGCTTTGACTAAGCTAAAATATTTACCCTGAAACGTGTGATGTCGGCTTAAATGGCCGCTAAAACTTGTATTGACTAATATTGCCTTTGCTTTACAAAATTATTTTGATTTATTCGAGTTTTCATAAGGAAATACTCTAAGATTTCTCTGGTATTTCAAGAAAGAGCTGTTTGACGATAGAAGAATTAAAAATTTAACTGGTTTTAATCTATAATCGACGTTGAAATGTGTTTTTTCGTCCTATTGGCCGTAGGATGAGCATCGAAAATATGCTCAGAAAACGGATTCCGTTGCACCCCTCTCGAGGCTACGTAAATTTTACATGAATATTTAGATAATAGTAACTTCCTAAACCAGAAGCCGTTGTCTCCCAAGCGAAACAGGTGCACAATTGAGAGAATACTTCCTTCAAACTTTGCGATTTACGCGCTTCGATAAATTTGAGCTGCCATTATTTTGTGCTACTACGCATGCGCAACTTGCGAAACTCTTTCTGCGCATGCTCACTTTAATCATTTTGCAAGTGGAAACATTCTTGTCATAAAAAAACTATGATAGAGAAAGTTATACTCGAATTGGATTAGAGTTGGGCATTTAGATGATGTTATGTAGAAACTTGCTGAGTTACATCCCAAAGGATGGAAAATTTCTTGAGTGTAGGTCAAAATGAGCAAAACTTAAGGGTCAACAAGCTTAAATACATTAGCAGTCGTACGAAAACATCAATAAGTTCATACAAAGAACCTTTTGAGTATTGACTTGGTATTATCATGAAATTAGAACTACTTCCATCTATCCCAACTGCGTGTTAGTAATTTGTTATTCAGGTGTGTGCATGTAGATTGCACAAAATGATGGCAGCTTGAATTATCGAAGTGCGTAAATCGCAAAGTTTGAAGAAAGGTTTCTCTTAATTGAGCACCTGTTTTGCTTCGGGAGCAACTCTGTAAAATACCCACAATTTGTGGTAATTTTACCCATGTCAATGGGGTAAATGAGTTCTAATAATTACCATTTTAAGGGTAATTCCAAATGAAGGAATAATAATTTACAAATATTATAGAGTAATGAAAACGACTTAAATAATTGCCCTGTTTTGGTGTCCTAGGGTAGTATCACCAAAAAGTGGACAATGCACCAAGCTGGGGTAAATCAAATTAGTGGGTAAAAATCGTCTCTACCCATAAAAGGCTGTATAGACAGATATCATTGTCTATAGTCTTAATTAAGCAATTCCCTACCTTTATAAGAGCGAGCTTAAATGTTTATATAGTTATTAATATTATTATATAGTTAAATTTTAGAATGAAATACTAAATGTTAATTATCTTTGTGTAATCTGGAATAGAAACATGGGCTCTATTGATTTTGACAACTAGAGTAAGGCATTCATTGCAACTTTTCCCCTTAACAAATTGGTTGAACACAACTACAAAAACTATCCAAGGCCACAGCAATGTTTATGAAATGTTGATATGGAATGCTAGCACAAATTAGTTATTTTTAATTTTATCATTGCATTTCTTGGATTTAGGTACAGGTTCTAACTGATTTGGGTGCAACATGAGAAATGTTATGATAAACAATTTGGTAAAGGGAAAGTAGAAAACATCCCAACAATGAACTAAGTTGAGAAGTTAAATTTCATACTGACACAATAAAGAGTAGTTTGAACTATCCGTATGTATTTTAACTTAATTGAATTTATTTGCATTGTGGCTGTTAAATAATTACAGCATTCAAAATTTTCTATCATTAATGATCGCTACGACCCTACACCAATTTATTTTGGTTTTGCTCGTGTTCTTCGAAGTGAAGGGACAAGAATGGTTTTAGTTCTTTGAAGTTCTTTAACTTTAGGGGAAAAATTTCTGTTGCAATTTTTATTAATAACTATATTGGTTACACACATGGTTATAATATGTGAAGAGGACTTCGTGAAGTTCTAAGCTGTAATCTCTTTCAGCCTCTTTAGCCTTAAAAAGAAATGGAAACAAAAATAACCCAAATGTGAATTAAGCAACGAGAATATTTTGCAATTGCCAGGTACATCATACTGAATAGAAGAGCGAAACCGATTGTTAACATGGCATTGGGATACTCCTTTCCTGTTGTTATCTTTCCCTCGTTGATATAATTGATCTGAACGATTTCATAGGATCGATGTCATACGATTGCCACGATGAATTCCGTCTTGTTCTCTAGCAACTTAGAAATATATGCTTTGAAGCTTTGAATATATGCCTTGAAATATATGACATTAGAAGCTTTCAGTTTCCAATGTGCGCAAAAAAATGCGCATGTACATAGTGACGCTGTATCTTACAATTTGAGTATATATATCAACATTGAAAGGTTACGTACACAGAGTGTTTATATATCGTGCTGAGCAAGTGATGAAAAGCATACTGAGCAACTATATTACGCATGATCAAGCAGCCAAACTTACTAATATTATCATATGTCAGCTGCATTAGCACCATATGCCTTGAATGATAGCTTAAGTCCGAATTCTAAGTGCTCACGCTTACTCAATGCGACATAAAATTACGCTCTCTATAATGAATGGCAAAGGCCACTTCTCCAGCTGGAGGGAAATTGCGGTCTTCGAATAATTATGAAGTGATTTTAAAGCCCCACTTATGAAGTGAGTGTGATTTTGAGTAAGCTTTTACAATACGGGTGTAATACTCTGAGAAAATGATTCTGGCTCATTTCTGAGTGTATATCAAAGCCTAAACAAAAATAATCGTCTTGCCAGAAACATATACATTAAACAGATTAAAAGATTAAACAGCAATTATTGCATTATTCCTTCATCTACTTTTTGCGTCGTTCCACCCCATTTATAGAATCACACCTGGTTTGTAAAACATTTGGTAAAAATTTGAATAAAAGATATATGACTTCTTTTATTACATATGTGGAATTTGAATGAGCACTTGCAACTTTTGAATATCCACTTCATATTGTTATTGATGTATGACACGTGAGCGTGTTGTCAGTATGAGTTATAAGCTAGCAGTGACGGAGATTGTGGCAGCACGATGGTAGGCATATAGTGATGGAATGGATGGCAACACTATAGGAAAGGATTTTTGAAGAAAAGGAAGAAAAGGAAATGGAAAGAAAAAGAAGGAAAAAATCATGAAATTAAAAAAGATCCAAAAAGAAAGATGATGGCTAGGCAATGCTAATAAGAAAAAGTGTAGCATCATGCACTTATAACAGTCCATGCAGTCAGTACACGTATGTCCGAGCTTTCATGAAGTTCCTTGTTCCTCCAGTATGACTGTGCAAAATTTTGTGCAATTGTTGCTTACAATTGATGCACAAGATATCTCAAAATCTAAAACAATAAAGGATGAACAGCCTCAGGGAAATATTCGACAAAAAATTCCAGGAAATTTGTCTACATGTGCAGTGGTTGTTGTTAAGTGACCTCAGAAGTTATGTAAATCTCTCTTATAGAAATCAAAATCACCCAATTCAAGTGAAAATGTAATGCCATGAGTTTGAACAAAAATATTATTTACAACCATGTTCTACGCTACCTCCAAGGGCAAATATTGAGGAATTTTAATTTATGTAAAAACTTCAAAGATCATTAGCCGTTATAGAAAAATATTTATTAAAACTTTTGCAGCAAAATACAGTAGATTTATAAGTCTAATCAGGTTAACTCTGAAATGTGGAAACGTCCTTGTGTAAAGTTAGTGGTATGAGCACCTTGACTTACTGCGAAGGAAACGACTGCAAAATGGGCATGTTATGATGTATATAGTAAATATATTTGTAATAATTCATAATCATAAATAAAATGCACCTTCAGGTACAGACCACGTTCATATGACCCAGGCGGGCAGTTCATTCGAGACAAGATCCCAAAACCAGTTTGAGAAACGCAGACCAGCCCGTTTCTTTGACCTCGTCTGAACAAGACAAAATCTTGCATTAACCAGGCAAACAGTCTCCCAGCTAGCTCAGGTCGTATATTTCGTCGTATACCGATGCTCAGGGAAACTTGGTCTGGTTAAGCAAGTTATACGTCTTACCTTGTCTGCCTGTTCATATGAACTTTCATTAAATCAAGCTCGATAGTAATGATCATGCATACGCAATACTGTTTCTATAATATACCGCTCATAGGTTTTTCTATGATAACAATAAAGCTGCCCAAAATGTTCAGAAGGAAGATTGATCATAGTTTGCCAAGTTTCCTCGTGAATGCATCATTTCTTCACTTCCTGTTTGTGGTACCACCGCTCTTTGGAAGATTGTCCTGTTTTGTAAATCATTTGATACAAATTTCAACAAAGATAAATGGCTTGTTTTATCAGATGTGCTGTTTTATGAGCACTTGCCATTTTCGATTATTATAATTAAACACTATTATTAATAGATGTCATCTGAATGTATCAACAGTATGAGTTATATTACATGTTTGTAAATGTAGATCGTCCTGAAGATGACTACCGCTAAGGTTGTCGAAACGTCAGTTGACAACAACAAAAACAGTCCTTCTCAGGACTATAGCAACCTGGACGATCCACATTTACAAACATGTAACGATACTCCGGTTCAAACCATTTACTTTATGAGATATATTCTACCATATATAGTTGAACTATAGTAGAATTAGTCTTTGAAGCATGTATGTATACTTTATTATTGTTGCATGAAACTTCAATTCTACTGTATCAGGTAATTTTCTCTCCTTGTATTTATATTTATAACCATCTGTTTAAAACAATAATTCTGCCTACCTTGGAATTGGAGTGATAGTGCGATTATACGCATTTACGGTCTTTACATTTTGTTTATGTTTGTAGATACAACCCAACACAAACATCACGATAATGATGGCCAAAAGGACAAAAACCGCGATAAGGACGACCTTTGTAGTATCTGAGGTTGCAGGATGATTCATTTGCAGCAATAGGTCAGTTGAAGACAAGGACAATTCATTCGTTGGGCTGCTCGTCAGGTCTGTTTGAAATGTTATCCAAGACTTGGAAACTTGAGAGACGGAAGTCGTAATGTTGCTTTGTTTTCTTGAGGAAGATGAACTGGAATGTGTGCTTTTGCTGGCCGTCAGAGTAGACAAAATTTCGACGCTGCGGAGGGAATACATTATACTTGATAAATGTTCAGGTAACATTATATTTTATGGTGTTTGTGATCTGATCGAACTACATCCAACCCGTATCATGTGGTAAAAGCCCCTGTTACGCAACTGATGCTATTTCCTCCTGCTATGGCAATACTCACTATGAAAACAATACACGTGTAGAGACATCAATAATGCTATATGTTCGGAAATTTTACGACCTTCCAAAGAATAATGTAATTAATCGAGAAATTTTATCACATTTTTTCTGTCTTAAATGCGTTCGGCGCATGCAAAATGCGACGTTTGAAACTTGCCTTATACAGCTTAACCGTTTAACTTTTTCATTTACAGCATTATACAGCTTAATATTTAACTTAGTTCCCTAAAGCAGCAAGATTTTTATTGGCTTATTAAAACTAAGTGCAATTTCTAAAGCAAATAAGTCATGTCGATGCAAACACTGTTGAGTGGAATGTGTTGTTGAATAGAGTACGGAAATCCGATTTCCTGTTACAATAGGGGAAATCCCTCGTTGTAGAATATGGCCGGAATTTGTGGGATTTCAGCTATGAATTTTAAAATATTTGAATAACAACAATGCTTACTCAACATTATAACTATTTAGTTGTCTTTGTTGTATAGTATATTTGTTGACTTTAGTTTTATGATAGATAGATGATTTACTTACTGCATGAAAGTTTACATTTCTCTTCGTCCGAGCCCTGATATTTACAATCGTTCAATCTCTTCGACATGGATGACATGGTCCTTCAAGAAATCCAACGCGATACTTGCCTGGCTCGCAATCTTTTGACCCATCCAGATGCGTGAAAAGACGCCATAATATTAACGAAATCATGGCTTGTTGAACATCCATGACATCGGATTGTTGTTGAAGTTGACCTTCGACGAACGAGAATGGCAACAATGTGTTAGTTCAAATAATGTCCCCAAGTCATAGTCACATGACTAATGACTCGCTGTGATATGACGTAATACCTGGGAATAGTTACACGCGACCAGTCCTGTGGTTAACCACAGGCAGTCTGCGTAAAGTAAAATAAATGTTTAGGTAAAGCAGTTTCGTGACGATTGAAAACGGTTAATTTTTCTTACTTTTTTGTTATTCACAACAGCTTATTTTGAGTATATTTAAACTGGAAAATACTTTTAAAAGCTGTTGGAAAGGCTAAATTTCATTCTTGGTAATTCATGAAGTTAGTCCCAACGATGACATTGGGAGTAACTCGTGACTTCTACACGTGAATATCCCATGTTGCGAAAAAGTTGTATGGACAAACACAAAAGTTAAACAAAACTGTAAGCAAGCACAAAAGCAATCATTGTATCATTGTATAAACAAGTGCAAGATTTTGAAATAAACTAATGTCAAATCTTAAAGCAATATCATTTAGTGTTAAGATTAGATCAAAAAATTCAACATAACGCCTATTAAAAACGAAAGCAATTTGTTCTAATTTGTTGTAATTTTTATCTGGCTTGTGGTTTTGTTGCTATTGTTAATATTGGCTATTTTAGTACTTCTCCAAGTTGGTAAAGTTTACAGTTAAAAGTAGGTTTGCAGTTGTGTCATTTTTCATATCGTTTCAGGGTTCGTAGCTGCTTAAAATTTCTTTGAAATTAAAATTCAATTTTAAGGGCATTGAAAACTAAAACTAAAAATTAAATAAAGTGCTCGAAATGTGCTTAGAATTGTGAAAGACTCGCTTAAATGTTTTGCTCATTGCAAATATGGTGGCTACAAACCATCCAAATATCTAGGACGAAATTAAGAAAAAAAAGTCTTTTAATTAAACTATATGACATCTCAGCAGTGACAAAATAAAATAAAATACATCTAATGTATAAATATATTATAGTGTTTTTCAAACAAATGACATGCATGCATTACATAATTTCATTGCTCCATCTACATAGGTGACAGGTAAACTCTCTCTGATTGGCTGCTGAGAAAGAAGTGTTTCTATATTAATATTTCTTAAATGTCAAGAAAAATACAAAATCACTAAAAGGTATGAGCATCAAAAGTTATGCAGAATTTCTTTTGAACTGTTTTGGATTGTAGGTTGAGATATTATTCAATAAATTTACACTCCTAAATTCAACATAAGGCACATATACCATAAATGTCCCAGCAGATCCAGTTTCGACATGTCACCTATGCATAATTTGCCTTTGGCAATAGATAATAGATAATTATATCAAAATTTTAATACAAAATATAACATAATTTTTTTTTGGTGATCACACAAGAAGGCGTACCATGAATAATTGCCTATTTTCGTCAAGACTACAGAATCTCACGTGTATAGCTGAGATAATAAAGTAAAATAATTTTAAAAGTTCTTATTTAGACTTTGGTTGAAAGCAAATCAACTAAACAGGTATCGGGCCCTGCTCCTTAAACAGGTTTTGAAAAGCAAATCTATTATTCAAAAAGAGTGAAAAAAGAGAGCATGAATATACTAAATATTAAATAGTGAATTCTGTGTTACACTGAGAGAATGTATTCAAGAGGTTTTTCGACATATGATTATGAAGCTCATTTGGCACCGAAAGTAACTTTAAATGGATTTTTAGGGCAAGTTCCATGTCACGCAACAATTATATATAGTACGACTTGTCCATGTGATCTTTAAGTAATGAAAAAGACAATATAATGTGTATATACGCTAATATTTCAGCAACTGTTATTTTACTCAAATATCAAAATTCTAACACAAAAAATAAAATTTCTCAATTCAAAACAAAGATCATTCATAAATGTATCCGAACTAATTGAACTACTATCAAAACTGTGATATCTTTTTTTGTTTTTACGATTTTTGTAATATTTTTATAGAAATTTTCGTCTTAACGTGTTTCTATTTTTATAATCATGAAATAGACGATGTAGCCTAAAATAACGGATGTAATGTATAGACGCTAATACTTCAAAAACCCTAATTAGATCAGCTACTTTAATGTCAAAAATTCAAACAAAGTACGAAATTTAACAAATTAATAGAAAATTTTAAAAATAAACTAACAAATTCGATAATCCATGCACGTTTTTGCTTTTGCGATTTTTATATTATTCTTGATGAAATTTTTTCAACTTGTCGATAATTAACGAAGTTTCAGACCATCAGGGCTCGTGATGTACAAATGCTGTATTACTTAATTGGTTGTTCTTGTCCGACAAAAAATGAAAAAATTCAAATACACAAATGGTATCTATGTCTTAATAAACTTCTCATTGAAACTTAAATAATTGTTTATGATATTTACGAGTCTTGAGATCCAGTTAACTTCAAAGTGATCCTTCAAAGAATTTATTTCTCAGATTTTCATGTATGTCCATGACATCAGATGTGGTTGTTTCTGGCAAAGTAACTTGATTTCCATCACTGTAACAAGATATTAATTTACTTTTCGTAGTATGTGAACATGCCCACAATGTAAACATGCAAAAGCTTAGAGTGCCTTCTTGGGCACTGGTAAAAAATACTTTAATTGAATGCATGCTTCATTTTCTTTCGATTTACTATTGCTAAAATTTTCGCTGCTTAGTAGTCCAGTTCATAAAGGACTTTTCCAAATACCTTCTGCCTTTGTGCATACAGTTTAGATGATACTTTTATCTCAACATGAACTGGAGTGGCTTTGGTTTACTCGAGCTATTTGCTATAGCTTGATAACAGTAAAATATAATGACATTATTGTAGTAGCATAGCGTGGTATTATAGCATCAACATTAAAATTAGCATTGGCATTAGTATTAACAATTGCAATAATATTAGTATGAGCATCAGCATTATTAACATTTGTATTAGCATTAGCATTGACATCAGCATTCACATTAGCAATAGCATTTAGTGTTGACATTACTAAAGTAAATGGTTTGAACTCGGGATATCGTTACATGTTTGTATGATCGTCCAGGTTAATAAAGTCCTGAGAAGGACTGTTTTGTTGTTGTTGACTGACGTTTCGACAACCTTAGCGGTAGTCGTCTTCATCATTTGAATCTGAAGATGACTACCGCTAAGTTTGTCGAAACGTCAGTCAACAACAACAAAAACAGTCCTTCTCAGGACTTTATTAACCTGGACGATCATTATTTACAAACATGTATTGACATTACTGTCAACGTTTGCATTAGCTTTTTACAATGAGCATAAATGTTTGCATTGGTAGTCTGCATCAGAGCCCTCTATAAATAAGAGTTGGGACAAACGGTCTGGGGCGAGCGCGGAGCCGCCATTTTGGTTCCTACTTGCAAAGTGAAACTATAATAATACTATTGGAAATTGGGTTTATATGCAAAAGAAGAAGGCAATTTAAGCTTATTCCATGGTAGTATCAAATATATTAGGAATGATAGGAAGCTCTTTGCGTTTTTTTAGCGATTTGCGGCTGACCTGATTTAATTTCATTAGTTTGAGCTTCGTTTGCGGTTTACTAGTTCGTACTTCAAATTGATCGTGACCCATTGTAAGAAGTATTTTTCGTACGTGAACGTGTTTTATCGGCTTATGTTCCGACTCTGTAACAAGTTTTCAAGATCTTTAAGCTTGGTGGCAAGCGGCAATGTTATCCTGGCATCAGTGTTATCAAATAGTTGGACAATACTTTGTTCAAAACTTCGTATGATAGTAATCACGAAGTTTTGGTCCGGAAAGATTTGTGTTCAAGATTTGTAACAATTTAATGGTAGTGAGTGGCTTATGCCCCACCCCCCAATTTAATCCAAGCATGAAAACTATTGAAACTGCATCAGCACGAACTTTGCAATGTTATTAGGCCCAAAAATGTTTCTCTACTTGAGTCAGTTAATTGAACCTTATATCAAAAGCAGTTCAGCACAACAATCACCATACGCAATCAAATTTCGTAAGTTCGACGTAAAGGCATTTCTTTCATTTTTTTCGTAATCCTCGATTCTTGCGATATGTAATGACATTTAGTAGCCGTCAACAATCAGTTATTACACACTTATCCATAAAAAAACGAAATATTATCTCAAAATACTGTATTACTAGAAGCAATTGCTATATAAACACTAGCTCAAAATTTCAAAACTAGGAACCAAAATGGCGGAAATTGATCAGGTGATCAATATTGCCCAATCAACGTAAGCTAAACGGATAACAATAGATGTCCCAACTCTTTCTTATAGAGGGCTCTGGTCTGTATTTTTCTCTCGCACTCTTTTGCTTGTCTGAGAGTTAAAACTAAAACTTTTCTTAACACAAAATATTCACAAAAGTTTGTTGTAGTTTACCTCGACTTTTAGCTACAGAAAAATTAAATGCTGTTGCTCGTAAAATCGTGCATGAGAAGTGGAAGCTAAGTCTCCAAAATCAAAAATTCTACTTAATAAACCCGTAATTTATAGAGAAATGCTCTGGCTTACCTGCTTGAAATCATCGAGATATTTTGCTCTGGTTCATTTATCTGTTCGTCTTTTCCACGTTTACAAACGAACAACTTTCGTATAACTCCTAAAGCTACGACTACAATTACAAGCAAAATAGCAAGTGTAAGAGGTATCCACGATTTTTTCCAAAAACCTCTTCGACTCAAACTTTCTGTCACCGTCCGCTGTGGTGTGGAAAAAGCTAACGTCCTGTTACGCATCTCACTGGAGGTGTTTCCGGGTAACTGTTCTTTTATTTCATTCCTGATCTTATGGATTGGGCTGGTTGCACTATTGAAGCCAATCGTTGTTGTCGGGTTTATTCTGCTAGTTGATTTCAAATCAATAGCGGTCGTGGAAAAATTTTTGGTGGTCGTTGACGGAAATATACTGGTCAGAGGAATTTTCTCTAAAAGTAGTTAAGGTGTATATAGAAAATGGTCAAGAAACTTACTTTACACTACCGACATTGAATAATTTACCCGCTATACTGCGTCATCAAAACATTCATTCATTTTTACGCTTTGCATTTCCGGCAAATGGTGAAAATAATGATGAAAACCGGCAAAGTACACAGTTTTCCAACTAAAACAATATTAGAACACTTTTGTGTTTTATATTAATTGAGGTAGGTACGGTTTCTTGTAAACATCGCAATTTGTAGAGAATGTAAAAGAATCTATGATGTCACAATTTGTTGAGAATGTAAAAAGTCTATGATGTCTGTTAAAGTTACACCAGAATTTGAAAAAAAAAACAGCTTTCTGGAAAAGATTTACGTCAGGTTTTTAAAGTTTTTTAAAATTTGCAAAAATTAATTAATCGTCAATTAACTGTCATCTTTCCATAGAATGGAAACTTGGACAGGTAAATCCTTAGTCATAATTCGTGTTTATAAAGAAACCTAAGACTGAAGTTGATATCAATTTCATGAATGATTTCTCTGATTTGCTCTGCATGAAAAATATGTTGTCTATCTCAAAATCAATGTCGTGCAGTCATCAAGCAGTAATTAAATCGTTGTTTTGTATATTTGCTTCCGCTAATATGATGTTGCCTATGCTGTGGAAAAGATTTTTGACAACATTTGTATATGGTGCGCTAGTAAACCCGCCATCAAAAACAAGAATATATTCCAAAAAATATTCACAGCTGATATTTCATTAAAAGAATTAAAACCAACATCCAAAAATTGCTAACAAAATATTATTTCAAGTATTTCGGTCATTCCCCAGCTTGTTTTGGGGAAGTCCCTTGTCCTTCGCATTTTATAAATGTCGAAAACTGCTTTTTCTGTCGTTTAAAATTGGACTGGAGACTAAGCAAGCATTTAAAATGTGAAAAATTTGGATTGAGAGCAGATTCTGACTTTGACGTGTTAAATTTTTGTCCTTCATACAGAAATCAATAGAGCATATGCTATTGATCCTCATGTTAAAAAAATATCAATTGCGTTCAATTTTCACTTACTGCACGATTTAGAGCATCTATCTGCATCTCGTCCTTGATTCTCGCAACTCTTTAATTTCTTCGGACATTTATGGCAAGTCCAATGTAAGAAAGCGCTGAGATATTCGCCTGGATTACAGTCATTGAGCAACCCCACGGCTACGTGGACACTTGACATAAACAGTATAGTTTTGACAGGCACTTGGCGCATATTAGTTTTTGATGTACTACGTGATAACGCCAAAATTCTAGTGGTAAGTTTTAAAAAGGAGAAACGTTCACTCGTCCAAAACTACGAGCGCTTTCCAGACGTTTGTTTACCAACTATATTCACGTAATTACTTATTTCCGTTACACATATTAACATGCAATATCACTTACAATATACATTCACAACTTATTGAGATCTTAGTTAACCATTATATCAAATTGTATATTTTAAGTGGACAAAATTTTTTGGTGAAATCATATCGCGAACGTTTGGAAGAACGTTATTTACTCTAATTACAGTATTAAGTATTAAGTAATCTACATGTTTATTATACCCCTCATTATCGGTCAAAATACACTAAAACTTATCGAGGTCTAGTAAATAGCTAATGATTAATTCGTTTCTTTACGAAAAAAGTTAAATTTAAATCGGTCTGAAACTGAAGGAAAGAAGCTCTAATTATCTGCATAAAGCAATTTTTGACTTAGAAAAGTGTAGCCAACATAGTTACAACAACTAGGGAGCTCAGAAAAAACATAATGTGATTACAAAAGACATTAGACATTAATAAATCTCGTATTATTGTGTTAGCGGATAAGCTGCTCCTACACATACAGGTATCAGCTTAGCAAAGGAAAATCTTGTGAACCAGTTATAGTTTGGAAAATGATGCAGCCTGTAATCATGTTGTTAATCGAAACAATTTCAAACAGTTAAAACTCAATCGGTACAACAAACACTCAGAGGCTTGCAGAATCAGATGTACGTCCAAACTGTTTACAGTCAGTGGATTGGCTTGAATATCTTCGTCAATAATATACACTTCATATGGCATTTAAAAAGAAAGGGAAAGTACTCTCCAGAAACTGCTCTCAATCTACATGTGATTGCAGAAGCTTACTTTTAATCTAATTATATGTATTTCAAAGTGCCGTGTTCTGAATTTATGGCATAAACAAGTAATGTATTTTCAGACAACAAGTGCAGCATATAATCTAGTGTAACATATCCTCACCAAAATTGCCGTTTGTTATTACAAGTGTTAATAAGTATATAAGTGCTAACTATTTGTAGAAACTATTGAAGATTTTTTTCTTTTTTTGTCTAAAATCTTATTTCTGAACTGTAAGATAAAATCCTTGAGATCTTAAAATATGTACGACTGTCTTCAGTTGTAACTGTTTGGGAAAGCATTAAAATTTTTTTCTGATCCCCACTGATTCTTTTTCCGTTTTCGTGCATTCTTACGTATAAAGATGACTAATATCACCAACAAGACGACGATCGTAGGTGTTGTAACTGAAACAGGTATGATCCATTTATGTTCTGAGTGAGAAGTGGTCGACGTCTCATCGCTATGAATTTCACTGGACGTAGATAGATATCCTTTGTATCTGCATGGGTTTTTCGGGAGTTTGTAACCGTTTTTTGTGGTCAAGATTCTCTTGAGACTTGAAAGTTTAGGACTGGTTGTCATAATGTCGTATTTTGTACTTGTTGACGATGTACCCATTCTGGTAATCGATGAAACAGACGTTGAAAATAAGAATTCTGCAGTGAAAACGTTAGTGAATGTGTATCATATACAAACCTTTTAAGAACAAATTATAATTTGAACTTATGCAAATATAATTATTTGTCCGATGTAACCGTAGAAACAGTTGAGTGAACTCTTCAAAATGATTTTGAAGAGTGCATGAGCATAAAATGCAATCGATAAGAAATGCCAGCCATTGTCGAAAATACTGCTCACTGTAACTGTACTTGTCCTTTGCCAAACTGAAGCGCATGCAGTGCATTTCATTTATACAGAACTGCTGGGGCACTTGCCCCATTTGGCTTAAGCTATCCACGGTTGTATACTTATATAATATCATTGTTGGGATTTGTTTAATGAAATATAGCAAGCTGTTTTTTTTATGATTATCCCAATGCATGGTTGTCAAGATTTAAAAATGTCCTGAGCACTTGTTGACACATGGGGGAATCCCCTTAGGAAAAATTGTACAATGACAAACTCGTTCCATAAAGGCTCTTTTCCACTCATCGCAAAACGTACTCGTAAGCTCGCAGCGAGCTTACTATGACTTGCAGCATAGTTAAATTATTTGAACAAAATTTGTTGATTGTGCGAACAGACTCTCAAGCTTGAAGCGAGAGATTTTGCGATCAGTGGAAAAGAGACATAAGGCCCAGTCATTCAAAAATTCATTGCACTAATTTTAAATGAATACAGAAGGATTGGACGTAAATAACAAATTCAAAGTCTTATCACTGAGCGTTGGCGTAAATTAATTCTTTGGATGACGGGAGGGTTTTAGCCTTTGTTTGGCGTTTCATCTTGTTTGTCGTATATACAACAGCGCATAAATTATTTTCATAATAGTTATGTGGTCAATGTCTTCGATACGCTTGCTATGTATATCTGGACTAAAATATCTAGCTTTTACTAGAAATTGGCAGGCAAATGTCGGTCGCCAAATTGAATGTCTTTTCAAATGCTTCCATCGCTTGAGTGAATCAGTCTGAAAGTTTCTGAACTTAGAATCACTCTTTCAAACCAATATGACAATAATACATCGACAAACTTAAACTTATAAATAATAAATTGTTCTTCTGAGCACGTGAATTGTGTTTATATTGCTCTTGAATACTGACAGTCAAATTTAAAAAATTATGTAATTAGCAAAAAATTTGAGCTATGCAAGTAAAATTTTAATAGATTAAAATCCTCAATTGGTCGATGTCTACGAATAATAATGTGGCATTAAAGCTATTCTGATTGATTTCATGATTTGATACCTAATTTGTTGTATTGATTTATGAGTCCAATTAATATAACTTTTATTTGAAGAGGACACAAGCTTCCGCATAGAATTTTAAGAAAGAAGGTAATAAACAATTCGAAGTCAAAATATCGAAGGCAAAATATTTCCTTTCGAAGTCATAATTTCAAGTCAATAAAATGAATGGTTCACTTACTACAAGAATCCTCGCATTCCTTAGCGTCCATTCCTTGGTATTCACAATTTTCCAATTTATCCGGGCAGGGATGACAAGCTTCATCTAAGAATAAAGCTAGATATTGTCCAGGTTCACACGATTTGGACAATCGAAAGAGGCAAATAAAAGGCATAATGCACAGAGATCATTCACCAAAACTGGGCATAATATTGAACCTTTTTATCGAAATATTCAGTGTTTAACCTTCCGTTGGTTCTCGCTGATAGATCGAAAAAGTGTTGTGATGCATGCTGGAATAGCTGTTGCATAAAATTGTTTTTTGAGGGGAGGGGTGGGAAGAAAGATGACGTATTTTGCATAACTTCGTTAAGAGTAAAGTCATTAGGTAAAATTATTTTCCTCGTCATTCTTTTTAATCGTATTATATTTTTGGGAACTGACATGTATCTTACGTCATGGTCGTGAAATGTGCTAACTAGCTTCTTAAACTGCAGTTTATATTTATATTTTCTCAGATGTATTTGCTACGCATTGTCATTTTACGGTCAAGATGGGGTAGAATTCAACTCTGAGTCATGAACTGTGAACTCCTTCGTGACCATTTAATGTTCTTGAAAAAATAATCTTGAAAAAATGTAACGATTTTCATCTTATGATCATGGTTTTACAGGCTTGCGCTTTAGATGAAATATCTTATCATAGTAACTGTTTTCCATCTTCCCGCTACTATTCTCTTGTGTCGTTCTTTTGTTTGTATGACTCCTATTCTCAGTATGTCCTTGTGACGTGTAGAGCCTTACCAATCAATATGGAAGAAACCTAACGCTCTCAAAATTCGTTGTTTACTCTAGTAATTCGTAGGAGAAGTTATCAATAGTATATTAGAGTAGTCGAGAAAATTTATCTAACTTATTGACTTTCTACACTTGTTCATTGGGCTCATTGCTGAGTTTTGCAGACATCACACAAGAAGAAAAAGGTCCGACATTACTTTCAATAGATATATGTACTTTTTAAACCTGTTCTATCGTTATACTTATCGCTTCATAGTTAACACATTTGGGGCTTTTTACTACCAAAACTAAAGTTATTAAATGTTTTTGTGTAGTCAAAACCCTCCATTTGCTCAACATATTTAACGATGTTTAATATTCATTTGAAGCGTGATCTTTATAACAGTAATACTTCAACGCTATATTTCTACCGCGTGCTATACAAATTTTAACCTTAAAATATTCATTGCTATTGTCGTTGTTGAATTTTCCATGCCAACGTACATGCACAGTGCGTGTTGAACTGCATTGAGAATGTAGCGTTTTATCGTGCTTATTGAGACCGCGCGTTTTATAATGACGCTTTAATAGTGGCAGCATCTCCCACAGAACGAGATTGGTACGCAAAAGTTCTTTATGACCTTTGAAATTTAAACTTTCGAAGGTCCCAAAGAACAAAAATTTACATGTATTTTATCATAAGAATAGAATGATGCCAAGCAAAAGATTAAGGCCGCGTCCACACGTATACGGAGGTTTTTTCAGTTTCTCCGATATATGAGGCGTGGCAGTCGGAGCAGTTTATTTTGTAAACTGCACCGTGTCCTTCATTGGGTTGCTCTTTGCCCTTTGTGTTCGTTAGTACTATATACTACTGTCTTTTGATGTGAAATCAATGTTCACCAGTATTCCACTTAATCTGGCTCTTACTTGTAGAACAACCCTCATTACAAACACCACGGACGTACTGCCATTACCAACAGAAGACATTATGGAGCTACTGAAGCTCGGCCTGACCTCAACATACTTGCTGAAATTATAATGCAATCTATAGAGGAACGGGCGCTCACGACTTACAAACATGCACTACCTTTTTGGTTCCGCTACGTAGATGACACAATCACAGCACTACATGCAGACGAGATTGATGACTATCACACTCACATCAACAAACAGAACAGCCACATACAATTCATCAAAGATGTTGAAGAAAACAGAATTCTTCCTTTTCTCGACTGTTTGGTAAAATAAGACAATCAAAAATTACGAACAACAGTTTATCGCAAACCAACACACACTGACCGACTAATAGACCAATCATCTTACAACCTTACATCAAACAAAGCCACCACAGTAGGAGCATTAATAAGACTTGCACAAATCATGTATGATTCACCGGACGCTCTACACAACGAAAACAACTATCTCAAACGTGTTTTTGACAAAAAAAAACTATAGCTCTGACTTCATCAAACGCAACACTTACAAACCCAACTAACCCAACGAAACGAACAACTCAGCGACAACAGCAACGATACCTTACATCAAGGGTACGTCTGAGACTATCTCGCGTATCTTACGACCATACAACATACGTGTTGCTCATAAACCAATCACAACGTTACGACAAGTACTAACGAACATAAAGGACAAAGAACAACCCAACGAACGACAAGGTGCAGTTTACAATATATACTGCGCCGACTGCCACGCCTCCTATATCGGGGAAACTGGCAGGAACTTAAACATAAGACTTACTGAACACAAACGAGGTACAAAGAAACAAGACAAAACTAATCACATTGCCAAACATCACCGACTCACAAACACAACAGTGACTGGGACTCGGCAAAATGCATTACTTTCAGCATTGACTATAGACAACGGCTTACAATTGAAAGTTGCAATACCAACTTGGAACAAACCCCTCTGAACAGGTCACAGCAATTACCGGCACCTTACAAACGATGTATTCACAATACAAACAGACGATTAACTAAAAACATTACACTTCACACTAATCCACAATGACAATACTCAATTGACACCCACGCATTCCCTGTACACACAGTGCAATGACATAAGAACCAGATAACAAATACGGCTAACCTGACATTTACTCCTCATTTGACTCTGAAGATGAGTACCGATAAGGTTGTCGAAACGTCAGTCAATAACAACAAAAATAGTCCTTCTCAGGACTATACCAACCTGGATGATGCACATTTACAAACATGTAACGATACTCCCTGGTTCAAACCATTTACTTTAAACACAAAATATATTTGTAATCAAGGCTTTGTTCGACATGATTACTCCAGTTGAAACGTAGTGTTGAAGATCAATGTAACATGTTTTTTTGTGTAACTCAAATAAAATCATTTTTCATGATCGGTTTTAAAAATAACATTTTGTTCAATGAGGGTGCACAAAGTGATAAAAATTTTTGTGCTTCTGGTAAGTTTCCAAGTAAAAAATATTAGCCAATGTAAGGGGAAAGACGCATGGCATTGGTGAAGTGGCTAATGGTACATGGTACATGGCATTTGCAGGCTGCGGCCTACAACCTCCAGGGATTAAGTTAACAAAGAAGAAAACGACCAATGTTGTTCGAAACAAAAGTTGTTTTTTAATTAATATCAAATTGTAAACCGGCAGTGCCTCTATGACGTCAGGTGAAAACGGATTATATCAAACAAGTATTCAAATTAAGGACCATATATTTATATCGCACAATCCCTAAGAAATTGCAGACGACACTACCCGGCGTTGAGAGCAGATATTTGGTTTAATTCTCAAAAGGCAGATAACAAGGTAAAGCAGATTTCATCTTTTTCCTTTATGCTAGTAGTATTTGTTTCTCGAAAAACACAATACATGTCTAGTGCAAACGTGCATCAAGCATGCCATACTTAACATGGCTTTTCCTTCCCTGAGAAGTAAGAATAAACTATAAAAACTGCGAAAGTCAATCGATAGTTTACATTGAGTATCGCTTGAAATTACCCTAAACGCTGGTTTATGAATATCAAAATCCACGGTCTCGCACGGTATCTTGTCATATATAATCATCATTTATAAAATGTATGATATCGTAATTAAGTAAGGTTTCCTCTTGTTGTTTCACTTAAGGTAAAATGGGACCGAGGGGCAATAAATATGAATCTAATCTACGTGCCTTAGTGCCTTCAAACTTTGTTTGACTGCTGTCTACGGCATACTATGGTGAAACATGTAATTTTACATGGTGATAAAGAATACCTAATATGTTTCTGTTTATACCCCTTTGCTGACTATTCTATCAAAATTAACCTGGTAATGGCTTCTGTTCGAATTTGTAGCTTGAAATAAGATTTTCCGCAGATGGGGATTTAAAGTGAGACGTCTAGACAAAATATAATGCAAACTTAATGCATTTATGAAGTCGTTTTTGAATACAATTTACATAATTTTGTTACGATTTAGGCTTGTTCTATTTTGCTCAAACTTTCGCACGTTGAACCTGTCTACCAGATGATACTGAGGGCCAATATTTGTAGTTTCAAAAATATTTGTTCGAACTGACTGCCATGCTGGTGCAATGAAAATACTACAAACTAGCAAAGAGTAGCGATTCTTCATACTTTATTAATGACTGCACAGCCATACTTCGTTATGAATTCGATGAGGCAAATTGCTCACATGGGAGTGTCGATAACATATCGTAGGTTTTGGACAGATATATTCTAAACGTCCTACAATTAAAAAACGCGGTTTTCACGAAAGAAGGCAAAATGACTGTCTTATGTTTGTTACTTGCACTGCTATTATATAAATTAAAAGTAAGCCGAAGCTGGAAAAAGGCGAAACATATTTAAGTGTGAACGACGTTTACACAAGGGAGAGCTAATAACCATTCCTCACCATTCAATTACGGAAAAGAGACCAAAATTTTCAATACACTACATGTCAATTAGCCTTTTTAAAAACGAGTCAGGGCGTTTGGTATCGTTACTGGGTATAGTGTTTGTTGTTTGCTAGTGAAAATAGTGCGAATTCAAAAGGAGTTCATTTGAGAACCCTTAAACACCGTTCCCAGTAACGATCCCAAAAGCCTTCGCGCACCGGAGCTTGCCCCACTCCTATGCTCATTTTTGAAAAAGTTAATATACATTTCATTTCGTTACACATTTTACTCCAACAATGAAACCCGTCACTTCAAACGAGTGATTCTGATCCATGCAGGGGCGAAACTAGAACGTTAATTGGGGGTATATATACATATATTCAGCTCTGACCTGCGGACTTCTTTTGTTTGCGATGTTAATTTCAAAAGAAATCAGCAGGGTTGAGCTGAATTTATGAATATTTACCCATCGTTCTAGTTTCGCCACTGGATCCATGCCATCTATGCACCCAACTGGTGACTCGTCATCTTCAATGGCCAGTTGTTCAATAATCATTCTTTCTTCAGTTGACATTAATTTTCGTTTGTGAACGTTTTTGTGAAGCGTTGTAGACATCATTACAAGGAGATGGTTAACACATGTGCCCATTGACATAAGAAATCAGTGGTAGAATCATATTTTGTCCAAGCCGAGTGAGTTATGCAATTTATGTTTGTGCTCTAAAAGTGGCCAAATCTTTGTCTAAATAACACGTTTTTATTTAGTTATGCTCATTGCATTTATTTTTATTTGATTCGCCCTGAATTACATAGTGTAAGTCCTCGAATATTTACAAAATTAGGTATTGCTAAGAACCTTCAAGAAGCCATATAGGGCTTTTGTTCAAGGTTCCTATTAAGTGTTTAAGGTAGTTGTTATTTACATAAAAAACAGTTAAAACAATCAATATAATGATGTGATAAATGTTAATAATTAAGCATACGTAAAGGGAAACTACAGAACGAGGTACTATATACATTGTAATTTATAATATATTATTCAAGTTTTGCACTAAACTTTGAAGCTCCACCGTTCGAGCACATGCAACCAGTAGAAACATCCGGGACAACTTATATTGATAAATCCTGTTCATTCTTGTTCGATACGACAGAAGTTCAACGCAGAGTGCTTCTTAAAATATAATTTAAGTGTCTGTGTCAAAGGAGAAAATGACCACGTACAATGAATTCCATGCCCTACCCTCTTTTCATGGACAATTAAGCTATTCATTGGGAACAATTCAACATCCCATAAAAATACACTGTAATGGTATACTCCTCCCCCTCAGCTTTTGAGCATGCTATAGTCATTATTTGTACCTCCCAAGGATCAACTGTTTTTCATGTGAGATGCATTTTATTTTAGGTGACGATTTTTACATGATGGCAGGTGGTGTTTTCAGAACAACTCTCCTTATGTTTACTTTTGCTCAAATGGTAAGAACTCATATGTGACGTAAAGCTGTTGTCGACTCACTCCAATAATGATTCAAGTTAATTCTATAACTGTGAGGAGGAACAACAGCTTTTACGCTCTTTTTATCTTAGTTGAAAGGATAAGATGCACGAAAATGCTGTTAGCATAATACATAAATATGTATCTGAAATGCACAGTAGCTACAAAAGTTTAATCTTCTACAAGATGTACAATACTGATGTTTATCGGTGACTTTAACGAAGGTTATTTCTATATTAGAAACCGGTTTTAAATTAACATAGAGGTAAATCAATCAGCCAACCATGAGCCTTAAATCATTGTAATCTTACCGTTCCCTAAAATACACGAAATTTACATTCCTCAGATTGTTGCGTACGCTGCCATGTTGTTTTTCAAATTTAATATCAATACCACACAAATTTTCCAAGCTTCAGTGCGTAATGCAGCGCAGGCTCTTTGAATTTCAAGTGCACGGTTGGCAGATCCATCAAAGATCATAATAAATTTTTCATCACCATTTTTATAAATGCATTCATAAAAATGCTTATGGTTATTAATTTCTACATAAGAAATTCTCATCCAGTCACAAATATTAGAAAACGCTGTTTCAACTTTTTTTATAATTTTATCCCCCTTCCTTAGATTTGCCACTGCTGTCAGTCTATAGTCATGAATATAATAAGCAAGGAGCATGCATATGTAAACCAGCGAGCTGGTTTCAATCATAAATACATGTTAAAGGAAAATTAAAGCGTTTGTCTTAAAGTTATTTGTTTTGCACTGTAATTTTGCAACAAAAATTAAAAAAGTTTTTCGGTTATAGCTATTAATGTGACAAATCTATTCACTGCCTTCTCCTTTACGATAGATAATGATGGTGGTCGCGATTGCCTCAATATCATCCTTCATGGACAAAGTTGCTTACAGTTTGCCAGACATGAATAAAGATACGTTTATGGAGTCTGGGTTTTACGGACGACAGGAGTGCTTTATTTTTGTTGCAGTCAGCGGATTAATCATTTCCTTCCTATCTTGGCTTATTGCATTTGTACGAGTTCACCATAAATTAGGTCTTGCTTCATGTGTAAGTACAGTACAGCCATGTTTTTATCAACTACATCACTAGAAACGGGTGTTTACAGTTTGTTCAATTTTTGGGTGAACGTGCGACTTGAGAAAAGTTAAGTTCAGATAAAAATGTTTTCAAAGCCCATGCAATACTTTCACTTTGTCACATTCGAAACGATCTTGTGTACGTCATTGCTGCAGTGAAATATTAACAAATATTGGCTTCGGCTAACGCCAACCTCTGCCTATACTCGATAATATTGAATATTACGCTTAAAGTGCCTATATCACGTTTCTGCAGTTAGGCTATACATGTAGATAGTTTAGAATATTTTAAAATATTGTCAATATATTTTATAATTTGAAAATTTGATCTTCGTACATTTTTTAGAGCTTAAATTGTTGATTATTTTCCTGACCGTGACATTAAAAAAATTAGTGCGATAGCTAGATATGACGTCATATCGGGAATGCACTTCAAGAAAACACTGTATTTTACACATAATTTTCCCAAAAGCACAGCTATGTTGTCGCATTACATACGTGTAGGGCATCTTGTGTCGAGGATGCTCAAAAACGTCTAATTTTCAGAGCCCGTGCAAGCTCGATAATTGTAGATATGACGTCATAGTTACAAATGTCTGGGAATTATATGCAGGTGGCCGAACCAGTCTTAAGGCTCTTTAACACTCATCGCAAAACATGTGCTGCGAGTGCCTGCGAGTGACTCACAGCGAGCTTACCATGACTTGCAGCATAGTTAAATTATTTGAACAAAATTTGTTGATTGCGTGAACAGACTCACAAGCTCGCAGCAAGAGCATTTTGCGATGAGTGGAAATGAGCCTTTAATTGAGCTTGTTTACATACAGTAAATAATATTGTGATTTATTCTTACGGTAGATGGTGGGGTTACATTTGTTCATGTTTGTTCTCCTGATGGTGTCAGGATCGCTTCTAGCAAAAACAGACATGGCTTACCATGCCCTATTTATATGTGAAAATAAGAACACTTTGGGCAAGGATGCGCACTGTTATCAGTTGAAGATTGGATTGGTAAATATCAGTATTTTATATTTTATGGCATGGCAACATATCATTGATTTTTGTCGTAGTCAATATATCGATGTCTTCTGTCAGCATTTGGAGATAAACAGTCGCTTTTCGTAACATCTGTTTGACTTCGTTTAAGTCATAGTTTTTGGAAACTTTTCAATTATTATTTTCAAATACTTTGATTGCTGGTTTTTATAATCCGAGCTCTGCGCGTGATCAATTATCTTATATAACAGCAAAACACTGACATTAAACTCAGTGGCGAATCCAGGGTTGGTTAGAATACATTAACGGAAATATATTTCCATTTTAAAATACTTTAGAGTGAATCCTATCGAGAGTATTTTGGCCTAAATATTGCTTGGAAATTTTTAACCACCAGCATAGCTAAATAAGCATTTGAATTTAAAATGAGCTATGATTCACTTTGACTTATCCCAGACCCTCCATTGATTGTTTTACTCCTCCTTTCGCCAATTGTCCTGGGACTGTGTATAACAAAACACTTAATGCACATGCTCCCTAGGGATATAGTAAGTTTTGTTTTCCTAGAGTGTCAAGACTCGAGGAAAACAAAACTGCTATTTCCCGAGAGAGTGTACATTAAGTGTTTAGTTATATAGGAAAAAATCATAATTTCGACAGCTTTTCAATAAAATCAACGTCTTTCGGGGGACATTCGTCCGGCGAAATTTCGTTTCAAAATGTCTAAGGAAAACTGCAGCATTTTTTGTCGATTTCCAAGTGTTTTCTGAATCTTTTTTGAGATTAATAGTTGAAATTTATCGCTTTGTAAGATTGACATCATTTTTTTAAAGCAAACATGTTTTTCGGCCACATGTTTGCCTTGAAGCAATTTGTCGTGTATTTTGAATGCCTTATGACGATTGTACTGCTACTACGAAATTATGGCATTATATTGAAATGGACGTGCAACATTTTTTCACTTGTGCAATAGATTATACAATTATCCAAATATATCCTTCCATGTATCCCGATCTCAGTGGAGAGAAATACCAAATTTGGTTGTTAATATAAAATCCAGTTGTACAGCTCGGTATACTTTTATCGTTGTCAACACCACAAATTCCGGACCTCTGACGAAAATTATCGGTAAAACAGTTTTAATGTTCGAGATGTAGGTCTAACCTTATCAAACTACCCTTTAAAATGGCCGTAATTTTTGTTGACTTTTGAAAATTAACTATTCATTTTCAACAATGCTTTTGAGTGAAATCATAGTGACGTTTAATCAGAAATGGTGACGTCATTAGGAAACGTTGAAAACTTTATGTCTCTTACAGATTTTTGGTTTTATGGCTGTCCCATTGTTTCTGGTATGTGCTGTTATTTTCTACGTGTCAGCGTTTTACGGTGAATTGTACTTCCAGGAATTGGGAAGTGAAGTAAATTAAAAGTTCCGCGAAGACAGTTAGTATAGTGTTTAATTTGTATCTCTTCATTATGTACACGATTTATAATGTCAGAAAATATTGAGAACACGTCACGTGACAGAGAAAAGTCACGGGGCAGTGCAGGTCTCATTATAAATTTGATTGTTAAACGCAATATATAATTGTCTCGTAGTTATTTCTGTAATTATTATTTGTAATTATCATTATATTTTATTTTATATTGTTACTGAATAATTATTCTTCAAGTAGACGGTGAGCGATTTTGCTGAAAAGCTCTTGTTTGATTTCAACAAAATATCTTGCTAAAAAGGTTTGGCTTATTTTCAACTGGGTCAACCTATAGACTACCTAAGTGCTGTTTGTACTGCTATGTCAAACTTGTGGTATTTTGTCTCAGTATTAGCAAGTTCAATAAATACTATTTTTGGATGAATATCAAAGTTCATGACAAACGAGGCATTCAACTTCGCCCATAGACGGGAGGATGAAAGTGAAATTGGTTAAAGCCAGACACGACAGATTGGTTTTCAAAACTTAAATTTCTTCCTGATACCAACCCAAGGGTAGTACAATACGGCTTCCTAAATCCTTTGAAATCATTTATTTTGCTGATGATATCAAAGCACAATGTTATTGCGGTCTAGAAAAAACTTTTGCATGTGTATGAGCTGCTGCATAATCTTTAGTCTTTACATTTCTCTTAACGTAGACAATTAATTTATGACCTCAGTACACGTGTTGTTAAGTTCACGTGACTATATCTAGGACAATAAACACTATTATTAACACCAAATAAACACTATCTATGTATATATTAAAAAAAGTATATTAAAGCTGCATAGGTAATAAATATTCCAACCAGCAAATTTTCTTTTCTCTGCTTGTCGTTGATAGATCCACAGTTGTTTTGTAGGGAGGTGTGGTCTTGTTTGGACTATACTTAGTCGGCTACCTGCTGCTGAAGCATGTCATGGTTTTATGATCTCGAAATCGTTTAAACGGACGTCGTGTCCATTTCGTCGATGATATCTTGAGACTTGTACAAATTTTTCCTGAAAAATGAAGATACGATAATAAAATCAACGTCCACAAATACGGGTGCCGTGTAATAGAAGTAAAGTTCCGTTTCTTCTATCTGATTTAAAAATCGCCGTGGTAGGGTTTCCTCGGGAAGTAATTTCATTGGATCCCCCAAGCTAAATTTAATTTCTGATTGGTGAACAATAAAGCATTTGTATGATGAGTGAAGCTGAATATTGTCGATAACTTTGAGTTTGAGAGATATTAAAGCTGGTTCAAAGGATACATTGTCCTTTCAAAAGAAATCTCAGTGTAAATTGAATAATAAAGTGCTCAATATGAAAGATTGTTATATGCAGTGCGGTGTGCGAAGATCATATCTTCATTTAAAGTGCTCAATATAACACACAAGTTTAATAAAAATAAATTCATCGATTTTGAAACAATATCATTATAAACTACAGCGTTAAAAAGAAGCGTGTTTTACAATGTAATAAATGTACGTGACGTAAGGTGAACTAGACCCACTCACAGCACCTCACGGTCAAACACAAAAAGCGAACTTCGAGGCCCAATAAGTAAAGGAACATCAAATTTTCTTCTTATGAAATATAATGCAATTGTTCAAAATGGTCAACTCTATCTAACTAGATTATTATCCCGTGGGTCAGATAGGCACTTTAATAGAGATTGTTTGTATTTTAAAGATTTTATGTATAATTTGTGCATTGTCATTGCCTTTTCTTGTTAATTGCTTGCTTACCTTGCACGCGTTTTATGACGATAAATTAACAGAATTACGGCAGCTAGAACTAGGAAGAGCACCACACATAATATGATTATCCAAACAGGAAAATCTTTGCCATCGACGTCAATTGTTACTGGTGCTACCTTTGTTCCTGACGAAGAAGTTGACATAATCGTTGAAACATGGTGGTCTTTGCTTAGAGAGGGAATTGCAGATGAAGGAATTCTTGTAGGTTGTTGGGTAGTGCCTCCTTTAAAGGTGCTAGTGAGGGATGGAATTATTGTTGCGGATGGAGCTAGAACAAAGGCGGTAGAAGGTGATGGTTCTTCTAAAGCAAAGTAAAAATTTTATCTTTAACATCACAATCTCTATAATACCAAAACACGTATTGATGCATGCATTTGAACACATAATACCGACGTTGATATCTCGTGAAGGATAACAATAAGATCTTAAAAAGAATCCTTTTGGGAACTAAGTATGATCTGACTATGGGATTCTTCAAGACACAACTAAGTCTAGCTCTTAAATGTTTATATAAGCTTGGATTTTTTTTCACAAATCGTTTCATAATTTTTTTAATTTGAGCAAGAAATTGTTTCATGACAAAGTTAACGCAAGTGCTTATTCATAATAGCGTAGATCATAAAGGAATTATTAGGATTGTGATGTACTTGTGAAGATTTCAGGCACATCGGCCGCATAGCACAAATGACGTGCGGCGGCAGGGAAAACCCCGAACGATAAATGTCTCACTCAAGAACTTTAAATATGAGTTATCGATGATTCCGATGGTGACACATCAGTAATGTACTTGTATACAAACAGATTATAATATAGACCTTCCTGGCCATGCAAGTGTCATATAGAATTGATATAATTATAAGCAATAATTAATTACTTATCATTGCTAAGCCAAGTTGCAATGTCATGCACGCGTGGCAGCGTGGGCGACCCATATTGTGTAATCAAATAAATCGACGTAAACATTGGTGTTTTCTCTCATACTTTTCATGTTTTTAAGCATTTTGGACGTATTTTGCTCCCAATCATTGGTATGATTTTTACATTTAGTCCATAAATCTACTACATTCTATGAGTCTATACCATTTACCATTTCTATAGCTCTACTAGCTACAAATTTAACTATAAGTCTACGACAATATAAAACATTTCAATACAGGGAAAATATTTTCTTTTCCAGTCCCTATGTAGAAATGTAAGCAATTGAGTTTATATTGTGTTGCTGGTATTGTATTACGGTATACTTTATTGCAATATAGCATGAGTAATGGCTGACGCAATCCAATGCAATAGGCTCGTTGTAGTTAAAGAATGCGCAAATGATACATGATATTGAAAACTTACTATGACAATGTTTCTTGCAACGATCTTTGTCTAATCCTTGATCCGCACAAACTTCTGGACAAGGATGGCATGTAAACTCATCACCAAAAAACTTAGTTGGGTAAAATCCTATCGGACAGTTTATTGATTGTACAAGAGAAACGAGTAAAGCCAACAAGCACAGATTTTTGAGCCACAGAATACTTAAATCCATGGTGAAGAAGGTTTTGATAGTTTAAAGGATGAAGTTTGTCCAATGCGTTCAAGTGAAGTAATTTCGATAGGTTATTTGAAAATCTTTGTTCGCTTCGTTCTCCCTTCGTCGAAGTGCTACAATGAATAACCTTAACGCCACAATGTTTGATGTGTTAATGTGACTAGTATTTCCGTTGACGTAAAAGGTATCCGGTCGTCATTCTTTGCGGCAAAGACCTTATCTGTTGGGTTTTGAGTTATACAATCAAAAGCGATAAAACAAATTTTGAAAGATTATACTCATGGTAAGTCCCTTTAGCGCAAAAGAACATCACAGAAAGATCTCGAATTTGTTCCAACCTAAACGACATCCAAAACATGTTGACTGATTGGCTGAATTATTTAATAATTAAGTTTGATGTGTGAACATGTAAAGCTGAAATAGTTGTGGTAAAAGATAGCGTCGAAATTTTAGTGCTTTAATTGCTGTTTTAAGCGCTACTGTCTGGTAATTTTCATCAACTAAATTGGGTTGGGATAAAATGCGGATTCGGACGGACGGATAAAAAGAATAAAATGTGGATTGAGGACGAAAAGAATAAAATGCGGATTGCTGACAAAAGGGGGAAATGCATAGTAATGACGAAAAACATTGTGAATTAAGCTTAACAAAGTAAATAAAAAGAATAAAATGCGGATTGCGGACGAAAAGAATAAAATGCAGGTTGCTGACTAAAGGGGGAAATGCACAGTAAAGACGAAAAGCATTGTGACTTAAGCGTAACAAAGTAAATAAAGCTGATTACAGGTCAAACATGCACTGGCAAATCAAAACAAAATACTTAAATATTTTATAGCCCAACAAATATCATAAATATTGAACTTTAACAACTTTCCAGCGATATGTCATGGCCAGTTCATTTCAAATTTATACTTACTTGATTTCGAAATTGACGTAGAAATATAATATGTTCTGAAACTTATAATGATCTAACCCATGATGGTATTGACAGCAAACTTGGAACGAAATACGGCTGTTTTTAGATAAACACAACTTTTGTTTGCGTGGAAATAAACATTTCCTTTTTTGTTCTGAATTTCACCGGAAAGAAGAAAATAATTTTTTGCATTCTTGAAACGATTGTCAAATCATGAGGAGGGGAAGAAGCTTGTTCACCATGTTTCAGATGTTGAGAGCAGCTAAAGCATGTCCCTAGCATAGAATGACAAAATTGCAGAAGATGAAACTCCATTTGTTGGCGTTGAGTGATAAGGTGCTGGTTGAAGGTTTTATATGAGATATGATATATAGTTCATTGAATTTTTTAATACATGCTAATATAGCTTTATCTTGCAAAGCGATTATCCAGAGTTAAGTAAAATTAAGATACGCTCTTTAATTCTTCCTGTCATTAAAAACTAACTCGAGTGTAAGTAATTTAACGACTGTTTTCGAGAGTTACTTATGTAAATGGTTTGAACCCGGGAGTATCGTTACATGTTTGTAAATGATGATCGTCCAGGTTAATAAAGTCCTGAGAAGGACTGTTTTTGTTGTTGTTGACTGACGTTTCGACAACCTTAGCGGTAGTTATCTTCACAGTCAAAAAGATGACTTTTGACTCTGAAGATGACTACCGCTAAGGTTGTCGAAACGTCAGTCAACAACAACAAAAACAGTACTTCGCAGGACTTTATTAACCTGGACGATCATCAGTTACTTATGTGTAATCATGGCAATATTTTTTATAGTTTCTAGACGTTTCTCGTTATTCTAAATAAACCGTATTTTGTAAAGAAAAAAAAACACATTGTATTCTTTGTATTGTGCTTGTTACTTTACTTTTCTAAATTGTCGTATGGACATTTTTAGGTTTGTGAAAGTTTTCGACTTTGGATGATACATTTTTGTTCTACGTATTTACTGATGAATACTTCATTCAAATTAGTTCGAGGAGTATTGTTATTGTAAAAATTCTCATAAATCGGAAAATCAAGAAAAGGAATTTCCACTCGTAGGAATGTGTAAGTTATTATCAATCCAGTTTGAGGACTATAAATTGGTAACAGAGGATGCAATGTTGATTCAATGGGTAGAAGTAAAGGTAGAAGATCAAGTTTGGATATTTTGGTAGGGTACGGTGTACCGCTAAAATAGCTAATTCGACAGTTGCATGTTCACAAACCAAAAAAAAATGTTGTGTATAAAATGCTTCTCGAAGGAAGCATAATGTCTACGAGTTACTCGAAGCGAGCTTACCATGACTTGCAGCATAGCTAAATTATTTGAACAAAATTTGTTGATCGCGGGAACAGACTTGCAAGCTCGTAGCGAGAGCATTTTGCGATGCGTTTTAAACGTCGCATTTTACATGTGCCGAATGCATTAAAGACAAAAGAAAATGAAATAAAATTCCTCGTCATCTTAAGTTTTAAATGCATTCGCCTTTAAACGAGTGAAAACGACGCTTGAAACGAGCAATCCGCATTTTATACTTTTCGTCCGCAATCCCCATTTTAGTTTTTCGTCCGCAATCCGCATTTTATTTTTTCGTCCGCAATCCGCATTTTATTTTTTTCGTCCGCAATCCGCATTTTATTCTTTTTGTCCGTCCGTCCGCATTCCGCATTTTATCCCAGCCCAACTAAATTGCTAGTGGAGAAAGCCTACAATGTGACGACCGCTGTTTATTGATAATTGGGATTCTTTCTCAAGGATGTTTGTTTATAATTTATTTGTGTTCTTTGTTTGCAATATGCGTTATTTCCGCTGTTATGGGTGTTCACAAATGATGTAGACATAAAAATAATGTCAATGCAAGTCTCACATTGATACACTCACTGGAATGAGAAACTTCAGGTATGAATAATGTGTGTCAATGTTTTCGTGCTTTTATAGTTTTGTCCGACAGTAATATTACATGAAATATTCCTTTAACCTTGGTCTATGTATCTCTGTATGAATTTTTTCCAGAAATAGCAACAATGATATCGACTTTTAATATTCATATAGTGTACTTTCAGGGACTTTTGTATCGTCATTAACTATCGATGATTATGAAACGGTTTTCACATTAGTTTGCTAGTGATTTCATTTTGGAAAAACAATGTTTATAGCGAAAATTCTTTTTTCTTCACGAAGTTGAACTCGAATATATGGAAAGATTTGCAAAAATTTTCATAGACGTAAATAACTAAACAAGGGCATGTTTTTGTCCACTTTAATCTTTGACACGCCCATCTGCCAATCACTGTTATTTTGATGGTTTCTTGGGAGTTGAGGAGCATTGCCTCGATGATGCCAAGCCAAGTTTTTTTTACACAGTCAAACGTTGAATGTGTTCATGCAATCATGTTATGTCGTTTGAAAAACGCTACGGAATAACTGTTTGACATTTTTGTAGCTTCTGAATACAAACTGTCTGGTTGATGAATTTCTAAAGCGGCTTTATCATACATTTTGTGTGATTTGGTTCTAGCTTGCAAAAGTGACGTTCAGTTTACTAACGGCAAGAACGTTTTATAGGCGTTTATGTAAGTTTATTATTTTTCGTTTTTCTTCAGTCCAGATCAACACAATAATGATATGTCCTACAATTGTTTTGTTATTTTACGAAGAGCTTTATTATGAAACGTTTTGACATAGCGAAGGAATTTGTTATTTTGCATCTTAGTCTTCATTTGTATTCTCTCTAATAATGAGCGTTTCCATTACAAAATCTCGTGACAACGAGGCTTGTGTACGTTGTAATTATTTCTACCTCCTTTAAATTGGTGTGAAATCGTATTGTTGACGGGAATTTGTGTACGTATTAAGGGTTGTTTACTTTTAAGCCCGGCTTTATATGGCAATAATTGCGAAAAAACCTAACATGACGAACATTTCTGCACTTATAACGACTCTTGTATTAGTTGCTTTTGCTTTTTAGATCGTTTTCATTCAAATGTACGGCTTTTTGGTCATCAAAATATTAAAAAATACATTTGTCCGACGCCATTACACAAAAGAACGAAGACTGACCGTAGCTAACTACCATGGTAATTGTGAGTTTAAGATGCAACTGCTACGATTAACGGCTACGGTGGCCCGTGTAATAGGTAGACTGAGGCGAGTACGGTCAATTTGGGCGCGAAATTTAACCGTTGTTTACTTTAAGAAACGTGTGGTGCTCGCGACGGTAAAATATAAAATGTCTTTTACACAACTTAGAACAGCTTTAAATTTGGCTTTTGCGGATAAGTTTTTGACTGGAGAAGAGTTCCACGTTTTATATAACGAGTATGAGTCAACAAATCCCTCGTATCCTTACTGGGAATATGATTCTTTTTGTTTGGATAGCCTAACTTCGTGTGAATGTGAATCAAACTTCAGATTAGCAAAAGAAGATATTCCACTGTTAGTCGAATATCTACGCCTTTTTTTATCACTTTGTGTGCTCCCAAGGGACTCGATGCAGTGGTTTAGAGAGGCTATGTATACTGTTAAAGAGGTTGGCGTATCCGTGCAGATATTTTGACATGATTCCAACATTTGCTCGGCCTGTGTTCAAACTGTGCATGCTATCGAACTCTGTATTACACTGGATTTACGAAAATCATGGCTTTCGTCTAAGATCTTGGAATCAAACATTTCTGTCAAGAATTTCTCTGCAAGAATACGCCAATTACATTTCGATGAAAGGATGTCGTTTAAATAATTGCTTTGGCTTCGTGAATAGGACAGTTTGCCCTATTTACAGACCAGGAAAGAACCAAAGAATTGTGTATAAAGGGCACAAACGTGTACATACTTTTAAGTTTCAATCTGTGTCACTGCCTAATGGTTTGATAGAAAATCGTTATGGCCCTGTTGAAGGCAGTTGCCATGATGCCACTTGCTAAGAGAGTTTCATCTTCTAGAATCATTGGAAAAAATTGCTGTTAACTCTGCTGGAGGTTTGCTGTGCATATAAGGTGACCTGCATACCCACTGCGACCAAATTTGATGTGTTCCTACCGTGTTGGAGAGGTTCCTGTAATTACAGCAAATATGAAAGCATTTAATGAAGGTATGAGCTCTGTGAGAGTTTGTGCTGAGTGGTTATTCAGAGATGTGTCTGACTATTTTAAGTTCATTGACTTTGTTTAGAAATATTCTTACTTGCTTTTATGGAAACATTACCTCACAGGTGTTTCAAGTGAAGCCTCCAACAGTTTATAATAATTTAGCTTAAATGAAAGGTTACAGGGTATTCCAAATAAATATTTTTACTTGCTTTATTGAACATAACAATACGTTCAATCTCAATGTTCAGCATAAATAACAAAGGAAGTGAGTATTATGTTTTAAGGAAATGGCAGTTAAAAATTTACTTGGCTAATTTCCCCAAAATGTCAGTCATCAACTTAAGCTGATCATTTTGCATTTTCAATTGCTCTCTCTGAAGTTCAGCTTGAAATGTAATTCTTTCCTTCTCAGAGCAAGTTCTTGTTTTCGTAACTCTGTGTCTCTCTCTGCTTTTTCTGCCAAAAATGTCAGGGCATCAGAGCTACGTCTTCTCTTGCGTCTTTTTCTCGGACTTCCTTCTCACTTACTTCCTCCGAGTCTGTATCAGGGTCTTCATTCTTCTTTGCTTTGGCCAATGTTGTCATAGCCTTATCTCTGCAATCCAAAGCCATTTTCTCTTTTTCTTTTCTTTCTTTTCATTCTTTGTCACAAGTATTGAAGGTGATTTCATAATTTCCACTATTTCTTCCAGTATTTTCTTCTTTTCTGTTGGAGGGTCAGGGGCAATACCACTACTTGATTCCTCTTCTCTACACTTTTTTTTGTGCTCTGTTAATAACCGATAAAAGTGTTCTCTTACACGTCTTTGATCCCTAGGTACACTGGAGAAAAGTGGATAGCCATTTATCTTATTGGACACCTCAGTCCATTTCACACCAGCCCCTTTAGTCCCAGGTTTATAAGCAAATGGTTGAGTAAACAACACCTCTCTGAGAAAAAGCACATCTCTTTCCTTTGTCCATTTAAATGTTCCTCTGAAACAAAAAGCATGTATACATATTGACTTCAGTGATTACAAAAAAACAGAAAACTGTGAAGCCAAAAGCTTGACATTGAAAGGACAAAGAATAATACAAATATTTGTCTTTTAACATGTTATCAAGCCAATAATTTTCTTCTTCTTACTTATTTCGTAGCTTTTCTTTTACCAAATTTTTCTCAAGGATTTGCTAGCAAGAAATCGTGCTAAATGTATAAGCATGTCAATATCATAGAAAAATTTGTCATAGATACTAGAACTATATATAGCAAGCCACATATTGTATGACTCATAACATAGAGTAAGTTAAATTTAACACTTTGGAAGACATGACTTAAAAATATATATGAATATTAACCTTACCTGTCCGTTATATCATTTCCATCCATATTTTCGCAAAAAAAACACACTTTGAAATACAGTATTTTCACCTAGATTTCGACCGTTGTATTTACTACGCTCAACAGCTCCAAAACTAACCGTCGTAGAATAATGACCGTCTAGTTTTGCATTTCAGACATGTGCATTATTACTCATCCCATCTATTTTTCTCGGCCAACGGTAGCCGTTTAACGTAGCTGTTGCATCTTCAACTCACTACTTCTACTTTAAGCCGGGTCAGCCGAAATTTTAAATTGACTGAAGAATGTGGACTGGTGACGCTTACTGGGGATTCAGATTGTGTTTTGAAGATTAAACTTAAGAATCCAGCCTCAGGCAAATATACTATTTTATGATCTTGCAATTGCTAAATTACACAACATGGATAATATAGACAGGTGAAAGAAATTGCAAGAGCGTTTTCATGTTTCGCAGTAGCTAATTACCGTTAGTATAAATTGATTTTAAAAATTAATTCCAACAGATAGCGAAGAAATATGCTAATGATGTATTGTACTTGTCGTTTGTAAAATAAAAAAAGGTTAAAAACGAAGAGTATCAGTGAACCAGCTATCGAGCGGATTCATCGACACTACATGTGACACAAACTAGAGCTGCCCTGTCAAATATCGTGTGTATATTTCCGTATATTCCCCCTCCACAATTCCTTTCTATCCTCGGTCATTTCCCGTCCATTCTCCTGTTATTTCTCAGTCCCTTCACTTCCTCGCTGTTTTCCCTTTCTCTAACCCTTCACCTATTCCCCTTTTCATGTTTTAAAGATAGCCGCCAAAAAATTATATGAAAGTCCATTATGCTGGTCCAAATTTGAACGATAATTTTAAATATGCTTCAGTTGAAAAATCATATTTCAGTGATTAAGGTCAATGAAAACGCTTTTGCAATTTCTTTCAACTGTCTAAACTATCCTTGTTGTGTAATTTAGCAATTGCATGATAATAAAATATTGTATTTGCCTGAGGCTGAATTCTTAAGTTTAATCCCCAAAACACAATCCGAATCCCAAGTTCGCATTTTTCAGACAATTTAAAACTCCCTCCATTCTACCCATTCGGCAGTCTGCCAGTCCGCATGTCCGCCAGTCGGAGTCCGCATTTATCCACGCCCCTGATTTATTTGAGGCCCATGCAAAGACTTGTAAACGCAGTTGAAAACAAAAAGACGTAGGTTGTGTGGGGAGAAATGGGTCAATGGTAAGATTTTTGCAATTTTTGCAAACATTTTCAATGAATTGAAAGTTTGGCAGTAAGAACTTTACTGCTACATAAAAAATGTATTTTTTGGCGTAACTGAATTAACATTTTATCATATATGACTGCCATTTGACTGCTATTTTCTTTTTCCAGCATTCTTGAGTGTTGACCTTATAAATAAACCCATCTCAGGTTGGAAAACATTGGGGGTCATTCAGAATATAGCTTGAAAATCGTCAGGGCATAATGCTCATTGAATACAATAAGTCAAATTGCATTTCACCAGTCTTCACTGTTTTTCCTGCATTTTGCCATTAGCTCATAACATGTGATTTATTTCTTTTGGTTCTCTTTTACAAATAGTTCGTTAATTTCTTTAATTTTGAGATTGGGTACTTTGAGGTTATTTAAACAATATTTTATCGGAAATGAAACCGATTCATGTCTATGCAAATGAATTTTTTGAGCTGTGCTCCTCGTGTGTCTGAACGTTCGTTTTCACGTTTTTGAAAAAGTGTCAATTCATCAGCAACTGAATATACATTGGCCAACCCATTCTTCCCCGGCAAATCAATTAACAAACACCTCATTATTAAAACGCTAATATGGCGAGACCTATGGCTTAGCACACCAAAGTCTTTTTTTGTTCCATTACGTTCCTGAATGGCAATTGATTCTTATGAACATGTGCTGTTACGTTTGTTTCAAAAGATTTTTTACGGAAGCTAAACATGCTCTCACATTTACCAATTTTGTCCCTCCTCACCCTATGAAGATTTAATTAATAAAAAACTACTCGCCTTTTAAATCAGTCGACATTATAAATTTGAGGGAATAATTGATCCTCAAGGAGGTGTAAACGCAATTGAAATGGATTTTATTCTTGTGAATTTGCAATGTACACAGTAGCCACAATTCATAAGTGCTATCGTTTTTAATTGTTTGTAAGTTCATGCTGAATCGTGTGAATTTTAAACTTCGCTTGATTTCAAAGTGAAGCAGTTTCTTTGATACTACCATGTAGAGTGGTATATATCGTATATACAGGTTCAAGGGTGTCACAAGTACCCCTTAATCTTATCAAAATCGAGATTTGTTATAATTTGATTGTTAGTATTACACGTGTCAATACGTCGTTCACGAGAGTAAAATAATCATAATTAAAGGCCAAGACTTCTGCTTCTTTTCTTCTAAGGATTCACAAAGACATTGAAATTGGATTTTTCTATTAAATAAATTTTAATCTTTCAGCTAATTGTCTTTTCTATACTATACTTTTCTATTGTGCTTACATTTATGCTTATGTCACATGCTTTGTTTAAACTTTAGGCTTAGGATGTGCTTATACTTATTTCATAATGATCCTTTGGAATTGCTGTATGCATATCACGTGTTTTCTTCTTTTTGATTTGTTTCTCAAACGATTTAGTCAAAGAATTATTTTCTGCAAGGAGACAAGAAGGGTATTTTTCGGAAGGTATTTTTCACTAAGTCGTTACGTAGTTATCTTAATTATGAAAGATGCCGACTGTCCATTGTTTGGCATCTTAAACGCTGGCGATAACTCAAGACACATGCTTAGAGCAGGACTTATCATGGAATATTATTTGATTTTTGTTTTAATATCTTTAGCATAATTTTAATTTAGAAAATGATCAAAATTAAAAGCATGAGAGGTGATGAACATCTTCAGCTCGAGTGGGGCATATATATATAAATATAGACATGAAGCTGCATTGTTACTAATACATTGAGCAAACGTTGCAAGTATTAATTCAGCCAAATCTATCAACACTTGTATTATTTTGCCAGTTACAGCAACCATATTCTGTGAATGACTGCTCAGACTTATAATTGACTCAGGTAACGGCTTTTGGAAAAGTAATTTTATGCAAAAAAAAACGCATCGTGGAAATTTTCAATCAACCAATATAAATGACGTCATCTGCATTAATCAGCTGTCAAATGCAGTAGATGATGAAAGGATTTGTATGAACTGCTTGACATCTTGTTTACTATAAATTAAAAAATACAGGCCATAGCTTTCAGGTTTCAATGCTCGCAGAAAAAATGTCCTTGTGGTTCCTGGTGCGCGCAGCTCCTTATACTGTGAGTTTACACATCATCATTCAAGTTATAAGCTAAATTAGGTAATATGTACTCAAAGCGTGTATACCTTGCTGAACAGTAGATAAAAAGCATATTGAGCAACTATATTACGTAGGATTATAGGCAGAAAAACTTACTAATATTATCGTATTGCAGCTGTATCAGCACCATATGCACTGATTTATAGCAATAATGTCAAAATTCTTAGAGCTCATGCTTAGTAAGTGCGACATAAAATTACGCTGTCTCTTATGGAAATGAAAATCACCCATTTCAGATGAAAATGTAATGACGTGATTTTGTACAAAAATTAAGTTGCCTACCCCATTCTACATTTTAAACCATTTTAACACTTTTAGTTATGACAGAAAATCGATCCTGAAGAGTATTTAAAGAATGTTGTGAATCATTTGAATTTTGTTAGAAAAAATAATTTTAAGTTATTCATCAGTACACTTTAAGTGATAATAATCACATTTGTATCTTTGTCTCACACATACGTAAATTAACAGTAATCAAAATAATCATTATTTACAACCATGTTCTAAGCTATCTCCAAAAGTAAATTTACGGAAAATTTAATTTATGTAGAAAATTTCAAAGATCGAAAACTTTTATGGAAAAATAAATTATTGAAAACTTTTGAACTGCAACGAAAATTAAATAAATTTTTAACTGCCTTTATCGATTTTCGTTTTTGATCTCTTCAGACTATCTGTCACTACTCGTGATGATTTTCGCGTTAAACATAGTTGTCGCAAAACACTGGAATATTGTCATGCCATCTCAAAAGAGGCGCCGCAATCAAAACTGTATTTCGTGGCTTATTCATAAGTCATTTGAACCTTTCAAGCTTCTGTCGAAGGAAGATAAACGTATCTGTTATTTTTCAAATTTAGCTCATTGTGAAGAGAATCAAGTTTTGTACACAAATCTGAAATGATAAACCTTGCAAATGGTGATGACCCGACAAATGAGTGATTGCACGTATGAAAACAATTCGTTATGACGTTGTATAAACTTCCCTGTTGGTCAGGCATGTTCCAAATGAACTATATGGCAATTCGCATTCGATTTCAGTTCGCATCATGCACGAATTTTAGACGCTAAATCGTTGCCACGATATACTTGGCAACGCTTATTTGTCGTTTTGCGTATGTAGCAAGATTTTCTGTTTTCGTATAACTTTCGTTGATAATTTTATATTTAAGAAATAAAAGATGTATACTGTGTTTACAGGCTTATATAAACCGAGGAGACCTTTGGAAGAACTCGAGAATAGATCAGTGCAACAATATAAATATACGAAAGTCGTATATAATATTGTGTAATGAACGGTTATCATTCCGGTTTTATATGGATAAACCCTGAATTCATTGAGTGTCGCACAACAATACGACAACATTCATATCAATTTTATATATAAACTAAAGTTTAGAAAGTGTTAACTTTAGACGTAGAAATGTCATTGTGCAAAGCTTGTGGTATGGGCACCTCGAAGCAAAAGATTGGAAAATGAGCCTGTTATGATATATATGATGAATATATTTGTAAAAATTAAAAAAAATTTAATAAAATGTATCTTCAGATGCATGTTCATATGATACAGGCGGTAATATCACTCCAGACAAGATCCCACAACCAGTGTGGGAAACGCGGACCAGCCCGTTTGTATATGGACCTCATCTGAATGGGACGATATCTCACATTAACCAGGCTAATAGTTCCCTCTAGCACAAACTCACTTCTTTGTTATTCACATTTCTCCGTCAAATTTATACAATAAGTTTTTGAATGTTTAAAAGAGACATGTACGAGAACAAAAAGAACTAACTCGGTTTATGGCCAGTTTACAAATAAATTACATGTAGATAACTCAAATGAATTATGCGTTCCAGAGCCAGCTCAGGTCGCATATATATCTGGTTGCATACCGATGCTCAGAGAAACTTGGTCTGGTTAAGCGAGCTATACGTCTTACCTTGCCCGCCTGTTCATTTGAACTGGCATTAATCAAATCACGTCCTTTAACGATGATCATGCATATACAATTCTGTTGTTATAATGAAGCAGCTCAAGAGTTTTCCTGTGATAATTTTAAAGCTGCCCAAAGTGTTCAGAAGGAAGATTGATCATAGTTTGCCAAGTTTCCCCATGAATGCATCATTTCTTCACTTCCTGTATGTGGTACCACCACACTTTGGAAATTGTTCCTAGTTTTGTAAAACATTAGGTATAGATTTGCTATCATACTCAAAACACTTCATTTAAAAAATAAATGATAAAAAAAAACTCCAAAAAACTTAATGTTGTAAGTCATAAAAGCAAGAGACAAGATTTAAAGCAATATTTCGACTTTATTTCAAGTTAAGTCATTATCATCTAAAATAAAGTCGAAATTAATATTGCTTTAAATCTTGACATATTTGAAAATAAGTCGAAATGATGCTTTAAATCTTGTCTCTTGCTTTTTTCAACTCGAGTCTGGACTTTACAAGATGATGTTTTTTGGAGTGCGTTTATCATTTATTTTTTAAAATTGTCGGCTAGAAAAATTTTGGACATTTCATGTTGTTATTGATATATGACACATAAATGTATCCACGGCATGAGTTACATTCTAGCATATGTAGTTTATCGATTATCGATGGTAGAATTGGTCTTTGAAGGATGTATGTATACTTTATCATTATTGCACTAAACTTCAATTCCACCGTATCAAATAATTTGTTTTACCACGCGGCTTAATTATAACCATCCGTATAAAACACTTATTCTGCTTACCTTGGAATTGATGTCATTGTGGCATTTTGCGTATTTCATGATTTGTCGATGTTTGTAGATACAACCCAACACCAACATTACGATAATGGTGATCAGACTCAGAGGTACGAAAACCGCGACGAGGATGACCTCTGTAGTATCCGACTTCGAATGATGATTCAACGGCAGCACTAGGTTGCTGGTGGACAAGGATGATTCATCCGTTTGGTTGATCGTTATGTTTGTTTGAAATGTTATCCAGGGTTTGGAAACATGAGTGACGGAAACGGACAAAGGGAAGTCGTAATTTTGATTTGTTTGCTCCATGAAGATGAGCTGGAATGGTTGCTGATGATGGCAGTCAGAGTAGTCAAATATTTTGTCTCTGTGAAAGGAAAGGAATCAGTGTTCTTTGCTAAACTTTCAGGTAACATTACATTTTATTGTATTTGCAATCTGATGGGATTTTATTTAACCGTATCTTGTGGTAAAGCCCCTACTATGCCATGCCCTGCTGCTATTTAATCGTACAATAGCAACACTTTCTTTGAAAAACAATATAATACTCGGAAATTTAAGACCTCTTTATTTCTGTGTTGACGAACATCCTTAACATTTTTTTGAAGGTATCCACTTTATGTTTATACATGCCCCATACATCCACACCTAAACATGGATTACATTTCAGGGTGGCTAAGCCCTCTCCCCTACTTTTCTTAGAACGGGGCAGTGCCCACTTTTCAATGAAACAGCAAATTTATTAATGAAGAGAATGTTTCCTATAAAGAATATGTATCTACAATGTAGCTGAGTGGAATTCTAAAATTCAAAATGGCGCGTTTACTTAGCAACATGTTGTAGATTGGTACTCATAATTTCTAAAATTCACCCCCCTCCCCCCCCCCTTTACACTTTTATGTTTCTTCCGATGCCCAGGACTACATTTCGAAAATGTGTCTGCTTGCCAAGAATTTTTAATATGTGTACTGATCAAAATTAGGCAACTATTCTTCGAAAATTTGCTCTTTCATTTCAGGGGTCAGTTGCACAAAGACTGCATGGATAGCGTTACCCATTGGATAGTAAAACTATCAAACTTGTAAAAAAGTTATTTGTACTTTCCTTACGGCATAGAAATTTTTGTAATCTTGGAAGCAATATTTTTTTTAGTGAATGCTCATTTCAAATCTTATATTTTCCCATTTAAGAATTTTTTTAAACGTTCGATAAAATTTGCTATCCATTGGATAGCGCTATCTGGCCTTTGTCCAACTGGTCCCTGACTATTAGCTGTCATGATTATATATCACTCATGACGCCAAACACGGCCGAGAAAATATTTTATAATGTTGTTTGGATAGCCGATTTTATTTCCATTTTAATACCCACACAAGAATTCAGCTTTGGTCAATATATGCTGGCATAGATTACTTGTTGTTGAGCGAATTTGATATTGCTAGTTTAATTATGAACATAAGCCGTCATCCTCCTCGTATTGTTTCATACAACTTGATCGTTTGACACAAACATTGAGAAAAAATAGCATTTAACTATTAAATAAAGTATTCCGAACAGAAAAAAATTTTATTGACGTTATTAAAATTAGGTGCAATTTCTAAGGTATCTATGATAAAATTTTTCAATTTGGTGAAATTGTTCTTTGATGATGGCGATCGAAAATTTGCTTTTAATGGAACTCGTCTGTGATGTCTGGGTTGAGCCAGATTTTGACGTCATCTTAGATAGGTCGCGTTTATAATTTGCATTGACAAAAACCTAGCTAGCATGGTTTAACAAACTTAAGCCGTCCTGACAACGGACAGGGTTTTGAAAAAGGGAACTTTGCCAACTTTATTCCGCGATACACATGGAACGGATTGAGCAAATTAAATACTTTTTTAATGGATACGCTAGAATCACATCTAATTTTAATAAAACCAATAAAAAGTTTTGTTAGGAGGTACCTTACGTGAACATAAAAAAGCACAGATAAATTACTTTAATGCAGAACTGCGTAATTGTCGAGTCTTATATGTTGTTGTTTAGTCGAGTACGGAAACTGACTTCCTGCTGCAATAGGGGAACTCCCTTTATGCACAAAAAATTTATGGAATGTCAGCTATGATTTTTATAAATATTTTGAATAACAATATAAGACAAGAATTCAGATTATAATAACGCTCGTATAGCTTTAATTACATTATATATCATTGTCGTTTTCCTCTTTCAAATCAAGTAGTTAACAATAGCTCTGTTTGTATAATAAATGATTTACTTACTGCATGAATGTTTACATATGTCTGCATCTGAGCCCTGATCGTTACAACCTTTCAATGTCTCCGGACAAGGATGACATGGCCCTTCAAGAAACCTGACACGATACTTGCCTGGCTCGCAATCTTTTGACCCATCCACATGTGTGAGAACACACCTTAATATAAACAAAATGATGGCTTGTTGAACACCCATGATATCGGATTTAGTGCGAAAAGCGAAGTTGTGATTGAAGTTATCCTTGATGAATAGACATCAATTCAAATAATTTCCTTTACGTCATTGATTGTCACATGACAAATGTCGCGTTGTTGTATGACGGTTATATCATTATACCGTTGTAGGAGATGTGCTAGTGGGGTGGTATTTGTTTATCTTAAATGCGCTGATGAAACAGTTACACACGACTTATTCTATAGTTGACGACAAAGAGTACACAATCTAGTCAAAACAAAATGCAAACTACAATAATTCGTTTTTGAGTATATTAACATTTGAAAATAATTTAAAAGCCGTTCGAATGGTAAAATTTTATTCCTTAATTCATCGCCCATAGCGTGGTTATAAAATATTTTAATTTAGAATTTACCTGCTATAATTTATTAACAAAAAAACGCTGGAGAGCCAACCAATGTTTTGCAACACCGGAAGTATAACTTATGAATATTTGAAAGGCAAATTACATGTTTGTTTATAAAAAAACACGTTATAAAAACAACTAGTAGCTTGCCCTTGACAAGTTTCCAACTAGTCAGAACAAAGATACGAACTGACAAATTACCGTATCTCAATTAAGTATTTACTAACATTGAGTGAAAGGTCATAAAAATCAAATTGTCATCTTGTACAACGACAAGTGTGAATAGTTTAAGACACTCAATTCACAAAAGTGATTGCAAGAATTGCAAGAATTTCTATTATAAATAAAACGCATTTATTATGTATGTTCTCATAGGCAGAATGGAGTTCGCGTTTGAATGATAAAAGCGTAATACAGGAAACATAGAGTAATGTTTCACCTTACTTTAACTGTATTGTTGTTATTATTCATTTTTTATTTGCTGCATGAACACGAACGCAAGCAATAATAAAAGATATAACAATACGAATGCATTCATGGAGTAACAACGTGGCTTCAGCATATAGCCACGTTGGTGCCAGGACTAGCTCGTGACCTTTACACGTGAGTATCACATGTCAAGAAATAGTTGTAGGGAAATCCCAAGACTTCATTATCACTGTAAGTAAGCACCTAAACAATCTGCTATAAAAACTAGTGCAATTTTGCAAAATGAAATAAAACAATTTTGAAACTCAAAATAATAACATTAAATGTTAGGATTAGATCAAAAAATTCAAAATAACACCTAATGAAAACGAAAGCAAAATAAGCAAAAACTCTTTTGATTTGTAACTTTAGGGATTTTATTGAAGTTTGCATGTGACATATAATAAAAAATTTTAAGTAAACATACAAATCGTGCCAAATTTGGTAGCAACAAAGCATGTACACAACTAAAACGACATTAAGAAAAAAGTCTTTCCATCAAACTATATAACATCTCTGCAATTACAAAACCAAATAAAATAAATCAAATTTATAAATATAATAGTATTTTTCAAACAATATATTGACATGCTGCATGCCTTATATTATTCTCATTGCTCCAACTACATAGGTGACAGCAAACGTCTCTCTGGTTAGCTGCTGAAAACGTAGTATTACTTTAATTTTTCTTCAATGTCACAAAACAAAATACAAAATCTTAAAACGTTATGTAAGCGTCAAAAAGTACTACAGATGCTGCAAAATTTTGTTTGAAATGTTTCAGATTGTATGGTGAAAACATATTCGAAAAATTAACACTCCTCAATTTATCTCAACGTACATATTCACGATGAATGTTCCAGGAGATCGAGGTGTCACCTATGCAGTCAGATTACATAATTATGTGCCTTTGGCACTGTAAAAATAGATAATAGATAAGTTTCGTCAAAAACTATATACAAACTATAAGATAATTTTTTGGTAATCACACAGGAAGGCGTGCCATAAACGATTGCATATCTTCGCTGAAGACTATAGAGACACAGAAACTTTTTTTATTTTTATTTAGACTTTAGCTGAAAGCAAATTACCTAAACAGGTATTGGGCGCTGGTCCTTTAAAAGTTTTTTAAAAAAGAAAATCAATAATTCAACAAGAATGAAAAACACAATTTTCTCTTAAGTTTGATCTTAGATTGCTGTGTACAAGTTTAAAATTTTCCATTACCGTTCCCTCCAGGCTATACCGGTTCAACAATCGACGTAGTATCTAATCCTGCTCGCTTGAATTAAACTGCAGAGATAGTCAAGATACGAAAAAAGTAAGTGAGAATGAATATACGAATTACCAAATGATTGAATGTGCGTTGCATTTAGGGAAAGTATTCACGACAGTTTTCATTATATGATTATCAATCTCATAGGGCACAAATGTAATTTCAAATGGACATCAAGGCAAGTTCAATATCATCCAACAATTATCTATGGCACGACTTGTCCATGTGATCTTTTAATTTATGAAAAAGACAATATAAAATAACCTCTGTAAAGTATGAACGCAAATATTTCAACAATCGTTATTAGATTACTTACATGTCAAAATTCTACCACAAAAATTAAATTTCTCAGCTGAAACAAATAGTAAATATGGCAAATTAAACATAAACAAACAATTCAATTATTTATCCGAACTAATCAAATTATCGAAACTGTGATATCTTTTTTTATTTTTACGATTTTTATAACATTTTTTATAGAAATTTTTCGTCTTATTAAGTTGCTATTTCTTTTGAAAGACAATGTAAAATAACGTCTGTAACGTAAAAACGCTAATATTTCAACAACCCTTAATAGGTTACTACAAAATTCTACCAAAAAATTGAAATTTCATAATTCAAACAAAAACGAAGTGTAACAAATTAATAGAAATTTTTGAACGTAAATAAAGTCAATAATGCATGCTCTTTTTTGTTTTTTTCGATTTTTATATTATTTTTTGTGAATTTTATTTTTCTAAATGTAAAAATTTTTTTGTATGTTTTATTTTTCGGTAATTGACGAAGTTTCAGAAAAATCAGGGCTCGTAATATACAGATGCTGTATTACTAAAGTGGTTTTTTCTTGTCTGGCAAAAAATGGAAAACATGAAATACGCAAATGTATGTACGTCTAAATAGACTTCTCGTTGAAACTTAAATATTTAATTATGATATTTACGAGTCTTGATGAAATCCATTCAACTTTAATGTGATCCTTCGAAGAATTTATTTGTTAGATTTTCATGCAAGTCCATGACATGGGATGTGGCTTTTCCAGGCGAGGCAATTTGACTTCCATCACTGCAACAAGATATTATTCAACTTAAGTATTATGATATTTTCAATTTTCAAAGTAATGGAAAAGAAAATTACAAGTTAAATATTTTGCTGTTCACAATGTTAACATGCAAAAACTTATAAGCTCCTACTTGCGCATTGGTGAAAAAGTGCTTTAATTGCTTGCATGATTAATATTCTTTCAATTTACTAATGCTGAAATGTTCTCTGCTTAGTTGTCTTTCCGTGTATCTTCTTCATTCTACATGCATGTATTCTACATCATGGTTTAATCTCAATATGAACTAAAATGGCTTTGGTTTACAAGAGATATTTTTTATATAATAACCAGAAGAATTTAAGCAATTTCATTGGTTGAGAGCTATGACCTATAAGAGGACATACGCACGGAATCGACGTCACAGGAAGTTTCATGTTTATGAAAACCAATAAAAACAAACAAATGGCGGATATATTTGAAAATTTATCGCAATACCTTCCTGAATGGGAAAATAAACATTTTCAAAGACCTAGTTGAGGCAGTTAACGTATCTGAGTAAAAAGTAAAGAAAAAACCCGGTTTTCAAACATTAATTTGCATTTCGTCTTCGATAACAAAATTTCAAGAAAATTGATCAGCCATTGTTTGTTATTTTATTAGCTAATCACATTTTATCACGTGATCAGGCTAGCCAATAGCATTTCTTAAATACTATAGATCACTCGCACCGGCAGCTCGTGGCTACTTTTCAGTTTTTATCACAATTGACTTCATACCCGTGTATCTATACCTGTATAGACAACGGTTAAATGTTATCTATTTGTTAAATAACAGCGTCTTGATTTTTGCATGATAGCAACAAAGTATAACTAGATTGTTGTATTGTCATTAGCGTTGACTTTTGCATTGGCTTTACCATGAGCACGAATGTTTGCATTATTATAATAGCATTTCTCTTAGTATTATTATTAGTATTAGTATTGATAATTTATACACTTGGCTAATAAAAAAAATTGTAAATGCATATTAAAATCTTAGTCTGCATTTTTCTCTAGCACTCTCTTGAATGTCCCAAGAAACACTTCTTAACACAAAATATTCGCAATTTTTCTTTGCCATCAAAGTTTGTAATAGTTTCATTAAGTTTTAGCTACAGAAGAATGAAGTGCTGATGCTCGTAGGATAATGCATGAGAAGTGGAAGCTAATTAAGGCTTTAAGTTCGCGTGTGCTTTCCACTCATGTATTGAAGCCATACGTCATTGAGAATTCATATTGAGACTTGGAGAGACTCCAAGTAGTAAACTTTCAGGGGAAAAACTATGAAATAACTAGCCCTAAAGAAACCTAAATTATCGAGGAATGTTCAGGCGTACCTGCTTGAAGCCATCAGGACATTTTGCCCTTCATTGATCTGTTTGTTTTTACCACGTTTACAAACGAACAACTTGAGAATGACCCCTAAAGCTGCAGTGACAATTACAACCAGGCAAGCAAATGTAGGAGGTACCCACGAGTTTTTCCAAAAACCTCGTTGACTCGAACTCTCAATCACAGTCCGTTTTGTCGTGAAAAGAGTTACCGTCTTATTACTCGTCTCACTCGAGGTATTTCCTGGTAACTGATGGTGAATTTTTTTCCAGGCCATATGTATTGTGCTCGTTGGATTAATGAAGGCAATCGTCGTTGTCGCGTTTATTACTCTGGACAGTGTCAAGTCGATAGTTGTCGCGGAGGTGGTCGTTGACGGGAATATACTAGTCGAAAGCAATCCTCCTACAGGTAAGATGTTTAAGAAAGTGTTCAACTTTACATGTATTGTATGAGATAGACATGTAAATCACACTGTATAAATTTTATAATTTTTTTAATTACTGCTAGAGAGAGTGATGTCAGATAAATGGATACTGGTTAGAACTTAGTTGCTCCAAAACGAATTCGATATTACGTTCATTGTGTATTGGTTTAATGCAAAACTTGACACGTTCTGCGTAAACAATTGGTCATGCAATGCCAGTTGACAGCCATTTTTCTTTGTTTGCCGGTTGGCCACTCATTAATTTGACACTTCATTACCATTATTCTTAATGGTCACCTTAAGCTAGATTTGACACTATAACTATACTACAAAAATGCATTGTCGCCATATTAGAAAAGGGGTCGGCAAATTTAGATGGGTCTATATTTTCGTATGTTACAGTGGTTTCAAGAAACTTTCAAATTACTATTCTTCATATCAAATAGCTGTCTGATTAAATTTCTTAGCTAAAATTTGATATATTAATCCAAACCACAGAAATTTGTGGTTTGATGTTTGCTGGAAAAGATATACTTCAATTCACTGTAAACATTTTATGAAGTCAAAATTTCGAAAAGGAATCTTTACAATAATAATATCAATCAATCTCTTGAGAGATTTGTTTGTTTTCCTCTTTTGAAAAAACATGTCGTTCATGTCAAGTGATTAGTTATTTTGTGATGTTTACATCCGCTTGGGCGGTATTTGATATGCTTAAGATGTTTTCGACAAATTTAGGCTATTAAATACCTTATATGAAAAGGTAAATAGGTAAAGGCATTTACAGTTGATATGCTGCCTAAAAAACTAAATAACCTTTATCAAAATATTGCTGGCAAACTGTTGTTCCATGTATGCCGGTTTTTCCCCTCATTGATGAGGGAAAGCCCCTTTCAATGCGAGTTTTAACAGTTTTATTATCTTAAAAATACGCAAAACTGGGCTTTTTGTCACTTAAATAAATGAAGAGCGACTACGTGCACTTCGATATGTGAAAAATTCTTCAAATTGAATGCAGATTTTGACTTTCGTAACATGTATGGCGTAAGCAAAACAATGAACTTTGACACATTGAAATACGTTATTGTTAAATAATATAGTTGTATTCAATTTTCACTTACTGCATGCTTTATAGCATCTATCTGCATCCCGTCCTTGATTTTGCAATTTTTCAATTTCTTTGGACATGGATGGCAATTCCAATCTATGAACTCGCTCAGATATTCACCTGGTTTACAACCCGTTACGATGACGATGACACTTGACACAAACAGTATATTGATTAACACTTGATGCATGTTTCTAGTTTATATACTGAAGCGATATGCGTGAAATTTAGATAGATTCAAAAGGAAACCTTTCTCGTCCAAATGCTAACGTTTGCTAGACGTTTAAATAGCATCACAAAATAACATAGTTTAACAATAATAATTATTTCCGATATACATATTTATCAGTCAATATACATTCCGGCATAATTTCTTGAGGGGCTAAATTGGTAAATAATTATATAGTGCATTGCTATGCGACAACTTTCCGGGGTCGAATCGTCGTGTCAACGTTTGAATGAATGCCGCTCTAATCTCTACGTTAAGCAATTTAATTGTTGTGATATCCATATACTTACTTGTCATTATCCACAGATATTTATTGAGATCTAATGGGTTTTTTTACAAAAAATGTCTAAGTTAAAAGTTTTGATAAGAGCATTCACAGTCATGCTTGTTAACTTATATTTCTTTTTAAAAATCCCTTCTGACTTTCTTAATTAACGAGATGCTAATAGTCGTAAACGTCATCGTATCCCTATCACTATTAATATCAATATGAGTAGAAGTGCGGTCGAAGAAGACGTAATGGAAACAGGAATGATTGAATTTTCTAAATTGCCTTTCGTTTCGACGTATCATTGCTCTGAATTTTACTGTATATGGATGAATTTTCCTTTGACCATGACCATCCAGTTGAAGGTGATGATTTCAGATCATTATGCAGATCGCAATTTATGTGCAAGGAAATGATCTAATTGATTTTGATGGAGCTAAAATGACTTTACTGTTCAGCCATGGCAGTGGTATGTTTCCGTTTAAAATAGCCTTAATTAAAGACTGGAGTCATGGAACACCATAAACAGATCTCTTCTATGGATTCTATTTTCAGGAAGTGGTTGCAAACTAAAGATATGTTGTAGGGTTGTATCAGTTTTATTAGGGAAATTATCTCCACTTTTCTTAAAGTGAATACGACATTTTATCAAGCTAAACAGCTCTATCATTAATTTATATTAGTTTTTCTCCTAAACTTAGAATCGTTTTGCTATAGTCTTGTCTCGAAACTAACATCATTTAAATTAGTTCTCTTCTTAATCAAAATATTTCAACTCTGGCCGGGGTGTTGATTTTCCGTCAAGGTATCAAAGCTTGTATGAATATAGCTATCAAAAAAGATCAATAATGTAAATGAGTTGTAAAACGAAAACTATTTTTAAGCAGTTGGCAATCACGAGAACACAAACATAAACAAGGCATCCAAAATAAGATGTACGTCTATGAAAACTCACTACAGCCGGTTGATGCAATTGCAGAGCTGGATTAAGGTGGCTCCAAGGGGGGCACCAAAGAAAACGAGCGAATAGGGGCCATCCACCAAATCAGTCAACATGCTCAGCTGATTATACAAGTGACGGCGTGGCAAATAATAACAACATTAGTCTTTTTAAATGTGCAAAAGATGTTCAACAAAGTGGTAAAAAGTGTCGAAGCTCTCAACTTAACAACCTAAAAATTACAAATATTATAGGACAGCCAAACAAAAATGTTCTACTGCTCTTTTTCTATCTCCAAAATCACGTTGGAAATTTGTGTTTAGGGACTGGTTGTGCTTCTTGCATGCATGCTATTAATTGTTTCCAGTATTGTTCAATGCACACGCCGTTACATGCACTTCCAAATTTTTAATTTGCTTATGCATCAAATATCACACACAATAGAAATTTTTTAGAGAACATTACCTACGTAAGAAAGGCTACCTATAAGGTGGGCTCCAGGCTTTTTAAAAGGTTAATCCAATATACACTTCATATGGCACGAAAAAAGGAAACTCCCATCCTTCAGAAAGTGGTCACGTGATTTTTAAAGTTACAAGCCTACTATTACACTCATGATGTATTCTGAAATGTCTTTCCTAAATATTTAATATGGCATTGACATTATGGGTAATTAATATAAATACCATCCTATAAAATGTCTTATTTGTTTCTTATTACATGTTAGTGATAGTGATTTGTTGAATCAGCTTTCATTTTCCGAGATGAAATCTTATTTCACAAGATTAAATCTTTGTTATCTCAAAATTTGTACTAGTGTATTTACTAGTCACTGATATAACACGAGCGGATAGAAAAACACACTTGTCCTAAGAACATTCACACATCAATTTTCCAAAAATTCCTTTGCAAATTTTCGTGCGAACTCGCTCCATCTTCGTAAGTTTTTACGTAACAATATCACTAATAACAGCAAGATAACGATAGCAGGTGTAACTGAAACAGGAATGATCCACTTGTCATCTGTATCGGTAGTAGTCGACGTCTCATAACTATGAATTCTACTGTATGTAGATGGAGCCTTTGTCTCCCATGAATTTTTGTCTGGAGTTTGTAACTGTTTTCGGTGGTAGAGAGTTTAGAACTGGTCGTCATAATGTAGGTTTTTGTACTTGCTGACGATGTCTCAATCGTGGTATTCAATGAAACAGGTGTTGAAAATGAGGATTCTGCAAATGAACACGTTATTGAACTTGCACTATGCACAAATCTTTTAGGAACAAAGTATAATTTCAACATATTCTCATTTTCCCAATCAATAATCATTTTCCAAATTGGAAAATGGATACAGTTGTGAGTGGTCTTTTTAAACAAATTAGAAAAGTGAGCATAATGTAGAATTGATAGCTATTAATCAACTCTCCGTGTGATTTCCCTTCTATTTTGACAATCGACAAAATAACAGACAAATATAGAAGTGTTGGAGAAATCCTCGGGCTCTAACTTAATTGGAATAGTAGATTGAGCTTATCTTATTATACGTAAGAAATGCTCGTTAGTTAAAGTCAAAATATTGACTGTGGCTATAAGGTTATTCTTCATATGGAAATTTCGAGCGCGTGCAGTGATAATTAAATAATATAACTGCAAGGGCATTCACCCCATTAGTCCTAATCTTGTCACAGTAATTTCATAAGCCTTATTACCCAATAGAATGGTTCTTTAAAGAATCTCTGTAAAGGATTTGTTTTTTATTACTTATTTGAAACATATATCGGTCTTGAATTTTGTTTCATGAAGTATAATTGTATCGTACATTGAACCTAAATGTGGTCTAAACTCCTTGGCAATATGCTGAGCTCTTTTATTTTGACACATGAGGAATCTCCCAATAAGAAATATTGGGCGGCGCCAAACTCGTTGCATGCAGCCCAGTAATTTGAAATTCCATTGCACTTATTTTAAATTAATACATAGACCAAGTTCAAACGTCGAACTTCATATTAGCCAAACGCATTAAAAAACAAAAGATAATGAGGAAGTTCATCTCATTTTCTATCGTCTTTAATGCGTTTAGTGTATTAAAGTTTGACGTTTGAAACAGGCCTCAGTCGGAAATAAATAATTTAAACTCTAATCAGTGAGCATTGTCGATAATTATTCTGTTGATGTCAGGGGCGGATCTAGGGGTAGGCACCATAGGCAAGTGCCAATGGTATGGTGAAATTACCAAAATATACTTCGACTTAGATTCGATACGAATTTATCGAATTATGAAACTATGAATAGCACTTTATCGCAGTCAAATCATCTGACTTTTGTTTAGAAATGTTGTGCAATTAAATGACGTAATTTTGATATGAATCGTAGTCCAGATGCGTATGATTATCTATAAAGCTCCGTGTCGTTAGGCAAAGCAGCCATTTTGCCTAAGTCAAGAAGGCGATCTAGCCATTTGATTGGTTGTTAGCAATTTGCCTAAACAAGATGAATTTGCCTAACTTGACATCGTGTATAGGTATTCTGATTGGGCAATTTTTGCAACCGTATGCTTTCATTGGTCAATTTTTTTAACTTGAGCAATTCCAACCAATCATTGCTGTTGATAAGCATAGTTGAGCTAGGCAAATTAGGCAATTGAAAATTAACATACACTCGTATTGTTTCTGAACAGCCTCTGTGCTCAGTTTACGGTTTTGTGATATTTTATAATGTCTTCATTGTGTTGTGGTAATTTATACGAGACTGCTCAGTCTGCGTTGGCCAAAACGATTTAAAATGCCTTAATGAGCTTTATTCTCGTTTATTGGTCGACGTTCGACCTATGTTTACTAACGAGCAGCTGTTAGATAGAATTTATGACCCCGACCATACTCTGTGTCGAAATTTTGGAGCTGAAATATATGTGCCAAAGCACGCTCATGACGGAAAGACTTGTACTGCAATAAGGTAAATATATTATAATTATATATATCGTATTGTAGTATTTATATATACGTGTAAAATGGTTAAATCTCAATTTCGCTAGGCTATATCTTTGTCTACAGTCAGCAATTCATTCATACAATGCAATCAATCTACCAAACAAAATATTAATTTCTTTTCTTGAATATTTTTAAGATCTGAAGCTTCTGGCAATTGCCTCTACAGTTCAGCTTCCTAGTTCTGGTAGGTAAATAGGTCCCTACTTTGCGAATTTAACATTGCTAGCTATTTATTCATGCTGCTTTTTATGCTTCAACACCCACAGCTTTTGTCTGTTATAATTGAGCATTTATTCATGCTGCTTATGCTCAACAGCTTATAACACATGATTACTTTGCCCAAAGCTTAAACAATCTTTGTTTGTCAGTGTCTAAAGAATGTTTAGACACTGGATATACAACAGATGAACTGGTAAAACAGGAGGCTATTTTAAATTGTAATGACCAGAAATGGTCATCTTTTCTTTGTATTTTGGGCCTATCTTCTGTTTTAGGTAGAAAAATTCATACTTTTTATCCTGATTCTGGTGAAAGTAGATATAAATTGTTATTTAATCGTATTGTTCAGCCCCGGTTATTAAGCCAAAGAGGTTTGGATGCTATTAATATTTTGTTTTGTCATGAAGGATCTGTACAACCAGGTGAGACTTTTCAGTCTAATCATTTTGTGCCTCTCATTTTCCATGCCCACAGGTTGAAGCGAAAATTGTCTAATTCCTGTACACAGTCTAATTCTAGCAGCTCAACAACAGAGAAACGAAAATTTGTCAAAATTTTTCCAAATATTGCACCAAAAACAGTTGACATTTCAAATTTTTTTACTTCAACTAATAGGCCTGCTGCCCAACCAACTTTTAAAAGGATGCCCAATGAGAGTTTTTCTTCTGCTGCAGCTCTTGCTCAGACATTAAATAAAGCCAATAGTCTTTTGCTTCACACATCATCCCAGGAACTATTGCCTGGTATTCCAACTTCTGGTGATATGCAACCTGCTGTTTTAACCCATAATTTTGATGTTTCCTTGTATAGGGAGAAAGTTAAGGGTATGGATAATTCTGAAATATGTCATTTGATAAAAAAATGTATATAAACCAGATAAAAAGTATCATTTTCCTAAATCTAATGGCAGATCATTTAGGCATGATTGGCTAGACCAGCATGAATGGCTTTGCTATTCACCTTCACAAAATGGTGCGTATTGTCTATCGTGTGTGTTGTTTGGCAATAGATTCCCAGGCAAGGCCAGTAAAGTAAAAAAAGTTGTTTACTGAACCTCTTCAAGATTGGAAGAATGCTAAATGCTCTTTCACTCAACATGCTGGAAAAAGTAAAGGAGGGAAGTCGGTTTGCATGCATCCACATCACCAATTTTGATGCTTTGCGTTCCCAAATATCAGGTACTCTGCAGCCTATCGAGATGATCATGGATGCTGGTATCAAGAAAGAAATAGAACAGAATAGGGAAATACTATCTCCAATTATTGATTCTGTCATTTTTTGTGGACGTCTAGGTTTACCTCTTCGTGGGCATCGTGATGATTCCAAGTATCACCCTACTGTTGGTTGTTATTCATCTGGAGGGTTGGTAATTTCATTGAAACACTCAATTATGGAGTTAGGAGAGGGGATAAAGTTTTAGAAAATCATTTAAAGAATTGTGGTAAGAATAGAAGTTATATTTCTAAAACAAGTCAAAATAAAATCATTAAATGTTGTGGCCAGGTAATCAGTAATCAGATTATTTCTGATATCAAAAAGTAAGTTTTTTCTGTTATTGCTGATGAAGCATCTGATTCTTCACATAAAGAACAAATGTCTCTTGTTTTGCGCTTTGTTGATACCGATATGAATATCAGGGAAGAATTCATTTCATTTCTTTTTGTAAGTGGGGACTAAGTGGTGCTCAACTTGCCAAGCTACTTTTAGAGGCTCTAAAGGAACTGACTTTATCAATAGATGATTGTAGGGGGCAAGGTTATGATGGGGCTGGTTCAGTTGCTGGTTGCACTAATGGTCTAGCAGCTCAAATTTTAAAGCTTAACCCAAAGGCTCTTTATACACACTGCTATAGTCATAGGTTAAACTTATCCATTTGCGATTCTTTGAGTATACGTGTTGTCAATGATATGTTGAAACATGTTAACAATGCCACTAATTTTATTAAAATTTCCCAAACTCGCAATATTCCCTTTGAAAACATATACGTAATTCAGAAACAAACTCGAAAAAGACTAGATTAACAGACGTTTGCAAAACTAGATGGGTAGAACGTATCGAAGGTTTAGATACATTCCAAGAGCTTTTGTACCTGTATACACCACCCTTAACGATATGTCTGAAAATCTAGATGGTGAGTTCAAACCGTCGCTTCAGTCTGATGCCTCATCTTTGTTTCAACTTATTGACAGGTTTGATTTCGTCGTTGCTTTAGTTATCACGAGAAATATTCTTGATTCAACTCTTCCAGTAACACAGTTATTACAGGGTAAGAGTATCGATATAATGGATGGTATTCATTTAATTTCAACTTTGAAAACTGAGGTGGTGAACATGAGGAATTCCTCTGATTTTTATCATGACACCTGGTATGACGAAGCGCTTGAACTGGCAGCAAAAGTTGGCATTGAAGAATGGAAACCAAGAACAGTGCGCAAACAAACGACCAGGGAAAATATTCCCCACACAACCATTTCTGAGTATTATAAACGTGCAATTACTCTTCCTCTACTAGATCATTTGCAATCTTCTTTAGAATCACGATTCGACCTTGAGAGTGTGAATGTCTATAAAGGCCTTAGCATTGTACCGACGAAAATGATGTCCATGACAAGAGATGGGGTGGATTGGAAAGAGCCATTCAAAACTGTGGCTAACTTTTATTATGATGATTTGCCAAATCCTTTGGCCTTAGATGCTGAACTTAGGTTGTGGTACACTTATTGGGAGACCCACTGCGGCCTCCTTCCTGATAACATTGCCCAGACTTTAAAATCTGTTCATTTCGCCGGATTTGAAAACATTAAAATTTTACTACGTATTTTAGGAACGCTCCCCATTACCTCTTGTGAATGTGAACGATCTATTTCTTCCCTTAGGACACTTAAAAACTATCAGCGAAGTACCATGGTTGGGGAACGCTTAAATGGTTTGGCCTTGATGCAAATTCATCAGGAAATTGTACCAGATATTGGTGAGGTTATTAATACTTTTGCTGTTGGAAATACAAGGCTAAAATTTGCATGAATTTATTCATATCCTAGTTTTTTATTTTGTTGAAATGTCCATATGTTAACCATTTATTGTGCGTTGTACACAATAGTAACGTCAATAGAATTTGCATCAAACTAATAGCTCGCCCGATAAAGGTTTTTTCCTATATACATTCCAATCTTAAAACTGCTGAGTACGTGTATGGTACTCGGCCGTTGTCGACATAAATTTACTTTCACAAAATTGTTAAGCATAAATAGAATAATTTTTCCTTACACCAAATTTTAGTCTTCACAAAGACTCTTTATACAAAGCTCTATTTTGACTATTACATTACATTTACATTCTGCTCATTTGTTGGCAAATGAGAGTGCACATTTTAGGTGGGGGGTAAAGGGTTGGAATTGACTGGGATGGTGTAAGAAACTGAGCAATCTTACATCCATGAAATGTCCCACATAGTCACCCATTTCTAACCAAACTCCTTTTGCTATTTGCTAAAGGTGTGAAAGGCGAGTTTCTGGCGCCTTCAAAAACCAGAGTGCTCATTTTTAGGTGGGGGGTAAAGGGTTGGAATTGACTGGGATGGTGTGAAAAATTGAGCAATATCACATCCATGAAATATCCCATATAGTCACCCATTTCTAACCAAACTCCTTTTAAAGGTGTGAAAGGAGTTTCTGGCGCCTTCAAAACCAGAGTGCTCATTTTTAGGTGGGGGGTAAAGGGTTGGAATTGACTGGGATGGTGTGAAAAATTGAGCAATATCACATCCATGAAATATCCCATATAGTCACCCATTTCTAACCAAACTCCTTTTCAAGGTGTGTAGGCGAACTTCTGGCGCCATAACCAGTCTGCTTAATTCGGCTCTCACAGGGCTGTCCATGCCGGATCACGATTTTTTGTTTTGCGTTAAAGTGTTCCTAGGCATGCTGATGAGCCCTGATATGGGGCGAAACAGTCTTGTGTGCATTCAATATTCTGAATAGTGAAAATCAACGACCTTGTGATGTAAGTATAAATATACAATGTTTTATGTATTTATACGATTGAGATCTAAATTCTGCATAGCTGAATGATTAGACTGTTTGATTTAAACAATTTATCGAAAGCATAAATAGTGTAGTATGTTTTGCAAAGTATGACGTCATAGGTTTAGCACTGAATGACGTCATAATGTTTTGCCTATGGTATCCAAAATCCTAGATCCGCCCCTGGTTGATGTCGGGAGACAATTTTTTGTTTGCTGGCGTATATTCCACAGCGTGTAAGTAATTTCCATAATAAATAGCTGTGTCATCCATGTCTTTTATACGCTTGCTATGTACTGAACTAAAATAACTAGTTTTATACAAGATGTTAGCAGGCAACGTCGGTCACTAAATTGAATGTCCTTTCAACTAAATACTTGCTTCGCTTGAGTCAGCCAATAAATGATTATAATTTCAGAAAGTTCCTCAACTTATAATATAATCACTTATTTGAACCAATATAACAATATCCCATTGACAAACTTAAACTTATAAGCAACAACTTGTTCTGCCAGGCACGCAAATTGTGTCTACATTGCTCTTAGATATCAAAAGCCAAATTTTAAAATTATATAATTGGTCATGAAAAATTTGAACTATGTAAGTAAATTTTGAATAAAATAACGCTTTACAATCCTTAACTGGTCAATATTTACGAATGTGAAATTAAAGGTATTCTGATTAATGTCATGATTTCATACCTAATTTGTTCTTTCAATCGAAGTTCAATCGAAATAGCTTCAATTTGAAGAAGACATGAGTTTCCGCATAGAATTTTAAGAACGAAGGTTGCAAGCAATACCTTTCGAAGTCAATTAATCAAGACGATAAATGTGATGAATGGTTTACTTAGCTACTACAAGAATCTTCGCATTCTTTTGAGTCCATTCCTTGATGTTTGCATTTCTCCAATTTATCTGGGCAGGGATGACAAACATCATCTAAGAACTTTGCGAGATATTGACCAGGTTCACAAGATTTTGACGATTTGGAGAGGCAAACAAAAAGACACAACGCGCAGAGATCATATACGAAATTTTGGTGCATACTATCGAGCCGTATTTTCGAAACATTCAGGGTAAAACCTTTTGTTGGATCTCGCTGACAGATCGAAAAGTTCTAGTAATGCATACTAAAATAGCTATTGTATTAAAAATAAACCTTGAAGGAGGGGGGGGTAAGGAAGATTTATTTTGCATCACTTAATTAAGACAAAAGGACATTAATTGCGCGAAATCATTTTCCTCTTAATTTCTATTAAATAGTAATAATTTGTGTAAATGAGATGTGTGTTACAACATTATCCTCAAGAAATGTTTTAACTATTTAAACAGCAGTTTATAATGGCACCTTGTGCTTTTTAAGAGATTTTTGGTATGTTCAAAAAAGTAACTATTCAGAAGAAAGCACTGTGGTGTAATGCGTCAAATAATTACAAGTTAAGTCTTTAAATATGCGCGCTAGTTATAAGACACTCCTAGTCATTAGGGCCTGTTCATATGAGCCAGGCTGGCCGCTTTACCGGGCAGTAGCGAGTTCCCGCCTCTATTAGTACTTGCATATAATTTCAAATTTCGATTAACATGAGAGGTTGTCTGGTCCGTCTTGCCGGGATCTCGGTATAAATGCGATCATGTGAATGCACCAAGCAGAATAGACCGGCTCATATGAACAGGCAGTTAAATACTTGTTTATAGCCACAAAAGTTGGAACTATAAAGAAACAATGTAGAAAACCATATGCTGCCAGTTGAAGGTGTTTGGCTTCATTATGCAGAGTGCTGTTTCGTTTGTGTGCATATGTGTGCAAAAAAACTGGTTTAAAGAATATTGATACATTAATGTTAAATAATGGCTATAGTATGTCCTGGTTAAGAATTGCCAAAAATATGAATCTTGACTGTTATTGCATCATCAAGCAATTTGGAATCCCCTTAAAAACTTGGAGGAAAACGCAAAACAGATCTCGCTTAAGGATATTATTCTTGGTTTAATAGCAAATGGACCTTAGCTATAAATCAGAATTTGTTGTCAATTAAAGCGGTGTCATTATTTGTCCTTTTACGATTATGATGGGGGGCTAGAAAAAAAAAGGAGTCTTACTGTGAACGTCTTCGTTACCATTTAATTCTCTCGCTGGATGGTTGGAGATAAAATAATTTCTGAGGCAAGGAAAATCATATTTGAGCTGTTTAATGCTTGCCTTGAATCATGGTGCAGTGTGTAAATGACCTTTAGTGTACATCTTCCGGTGCCTTTTAAATGTTGGTTTAAGACAATAGGATAATGATAAGACTTCCTAATTGCCATGATTTGAAGCCCCATGGAAAACCGGTAGGCCATCATTCAAAATTGAGAGCAATGGAAGACAGTTCACAAACGCAAAGAGTTTCGAAGCACAGAATTTAGTTGAAAAGATTTTAAGCATCATTAAATTTTTCTGTAATGTCAAGTTTTGAAATGGCCATGAATTTTCAGCAGATGCTATTGACTAACTTCACAGCCTTTCGCTGTGTGTACTCCTTTGCAAAAATCGAAAACTAACGGCTTTCCATAGAGAACAGTTCTTTTTGTCCACTTTTAAAACAATGTTTATGCTCTGCCTCTTATTAAATCTTAGTCGCTTGCTCATCACTCTTGAGCACTTGTAAATTAGCCACACAAAGAAAAAGTTCTAAGATACTAAATGTGTGAAAGAATAACAGATAGTTTTGCTTCTTCTCAACGCGGTGGCTATTATAACAGTGTTTAGAATACACGACAAGCAACGAAAAATAAACACGATATTTTACACATATTTTTCAAGTACAATAAATCACACTACATCACTCTTTTACTGTTTTTTTTATCAGCAGTTGATTTTCAAGCATGAAAAGAAATGCATGCGATACATCGTTGCAGCTTCAAAGTGTAAAATTTTTAGCTATATTGCAAAATATTCTAGCAAACACTGCAAACTACTATGCCTTCATTTAGAATGATGACGAAGTTATGTTGTCCGGGTTTCCACATGTGTCCTCGTCTCTGTCGCTCCTTGAACGTAATTAAAAAAATTATTCGTCATTTTACAAAGTCTTTCCAATGCATGGTAACAGAAGCCAGAAAAATTTTCAAAACGTTAAGACGTAAATGTATTTTGTCATGCAAGCTAAAATCGACAGTGACGACCCTTTCATGAAAAACTTAGCTACAAAATATCATGCAGGAAGTGCAAGACGACAGTGACAACATATGAGCCTGTATTTATCTCTTTGAATGAAAGAAATGCCCTTACGATTTCATGCATGCCAAATAAAAACAGCGGAATTTTTGTACATTGTCCTTTACATTTGTTTTTCAGTATGATCAAGCATAAATGACTTGAACTACAATTCTGTACAAGTGTGCAATCATGTACAAACACACAATCTCCATTTAGTATGCCATTATAACAGATTATTTAAATAACTCTCGTTAAATTCTATTCAAAATACACTCAGTGGCAATTTTCACATTATATCACTTTCTTTCTTTGTTGAGATTAAAATAACTTCTTTATGACTATGTTTTTGAAACTAAGTCGTTCCTACCTCATCAGAGCATTGCTGGTATCTGCAGGTTGACCTTCTCTGTTTCTTTGCTGATCAACTTCTGTGCTGTTCCTTCCCCTTCGATACATAAGAAACCCAGCAACACCAATGACGAATATCGCACACACGCTAGCCACGCATACAACTGCAACAATTACAAGGTTCACCGAGCCACTGGTGTCATTCTTTCGCATATCAGTTGAGCGACTCCTGCGCTTTTTACTAGACGTGTATATCATCAGTTGCGTATGAAATGTTTTCCAGACATCTGGAAGCTCCGTCGTTGGATACTTTATTGTCAACGTCGTGAACCCATTTATTTTGGTTGGCAATGGTGATGATATTTTTGTGTCGAGTGATGCAATTGCTGTTGTGAACATTTTATCTGTAAGTAAATAGTTTAGTTATAATACATAGATATCTATCTAAGCAAGAATTTCAATGTTTTCCGATAGCGATTAGCATGGTTGTAACGGCAAATAAAATGATTTGCAAGTTGACTGTAAATTTTATAACATGCTCATTGACCGATGAACTTTCAAATACATTATAACTACTGAACCCGTTATATGTCGTCTGTAATGTTGACATATGTGGCCAAACAATGCTGTTGCCACTGAGCTTTGTAGCTGCCGGGCAGAAATCGAATTCTCAATATGACGATTAAAGCCAAATGCTGAGATCATTTTTAAGAAAGGCATTAGCGTTTGATTTTATGATACTTTGAAGAAGGAGTCTTTAATAATGAAAAAAGTTTTTATAGATTTTGGATTTTTGAGTTTTTGGAAGTCTATACCTATTCGTGAGCAAGTGGGATGAAAATGTCTTGAGTCAAGGCGAAAGTCACTTCCTTTTTAAAACAAATATTAAGGCTTTCTTGAAAACCATCTGTTGAGCTCCTTATCTCTATATATAGATAAAGTACATAACTGACATAACGTCTTTACCTAAAGAATCTCGACATTGTCAGCCTGCTGTGTTTAATTAGTCTTTTTAAACTTTAATAATAATAATAGCTAATCTTTATTGAGGATGCCAACATCACTAAAAAGTGGTTTACAGAGGGGTCCTCTAAAAGTAACTAAATCTGATATAACTATTTAAAAATAAAAAGAAAAAGAATACAATGCTCATATGTTGTCACTGTCGTCTTGCACTTCCTGCATGATGTTCTTCTATGTTCTTGTGTAATATGTTGTCAAGAATTTTCAATTCGTGTATTAATTGTTTGTAGCAGTGAGTAAACTGATGCAAAATATAGTTGTTGTTACTGATTTTAGTAAAAATCGTAATTCAGACTCGTGGAGTGTATGGCCAGTGCGATGGATCACCCAGTCGGTGGGGCACTGAATGTAAAAACAATAGATGTCTATAGAAAGAAATCACAATGATCTATAGTTTACATAGCTCCGAACTAAACTTGCGACCTGAAAACGTCACTGTCACTCTTTTATTCAGTTAAAGCTTTCGGGCTCTCATACATCAAAGAGTGTAAAGAAGGTCGCAGTGTTATGTTGTGCCTCGCAGCCCCAGGGTGAATTGGCTGATTTTGGGTGAGTCTATTTTACCATGCACGTCAAATAGATTATGCTGCATTTAGTACATGTCAAGCATAAGTGACTTAAGCACGACATTTGCTATAAGAGACCAAAATTGTACGAATGAATGCGCTTGACCTTTCTAGAATCAGGAAATATTTAAGTGGCTTTATCGGAACGGAATATATTGCAGACAAAGCACTTTCTTGATATTGTGTATATTTCGTTATATTTTCAACCTATATAGTTTGTACACCATCAGAGAATATATATAATATATTAATATATAGTTTGTACACCGAGACTCATTAAAATTTGAAATTCTGTTAAGAGTGTGTTGGTTGAAGACTTTTAAATACACGCAGTTATTTACGAGTTATGTATTTGAATATATTGATGTCGCAATTATGCAAACTGTTTCCACTTTATATGAATGTAACATTTTATCAATCTAAAGAGCTCTATCATTCGCATATGTTGTTTATGTTTGTTTTTCAAGTTTGTTAAACCCTAAATAAATAAGATTTGGCATAGATCCTTTATTAAACTTAACATACGCATTGTTGCGAACTTTGCATAATGTTAATTTTGTTATAATTATGAACGTCATAAAGTTATCGATTAGCTATTAACAACATTTTCACATTAATGCCATCTCCGTGTTTTACTAATCTTAGTCGTTGTTTCGTCGGCTTATACTAACCATGAATTAAACGCTGAATCCGACAACGTCTTTCTTTGTTTGTCAATCGTTTTCTAATATCTTCTCATTGTATTAACAATAGCTTATCATTTAAAATGTTTGGTAACATAGGTGATAGAGATTGTCCAACACACGAAACTGATAGAATAGATGATAACAGTACACTTGTTTTACTTACCACATGAACTCCGACAACTTTGAGCATCTTCTCCATGACTGCCACAGTCTTTTATGTTTGTACTTGGGCAAGGACTGCAGCCTGAACTCAAAAATTTACTGGCGAACTGCCCGTAAGGGCAACACACTACGCCTTTGACAAACAGCGCCACTACTGCGAAAAGCTTACCAAACTTCATTGACCGTTCACTTTAATTTAATTCGCGTGGCTGAAAATTAGTTTGTTAAATATTTATAGCATATCACGTGCGTCCAAAGTACAACTACTGATGCAATATGTTAAATAATGACTATCGATAAAACCTTTCTTGCTAATGCGAAAAATTCCGAATTTTAATTTTGTCAATTTTCAAAGTAGAAAAAAAACCAGGTTAGGATAATTTTGAGTTTATTTAACAATTGTTGAGCTCAAATACTTAAGAGTTGCCTAGAATACATGGGCGTGTCGGGGGAGGCATGCGAATTGAAAAGCCCAGAATGTTGGTCAAAAAAGACTTATCGGCCAAAATTCATTGGATAGTCGGGCAAATATGTGATAAGAAAAAGAACTGTAGTTGAAACATAAACAGTCAACCGTGGCAAACGTCACGCTGACACATGCCAGGACTTAGATTGTGACCATAACAATCGATGAGCGTTTTGTCGACGCACAAAAAATCTAAAGTTAAAAAATCCACTAATTTTAACCATTATTAAGATAACATATTATTATGATAATACACAGTGTTCGCTAAACAGCACTTATTGTACGACGGGAATGATTTGTAGTCATTGTAGTCATATAGCTATATTGCTTGCAGAATTCATAATTAAAAGTCATCAAATTGTTTTTTCAAAACAAGGACATAGACACAATTATGAATAATATATAGACCTCTCTGTTTATAATGATTTGACTGCTTGCGCTTTAAAATACATTGTAGCCATTAGAACTTTAAAGTTGTGTGTAAAAATTGATTATATTTATACAGAAATAATTTGAAAATTATTCATTTATTACACACTCGTACTCGTTCAAAGATACCGTTTCTAAGTGAAATTTTTGCAACCGAAATAATTATAAACTCGTCCATAATTCTTTATATTTAGATCTAAAGTTGTTCGTTTCGGCTGGTCCAATCTTTAACATGTTTTGGAGAAACTGATTGCTTACTTTACGTCACACGTAAACGGGGCTCCCGGCTGTAAATATTGACTGCTCGTGCTTACCACCCTATAACTTCACTGCTTTTTGCGTACATAGAGAATAGACGACTGGATTTGCTGTAATTTTTGTCACATAGATGTAGGACATACAATTCAGCTTATTAACAAAATCCATATTATTAACAGTACTATACAAAATATAACAAAAATGCTACATCAATTATGTATAATTTCACTCAACTCATCACTGAGTCTTTAGCTTATGCTATGGCATTGCATAAATGATAAAGAAATTCTGAGTCTGCATGCATGTTGACTTATAGAAACATGTATCTAAGTTGATGCGTAAAAAAATTTTGATTGTTCCATTGAAAAACCACGGTGCATTGTAACTAGCTAGCTATATCCATTTGTGCAGTATTCAACAATAATTTATTCTAACAAAACAGACCTAGAATTCAAAATATTTTATGAAAGTTGTAAACTTTACTATGAACGGAAAATATAGTTTTAAGTATTTGTATAGTGTACCTTGGGGATATTTCTCGACTGTGATTGGTTGATTGCTCAGTGCAGTTTATATGTAGTTGCTACTGCGAAAAAGTGTAATTGCTCTGTTGAAAAGCTGTAATTGCTCTGTTGAAAAAGATGTAGCTAATTGCTCGATAAAAAAGTGTAATTGCACTGTAAATACTGTTTCCTGATTTGTCAAAAGCAGTGAAAGCCAAACAAACTTCTTTTCAATAAAAAAAAATGGCTGCAGTTCTAAGTTAGCAAAGATTTCCACAATTGCAGATGTTTGAGAATCAAGAATGCAAAGAATAAAACAAAACAGTAAGTATACTGTTTTTTGGTGAATGTTTTTCACAGTTAGGCCGCGTAACAAGCCTTTCTGAAGCCATTAAAAATAACGAAGCGAAACAAAGTTAGACGGTGCGGTCAAGAAATATCTCAAAGTACATTATTATTAAGTAATAATATAGTTTCTCGTACAGCTAAGGCTAAACATGCACTTGTGAGTATTTTAAAGACTGCAAATTGCACTCGTCTTTCGGACCATATCGCTGCGTTCTTTAAAAAACTCACTCGTGCGAGTTTACCCGTAATTGCACTCGGATCTATACTACATGACCTATACTAGTTGTTGTTGCTAAGTAGATAGTGTTTCTTGTACACAATTGCCATTGACCTGAAGCTGTGCTGACTTGTCGATAACCGATTTTACTGATCCTTTTTGATTTTCTTCAATGCTATAATTGAAAAGAAGATGAAAAATTGGACGAAGAAATACAAATTTGAAGATGATATATATACAATACGAAGCTTCATAATTTAACTCCTAACTAAGTCGAGAAATTCCTCAGGCAAACGCAATTCACCCGGGTTTCGGTGATTGTTCTAGCTCTGAGTGATATATTACTTTGGCCAGACATTGTCAACAAGTACAAAATAAACCGGCTTCTGGAAAATAAATCACTTTTTCTTATGTTGAAGCTCCCTCCATTTCAGATGTCGAGGATTTGCCATACAGTAAAGATTTTGATGTAGTTAATCAGTGGTGTTTTTCAATTTTGCTTGACTGCAAACACTAAATACTAAAGCATAAATACAACACACATAATAGCGTCATTGTAAAACATTGGTTTTTTTTGTGGGCGAGCAAATCATGCAGGGGAGCGCCAACTAATACTATCATAAAAATGATGCCAACTTTTTCTTCTCTCATACAACATGTTTAAATCTACAACAGTCTGACGCAATCTCGAATTGAAGAGTAGTACACTTAGCAAGAAATATCAGGAAGTTGGTAGTAAAGGAAAGCTGACTTAACAAAAATGCACTCATGCAGCATATATTCAGCAGCCTTATGGAAATAATTTGGCTTGAAAGAAATGAGATGAAATTGACTCGTCGTCATCTTTTTCATATTGTGTGCTGTTCTATACCTTTCTGAAACCATTTCGTCATCGTGTCCAGTAAGAGGCAGATCACTGCCAGAGGGTTCTGCGTTTGCTTCTGCCTCTGTCATTCTCAAGTTTCTTCGATTTCTTATCTTTAAATACGCGATCACAGCCAGAACAATGATCGACACTAAAGGTAAAACAACGACTAATACAACCACCTTTGCAACGCTCAGGCCACTTTTATTTCTTTTTCCTCCATTTTTTCCGTTGTATACAGTATTCTCAATTTCGCTTGTGGCGATGGTTGTCCGGGTCGTCGGCAGCCGGGTGTTGGGCAGCGACACATTTTCAAAAAATGAGCCTAAAATTATATAGTGTGAAAACGACTAGTCAAAAATGGACTGTTTTCAAGCGTTTTCAGGGAGAAAATGGACAATGGACAAAGCAGCCATGTTGGTGTTACTGGCTTAATTTAAGGGGCTTTTTTCAATTGGTACACCATGCAAAATGGCAGCTATGACGCCAGTTGAAAACGCTTATACTAAAAGGTCATTGCACTTATACAGAATTTAAAGGATTATTGAGATTAAGTTGTTTAATGAGTGAGTGTTGCATTTAAAGTTACGGGAGCGATGTACGTTTGACACATAATACAATATATTTCATAATTAACATATTAACTTCTCGGTATAAATATGAGCTGCAGCTCAAATTAACGTAAACACAGATGTTTTCGAAGTGTTTGCTTTCTACGATCTATAGATTACTAGGCTTAACTTAAATGTTTTTGTTCTGTTGTCAAGAGAATGATTAATTTTTCGACATTCGTCAGGACAAACGTTTATGAAAGTGATGCAAGGAAATTGCAGAGGTCATATATCTGCACTACTCCCTGCATGGAAAGCATATTAAAATCCGTTATCTTTTCTCATCTGCCTGAGTAACACGTAAGATTTTTTTGTGATTGTTAGGCTTTTGTGAAGTATACCTGACTGTTTATGCGCCGTATTTGTCTTTGTGATGTAGAATCTTGTTTTGAGTTGTCGAGTAATCTCTAGATATCTTTAATATTTAGCACTGTTTCAAAAATGTGTTTCATACACGGGTTTTATGAAGTTGGTGCAGACCTATAAACTCTTAATTGAACTTAGAAATGAGCTTAAAACTCGTGATTATCACGTGATACTGGGGGAATCCCCGTTCACTCATTGAAAACGGACACCCCATGCACTAGCTGATTTTTATATAACGTTATTGTTTCTTTCCAACTATACAAACAACAACTCAATATGAAGCGTTTTATGAATATAAAACACTACGCAAACAAAGATCATCGAACTTATTAATTCGTACTTGAGTTGATTGAACATATATTTTTACATTCGAAGACATACTAGCAACGACCCCGTAAAGAGATTCGCCCAAATAGAATATAGCGAACTTAAACACTAATTACAACAGCATATAGCGGGAAAATCCGCGAAATATCCTCGGTGTCGATTGTATTGAAAAATTTGCCTGCTTTCGTGCGTAAAAGTCGCCAAATGTTGTTAAATATGTGTAACAAGTTGATAAACGTTACGTGAATTTGCACATTCCAACACGGCTTAGTGTTAACTAAAAATGAAGTATATAGTCTACTTACGGCACCATTTAAGACAGGCTTGCTCATCTTTTCCTTGTTTGCTACAGTCATCATACTTTGGTGGACAAGGAGTACATCCATAATTCACAAATTTACTCGGAAATTTTCCATATTCACAGGTTGATGAACTGATGGCGACGTAAGAGCACATTGCTACGTACAAAATATTGTACAAATACTGATCGATCTTCCACTTTTATCTTGTCTCATAACGCACTTTATTTAAACGTATTTTTAGTATATGTTAGAGTTACGAGTGATAAAGACTTGTTCTCGAGTAAACTCTTTAAAACATGTATCGCTACTTTTCACTAACGTGCTTTTGGGTTGTCTAAGACACGCATGTCCTTATTATTTACATGTCAGCACATTTTATGGTGTATTGATTGGTTAAAATCGATGGAAACGGAAGCTCGTAATGCGTCCTTATCACTGATCTCGAAATAGGGCTGTATCAAGGGCAAATGTAATGTGGATTTACAAGAGAATAATCCTGAATTTTCAATATATAACTACATGAACATATCTAAGGGATAAATCAGTATGTAGAATTGCAAAAAATATTAAATTTTAATATCGGATCAAATGAAAGACAAAACAGTTAAACTATAGCTGATGATTTTAAATTCAAAAGACATTTATTAAACGTCCATTGGTTATAAATTTTCAACAAAGAAAATATTACCAATTAATGAGTTATTGCAATTTATTTTTCCGACATTTAAAAAACATCTGTTCAAATTTTTTCATACGAGAATAAACTTTATCATGAGCTTGCGATTTACGCGATTACTTTAGCGAGCCAGCGCTAAGTGTATATCTATACTATATATAGTCCACAAAGTATATATGCATATCAAAAAATGAATAGACTAAATTTTGGCGATCTGTCAGGCTTTTCTTCAGGGTAGCTAAATCTTTGTGTTGTCAAAGTCTTTTGATGTATATATTATCAACGATACTATATAAATATATATATTGTTGACATTAATATTAAATCTTAAAATGGATTTTTATCACTACACACCTTTTAGCACATGCTTAATTCGAAACAACTCATGTAAACATGCATGATTGCTTATAAAGCAATCGATCTGAATGGATCACGATAAAAAATGTGTAGCGTGAAAAATCATTTTTATAAGATTTAATAATTTTAAGTTATATTTTATGTAAAAGGTATTCTAAGTAAGTGATTACCTATTCCTCTTATCACAAGCTCATACATCATTGTATATCAGGGAATAATATTAACTATTATTATATGGCAAGCGTCACTTCTGAAAAAATGGCGCGCTTTGATTGGCTCAGAAACATTTTTCTGGTCCGTTATTTTCCGTAATAGACCACGGCCCAAAGCGTGTAATTTTATAGTCAATTTTTACAAAAACAAACTTTGTAAAGCGAACAGCAAAACGCAAAAAGGTCGAAACAAAAAACCATTTACAAACGTGAGTCAAAGGAAAGCACTCTGAAAACAGTTTAGTCATCCAGATGAAACAATTTGAAACGATTTATTTTTTACTGACGAAAACTAGAAAGTGAAAACCAACCCGCACGAAAATTAGCAAGGACGAGAAAGAAAGCAAGCTTTTTTCAGGTCAAATAATGCCATATAATAAACCTTTTGATAACTTCCCTTTCTCTCGGTCTTAATATTGCTGAGAAATATCGGACCTCTGTCTTCTTGTACAAAACGTCGCGCTCGGTTATATTAAGGGCTTATTAATTTGTTATAAATATATAAACCCCTTACACTATAATATACCATTTGTCATGCGCTTGATGACTTGAGGAATAGGTATTCACCACGATAGATGTGCAATTGAATTTGATGCAAAAAATATCTGCTTCGTTGTACGTATAATGTTGCTCGTACAGTGCGTCTTCAATAGTTTAATAAAGTGCAAATATCACGTGACAAGTGGGTGTGAAGGCGTATTGACACGTTAAGCATTTTGTAAACTACCTTGTGCGTCGTCAATCATTAAGTATTTTTCAATTAAGTGCAATGATCACGAAATTAGACAGTGAGAAAGGCATTTTCACTTATCGTGCATTTCTGAAAACATTTCTTGCAAGCCAATAAAAATAACGTACTCCTACACTATAGTTTTTCAAGTTGTAAGAATCAATAGTAAATTGTGTTAATTGCAAAAAATTTTCATCTCTTAAACATACTGTCTGGGGATATTTACTGCTCGCAACTTCCTTATTAAACTTCCTCATTTTAGGTAGATGAAGAACGTATGTGATCAACGATCTGTGAAAATGCCGCGTTCACTTAAACTATCGAAGAGTTCACGTTGTTGAGATTGTCATACGAATGTACTTCATTGTTATGGTACTGAAAAAATTCCTTGGTCTCATCCTGTTCGTCATTCCTATTCAAATATGACTGGGCATAAGTTACGAGAAACATATTTGATAGAGATTATCTCTTGGCACAATGTTGCTGCAAATTGACAAATATACTATATGTTGTATAAGCTATACACCGTCACTAGGAAATATAGTATAAGCTAAAATCTGCACATGGCCAGTCTTTCAGTTTTCTAAAGGTGGTAATAATCTGCTAGGTCAAGTAATGCGTAAATTCAGATTTTTTCTACCACTCACTGTTCTCAAATAGTTTTGCTCCACAATAGTTTAGTGTGTGTATGGTATAGAATCTCCTTTGTAATATTGACTGTCAATTACATGTTATCTAAAATAATGCGATTCTATAAAATTCACAATTATATATGTAGAAAAATTTAAATCTCTCAATGCTGCTAAGTAATCTATCACTAAAAACAATCTGAAAAAACAACTAACAAATAATCTCAAAAGTCTGTTCGATTTTTGTGATTTATGATTGAAAACATAAGAGTTCTCGATAAAGCCATTCAGACGACCAACTTAATAGCCCTGTAACTGCCAAAGATAAGCAATTTGAAGTTCACTAGTTGGTTTATAATTTTTTTCATCGTCAGATGATTTTCAAGCATGTTGAAATGTCAGTAAACAGTATCACCAAAAGTCCTCGGGACTCTAATAACTTATTCAAATAGCTATGTCCCAAAAACAGTGATCATTCATTATGTACATTGTTTTACTCCCATTCCTTCACACACTGATGAATATCAAAGAAGTAACTTCTCATGTCCAATTAACCCCTATGCAAGAAAGACCCGTGTAACACAGGCTGAATCAAGCAATTTATTTATGATTTCAGGAGTTTGTATCTTCCTACCTTTTATCCAAATAATTGCTGTCCTCGCTTCTTGTTGAATTTTTTCGGATAAAGTTGTCCCCATATTTTATTTTCAATAAAATCGTGACTCCCAAAATACTAATAAGCAACACCACGACTAAAATTACCAAACATCCAATTTTCCAAGCATCTCCAATTTTTCATATTTAGAAAAATACATTGCTGAGTCATTACGATTGCTGCTTGAAGAGATTGTTGTTAACTGAAAAGCGAATGTTTTCCACGACGACGTCTTATGTTTCGTCATTGGGCTTGTACCCGCAAACACCGAGCTTTTGCTCGTTCGTAATTCCAGGGTAAGTTTATGTTTTTCTGTTGTAAACAGTGTTACTAGTTGATTTTTTGTTGGTATTTTCTTGATCGATTTATCTTTTACCGTAGTAAATATGGGTGCTAAAGAAATTGAATATAAGCTTAAGTTGCTTAGCAAAGCATGGTATCAATGGGGGAGGGGGGAGAATCACGTCATATTACTATGAGCACAGTTGAGGGGGATGGGATTATAATTGCGTGTTCATGAACGAAACATTGAAAAGTATTTCATTGATAATGAATGCCTTCTTAATGACCTGAAGTATGTTAAACATATAATTTGTGTCGGCTGCATTAGATTTAGTATTTGTAACCAAAATGTGATTCCTCACAAATGGCCGTTATGAAATCGATCGGACATACAAAATATCGAATATTTATTAGTCTATAAGCACGAAACTTTGATCATAAAGACGGCTTGTACTCACCACATGAAGTAAAACAAACATTTGAATTAGATCCTTCTCCTTTGCAGTGCTTCAGCTTGCGAGGACATTCTACGCAGTCCTCTAAGAAAATACTTTTATATTCTCCCAATTTACAACTTACCGCCAAGTAAAATGGCAATGAAAAAATTACTAGAAATTTCGTGATGTTCAGTGAATTTTGAACGGTCTTCGGACTCATATTTCAGCCGGCTCGCCTGATCTTTAATATAGCTTCCAGTAAATGTAGTTAATAAATAAAATCACAAAGCTAACATCCTTATAATCACTTTTGTAGAATAAGGGATTTTTCAATGACTTAAGGGAATTTCCCGTATATCCTAAGCTTGCGATATTGTGGTGCAATAATTCCGCCATAATGGGGTATTATAATTTATAAATAGCGGACTTTGAAAGCGTATATGGGCAACAAGGACGAATTGCAGTTTCCAAGATGTAAATTTTCATTAAAGACTAATCATCGTAATTTTAATTTTGATGATCTAATTCTCTAATTTTCATGAAACGATCATTTTCTTATAATTGTGTATTTTCACTCAAAATAGACAATGTGTACGCAAGCCAAAAATTCTTAAAATATAACGTAAAATTGCAATATATTTCTTTCAACGTTTATATTATAATTTGCATGCACACTTCACCTAAGTGATACATGAAAATTATTTGTTTGATATTGGCAAGTATGTCGTAAGAGCACCCGATAGAATATAACGTAAAATATAGATAATGTGTACGTAGAATATAGATAATGTGTACGCAAGCCAAAAATTCTTAAAATATAACGTAAAATTGCAATATATTTCTTTCAACGTTTATATTATAATTTGCATGCACACTTCACCTAAGTGATATATGAAAATTATTTGTTTGATATTGGCAAGTATGTCGTAAGAGCACCCGATAGAACAGAGTAAATTTTTCACAGTCTGACATTTTCTAACTGTCCTAAATCCAAATTCTCAGACTTTCTAAGTCATAGACCCGAAAATTTATGTACACCTCAGCTTAAGCTTATATTTCACGGGAAAAATGGACTGTAAAAACAAAAATAAAAAATAAATGATCTCAAAGTAGGATTGTGTGTTATTGGTTTTGAAGTGAGGTAATGAGATTATTTTTTAAAGATGTGCGAGTTTTTGCGAGTATTTGCCTCTTTGATCCTTGTGGACAGATGGCGAGTGGTCTTACCACGGCAAAAGTTGAAAATACGCACAGCAAACTTTCCCTTAGTGTGTGTTTAAAAAGTGAATTTGACTTTAATATGCTATTGTGCATTTGATATAGTGCTTCACGCTTATATTTTTATATAGTAAAAGAGATGAGCTTTTTTAGCTTTTCAATGATATGGTTTTCGAAATGAGTCAGTACTCCTCAAATAAAATTACTCTTAAAATAAAAAAACTGCTGAAATTGCTGCATTCTTTCACTCTTGAGATGTTAGTGCAGTTAATGTGGGTTCCCTGCCTATTTAAACAAAAGCAAATGAAACAAAGGGGTTTTCCTTTATTAGAGTTATAGCATGCATAATTATCTTAATGTCACAACAACAATCTTATATTTTAAAAACACGTGTTACATACACAGAACTATGAAAAACTGTGACTTCTCAAGTTGTAATAATGTAGTTTCTCACATTTTCATGAGTAACTTTTACCTTTCAAAGGGTGTGAAATAAATTAATTATTTCCATGGCTTAGTTTGAAATGAATTTATTCATTATACGCTCGTTCTAAACCGAATTCCAGAAATCAGCTCATAAGCAAAACATCTGCAAGTAAACCTAAAGCTGTTTTTATACGAAAATCATCAACTCTGTAGTTATAGAGCTCAAATTATAATTTGTGATAATATATACCCGAACTCTATTGCTAACTTAACATACATCGGAGACCTCGGTTGTAGGTATTGACTGTTCATGTTCACCACCTTGTTCCTTCACCATCTATCGCGTCTGTGATTCTTGCACACCTTTTTTTGGTGGAGATTGCTCCGACATGTTCATAGTGGAGCTAGAAGATTCGGTTTGAATCTTGATGCTCCTATATTAAAAAAGAAGAACCATTGGACATATAACACATATTTGCAGATGAGATTCATTATGAAGGCACACAATAAAAACTTAAGACTACACAGAAATTCCTTAAAAAGCAAATAAAACTAAAGTAAGTAAGCCTCAGTGATTATCGGCTGTGGAGAATATTGATGAACACGACATTGATCGTCACTCCCAGTGGATTGTTCGTAATGATCTTTGAAAAGTAATGGTGAAATAAATCACCTACTATCTACGGACGATTTCAAACTGTTTGGAAATACTGAAAACCAACTGAATTGCTAAATAAACACAGCATGTGTTTTTACTGAGGATATCACAATGGAATGTTTTAGTTATGAATATTAGAAAAGTGATATCATTTGATGGGATAGTGTTGCCAAAGGGAAATATGATGAAATCAGAAGAAAGATATTTAGGATATAAGTATCTGAGAATCTTAGAGGCTGATGAAATAAAGCACAATGAAATGAAGAAAAACTTGAGTCTGGAGTATATAAGACGACTCCAACAAATATTAAGATCTAAGTTGTACGGTTTAAATATAATATTGGCAATAAATTCCCGAGAAGTAGCAGTAATAGGATATGGAGCAGGAATTTTGGATTGGGCAAGAGAAGAGCTAAATTATTTAGATAGGAAAACCAGAAAATCAATGACAGTGCATCATGGAGCACACGATCCCAAGGCAGACATAAACCGATTGTATATAAAGAAACTTTTGTAGTGGAGGACTGCTTGGAAATTGAAAGAAAACAATTGATAGATTATGTTGAAGATGGCTGTAACAGTTTATTCAAGGCCATTGGATAAGAAAATGTTTTAAAAAGGGAAAAAGGTGAGAGAAGTAAAGAAAAAGTCCAAGAAGATCATATAAAGAAGCCAGGAATCTATACACTTTTCGCACTTTGTTTTAAAAGCCAACCATAGATTTCAGGGAACCTAGGACACGGAATTGGTTGAAGAATGGAGATTTAAAAGAGGAAACAGAGGGTGTAAAAGTCAGCTCAGGATCAAGCTTTTAGTACGAAAAATATCACAAAGTATGTATACAAGTAGGATATTTTATCTGTGCGTCGAAAAAACAGAAGAGGCAATTGTCCATATTTTGAACGAATGCCCAACCTAGCGCAAAATGAATATAAAAATGGAGACATAACCTAGTTGTAAAAATTATAAACTGGAAATTGTGTGACAAATGGGGTTTTTCCAATAGTAAAACTTGGTACAATCAAATTCCTAAGAAGATTCTTGAGTTAGATAAGTGCAAAATCTTATGGGATTTACAATTCACACTGACCAAAGGTTGCAGCATAACTATCCTGAAATCGTAGTGTTTGTTAAAGTAAACAGAAAATGATCGTGATCGGCTTGTTGAGGACAGTTACCAACAAGATTGATTGTTGGTTGAATGTAATTGATATACAACGTTCAATTGAACTACTGCAAAAAGCTTGCCTCCAAGGAACAGCAAAGATCATACTTAGACTAATGAACACGTAATATCCTTGACTACTGGTTGTAGTGCGATGTCATGTGTTCATTGCTAGATAGGAATCCGAGTTAAATTTAAAAATAATAATGTAAGTAAAATACTATTTATACACATTAGATTTTTCAGACGTAATTTAGTCTACTCTCAATAAAGGACCTTTGAAAAATGCTTCACATGGTTTACATGGATGAAATGGTCAAGTCGTGGTGCTGCCCCTACCTTACGTTGTCGCCACGTACTGGAGAAGGCTTGTCACTCCCAGTGGATTGTTCTCCTGCTCTTTTTCTGTTCATCATGCTTCGACTTCTCATCTTAAAAACACGACAACGGCAATTGCAATGACAGAGACTGAAAAGGAAACCATAGCTATTACAACAATCTCTGCAACACTTGGGCGAATTTTCTTTCTTATTTTTTGATTGTCGACCAAATCGTTTTCTCGGATTGCATCCTCAAGTTCTTTGCCTGTATCAACAGTTGTCCTAGTCTTTGGCAGCAAAGTCGTAGTCGTTCTTAATTTAGTGAGTGGCCACTTGGTAGTAAACAAGCCTAAAATATACAATATACAATGGTTGTTTTAATGAACTCGAAACATTACATGACGAGTGTTTTTGTCTTGCTTCGGATTGTTTGCTTATATAATGACGTAACCTGCAGACTTTTTTACGTTGAATATTTGAGGATTGTACATATGCGTAGTTTAATATATTTATTATACTTTAATTAACATACATTTTTCTATCAATGGTATTCCTTTAGAAAAAGCAGATTACATTGACACTAGGAAATGTTTTCAAAATGGACACTTTCCATCATCGAGTAAAGCATGGCTCTCAAATAGTCATCCGAGTAAAGTTAATCGTATCATTCTATCCAAACGACTAAAAGTCTGAAATAGTCGCCTGACTCTCCTCATTGTTTAAGACAATTTAAGCTTCAATAAATTTACATTTAAATATATAATTGAGTAAATGATCATATATCAGCATAAATTCTTGAAAACGCCAAGAGGACCTTATACCGTTTGCTCGAATTTTTCATTTTTACCTCCATAAAATACAGCTCTTTGCGATAAGGCTTTTTTAAAGATAGCGGATGGATGATGGTTTATTTTACTCATGCAGATATCTGTTGTACATTCAATGCTAGCAGGATTAACAACTGGTCACGTGCTTTATTGAATATTTTCATTTAGATTGTTTTCAATTTTTTATGAATATGCTTTCCCGTACGTCGTGTGCAATGTGTTGTTTTGGGTATATAGTCGGAGACTTGTATCCTTGAAGATTTGTAGCTATGATTAATGATTATAGTTATTCGGATCGTTTTCACATGAATATCTCGTGATTCATTGCGGATTATAACCCTCACGCAATATAAAATTTTTCAAATAATTTTCAAACAAAGTTAGTTTTACCGTGTAGCAATTAACAAACTCTTTGCTTAAATTTCATGAATTTAAACGTTATGCGGTTGCTGGTTGCGCATGGCATAGTCCGACTGAATATGTAGTTTAAAATAATTGTTTCGTTTTTGAAGTCTGAAAAAATCAATCAGGCAATTTTGTCATTTTCGTAAACAGCTGAGATTGAGAAATGCTAAGAGCGTATGATTTATATAATGTTGTCAATGTATATATTTTTTATTTCCAATTGAAAACAGCCAGAGCGCGTTCATTTCAATATTGGTATGGAATACGCGTGTCAAAAGCCACATGACTTACGCTTCCATCAATATAGCTACCAACAAATTATGGGTTGAAAAAAAACATGTCAAATTCGAATTCTCGATCATTTGTTAAACCTTTTCATGCACCCTTTGACTTTGTTTAAATAATTTTACGTCCTACTATCAATGTCATTAACAATCTTTACAGAAAAAAATGAAAATACCACCCGCTCCGATAGCAATACGGTACACAAAAAAATGAGACAATGACCCCCGTCAATAAACTTGTAAAAAATGCACATATTGTGACAAAATACAAATGGTAAACAGTAGTTTGTCGACCTTTCATGTGAACAGAATTGTTGCCACTTACATTTTTGATGTTAATGACTTGACGGTAAAATGATTTGCATGTTAACATTTCTCAAAACTTAGTCGATATTGTGACCCTAACAGTATGAACAGTTTATAACTGCGTCGTGTAAACTTAGAAGTCATTTAACTCGCCTACTTACGATCTAAATCACGACACCAATTAAGACAGGCTGTTTTATCTTCTCCTTGTTTTTCGCAGTTATCAATTTTATTCGGACAAGGAGTGCATCCATTATCCACATATTCACTTGGGAATTGTCCCAACTCACAGCGCTTCAGTGCGCTGATTGCAACGCAACAAAACAGTGTTGCGTACATAAATAATGTAGGAACGCTGATCGATTTTCGAGTGGTTTCCCGCGTCGTAAACATAACTTGCTTGAATAGAGTTGCCACTATTTGAGTGTTGTCTTTTGAATCATTGCATGCCTATATATATATATATATGTATATTATGCCTGTTGCTCATTGGCAAAGATTATAACGCTGTTATGACTGGATTGTCTAGCTTTTCCAAAAATGGCGTGTTGATTGATTGGATTAGCATAGCTCACATGATTTCTCTTTAGTCCGAAGTACAGCGTCATGCATGCAATTTTTCATAGATAAAGTATTTTAATTTGTCTTTCGAGGAAAAGTGATTTATACTCAGTCAAACTTTTGCTGTTCATAACTTCTAAGAGACACTGATTTCAAATTTCAATCAGGTTTAATGGTATATAATGATCTGAAATTTAAATAGCACGATCAAACTTTGTGTTCAGGCTACACAAGAAACGCAACAAATTGTTAGATCAATCCAGTTACTTTGGTATAATTTTTCCAATGAAGTAAGATTGTTCAAAACTTGCACGAAGTATAATTATTTTTGTTTCGCAATTTGTTAAGATTAGAAGTAGGGAAGCAAAAACGCCTCATCACAATCCGGAAAGCTCGAACCTACGTTATGGAAGTGATTCAGCAAACATAGCAAAAGGCGCAGTAGGGAATTAACACTTAAAAAACTAAATTGCTTAGTTTACAATTTTTCTCTTAATATCTTCGTCATAAATACGTAACATTTTTCAAGACTATTGAGTGAATCTGGAATTTACAAAGAATTTATATTGGAGTAAATTTTCTTACGTTAGCATGTAATTGTGATGTGTGAGCGTTTCTGTTAAACTCAGTCAAAACTTATTGTGAATTGTTCGGCGAAACAAGGGAGACAAATCCCAACAAGAACAACTTTTTAACCGTTGATGAAACATTCGTGGACCATATTTGTCGTTGCTTGCAATAGCTGTTTCCCATATCAACCCCTAGGGGCCAAACAAGTTTTACAAATACTGCAAAGAAACTGAAGGTTGTTTCCTGAAATTGAATATCAACAAGTTGTATTATACAGAGAAGAGATTTTTGTCATGAAAGTTGTCTTTTAACAACAACAAGCTCTCTTAGAGTTGCCATTCAAAACTTTAATTTTTATTATGATATTGCCATTAGTGACGTAAAATAAATATTTTGTACGAGTGTCAAAGTTTTATATGCATAGACTACTAACTGCAAATCGATATATAATATATGGTGTTTGCAGGTGACATCGAAGCGGCCATGTTGGAGGACTGCATCAAAGAGCTCAACAAAGCATAAAATTAACATAAATTCCTTTCACTATATATGGAATTTTCTTCCAACATGCGACCAATGGAAACACCCTATACGAAGAGAGGTTAATTCAAACTTAGTAACTAGAATTAGTGATAATGTTACTGTTAGTGTAAGTGTAGAATTAAGTACCTTTGAATAAATCTCGTATGCTTTTTTTATAAATGAATTAAAGTACAGTTATTATAAGTTTACAGACAGTTTTATAATTTGACGTTAACAGTAAACCGCAAAAAGTCACGCGATCATAGGTTTCCGTTTTATCTTTAAACGGAAAAATCCCCTTTTTGCGATAGCAGATTTACGGCAAATTTCTTAGTACTTTTAATACAACCAAGTGACGTTTATGGCTCAATGTTATATTTTGTGTGAGTATACACCATGATTATGCCTTTTTTATTCACAAACTGTTAACAAAACAAGAATTTAGCTCAGGACAATGCAAATTGTAAAATACGCACGGAAAACGCCAAACGAAATTGAATTTTTTTGAAACGGTAAACCCCAACGGCAAGGGGATAGCTGACGTAAACGTCAAACTAAAACTTTCTAATATACTATTGGCTAGCAGTCCATTACTGAACAAGTATGCCGATCAAGATGAAATAATCACACCACTGTTCCTCAAATGCCTTCTAAACGATTATAAACATAGGAATATAATGCTAAGGGATCATATTATCAAAGTTAAAACAAAGTAGAAATAGTAGAGATATCTGAAAACCAGAATTTTTAGGACTTCATTTTCCCTCGTACGACATTGGAGCGGGGGCGAAAGTAGAACGTTAATTTGGGGGGTATATATTCATAAATTCAGCTGTGTCCTTCTGATTTCTCTTGTTTGCGATATTAAGTCAGCAGGGCAGAGCTGAATCTATATTTACCCCCCTCCCCCCAATTTGCGTTTCAGTTTCGCCCTGGGAATGGCGTTGGCCAAAATTAAACCTTTTGAAATGTTCCTAAATTGAAATATTTCAGTGAAATTGATGCCATTTTCATTCTCAGATTTCCTTTTTAACGAATAAAACGCTTGAAGTCAGCTTTATTTTACATTAGAGCGTAGGCAGTGACAGAAAATGGCGCCGGCCAGGAAAGCTTCATTATACGTCGTGAAATATCGAAAACATATTCTTTGTAAAAGATTACTACTTCTCAAGTGTGGCTGTCAATCATCGATCGTCATTTTTCAATTTTGTTACGATCCAGTTGAGGAGAGCTGGTGGGCTATATCTATTGCGTTTACTCAGTTTTTTTGAACTTTTGATAACTCTTGACCCCTGCGAGGAATCAACTGTGATCAACTCATACTGTGAATGGCTTATGTAAAAATCTTTACAAGTAATGCACAAACATTACATTTTTCTTTTCTTATAAACGATTGCAGTGCAGTTTATCTGTAATTGCATTGTTGAAAAGTTGTAATTGCTCTGTTGAAAAGCTGTACCTGCAACGTAGATAAGTGTAAATGCACTGTAAATGCTGCTTCCTGATCAGCTAAAAAGCAATGAAAGCGAAACAAACTTCTTTTCAATTTAAAAAAAACATGACGGCAGTTTTCAGTAAACAAAGATTTCCACAATTGCAATCGTTTGAAATTTAAGAATTACAAAAGAATGCAAAGAATAAAACAAAGCAGCAAGTACTGTTTTTTCAGTGAGTGTGTTAAACAGTCAAGCTGCGTAACGAGGTTTTCTGAAGCGATAAAGAGTAACAAAGCGAAAAAGATTTAAACCGTACAGTCAAGAAATATCTAAAAGTATATTATTATTACGTGATAAAGCAGTTTCTCGTGCAACTAAGGCTAAACATGCACTTGTGAATTTTTAAAGACTGCCAATAGCCCTTGTCTCTCGGACTTGCGCCATTTCGCTGCAGTCTTTAAAAAAGTCACGAGTACAAGTTAAGTTTATCCATTAATGGACTCAAAACTATACTATTACCTATACTAATTGTTAATTAGCTCAGTAGATTGTGTTTCTTGTACACAATTGCCACAGGTGTGAAGTTGTGGTACTTTGTCGTTAGCCGAGTTTGCTGATCCTTTTTGATTTTCGTCCATGCTATAGTTGAAAAGAAGATGAATAATTGGAAGTAGAAATGCAAATTTGGTTGATGATATACACAAGGAAGCTTCATAATATAAATCCTAAGATTTCAGGGGATCTAGGACACAGAATTTGTTGAAGAAGGGAGATTTAAAAGAGGAAACAGAGGGTGTAAAAATTCAGCTCAGGATCAAGCTTTTAGTACGAAAAATATCACAAAGTATGTATACAAGTAGGATATTTTATCTGTGTGTCGAAAAAACAGAAGAGGCAATTGTCCATATTTTGAACGAATGCCCAACCTAGCGCAAAATGAATATAAAAATGGAGACATAACCAAGTTGTAAAAATCATAAACTGAAAATTGTGTGATAAATGGGGTTTTTCCAATAGTAAAACTTGGTACGATCATATTCCTAAAAAGATTCTTGAGTTAGATAAGTGCAAAATCTTATGGGATTTACAATTCACACTGACTAAAGGTTGCAGCATAACTATCCTGAAATCGTAGTGTTTGTTAAAGTAAACAAAAATTGATCGTGATCGGCTTGTTGGGGACAGTTAGCAACAAGATTGATTGTTGGTTGAATGTAATTGATATACAACGTTAAATTGAACTACTGCAAAAAGCTTGCCTCCAAGGAACAGCAAAGATCATACTTAGACAAATGAACACGTAATATCCCTGACTACTGGTTGTAGTGCGATGTCACGTGTTCATTGCTAGATAGGAATCCGAGTTAAATTGAAAAATAATAATGTAAGTAAAATACTATTTATACACATTAGATTTTTCAGACGTAATTTAGTCTATTATCAATGAAGGAACTTTGAAAAATGCTTCACATGGCTTACATGGATGAAATGGTCAAGTCGTTGTGCTGCCCCTACCTTACGTTGTCGCCACGTACTGTAGAAGGCTTGTCACTCTCAGAGGACTGTCCGCCTGCTCTTTTTCTGTTCATCATGCTTCGACTTCTCATCCTTAAAAGCACGACAACGGCAATTGCAATGACAGAGACTGAAAATGAAACCATAGCTATTACAACAATCTCTGCAACACTTGGGCGAATTTTCTTTCTTATTTTTTGATTGTCGACCAAATTGTTTTCTCGGATTGCATCCTCAAGTTCTTTGCTTGTATCAACAGTTGTCCTAGTCTTTGGCAGCAAAGTCGTAGTCGTTCTTAATTTAGTGAGTGGCCACTTGGTAGTAAACAAGCCTAAAATATACAATATACAATGGTTGTTTTAATGAACTCGAAACATTACATGACGAGTGTTTTTGTCTTGCTTCGGATTGTTTGCTTATATAATGACGTAACCTGCAGACTTTTTTACGTTGAATATTTGAGGATTGTACATATGCGTAGTTTAATATATTTATTATACTTTAATTAACATACATTTTTCTATCAATGGTATTCCTTTAGAAAAAGCAGATTACATTGACACTAGGAAATGTTTTCAAAATGGACACTTTCCATCATCGAGTAAAGCATGGCTCTCAAATAGTCATCCGAGTAAAGTTAATCGTATCATTCTAACGAAACGACTGAAAGTCTGAAATAGTCGCCTGACTTTCCTCATTGTTTAAGACAGTTTAAGCTTCAATAAATTTACATTTAAATACATAATTGAGTAAATGATCATATATCAGCATAAATTCTTGAAAACGCCAAGAGGACCTTATACCGTTTGCTCGAATTTTTCATTTTTACCTCCATAAAATACAGCTCGTTGCGATAAGGCTTTTTTAAAGATAGCGGATGGATGATGGTTTATTTTACTCATGCAGATATCTGTTGTACATTCAATGCTAGCAGGATTAACAACTGGTCACGTGCTTTATTGAATATTTTCATTTAGATTGTTTTCAATTTTTTATAAATATGCTTTCCCGTACGTCGTGTGCAATGTGTTGTTTTGGGTATATAGTCGTAGACTTGTATTCTTGAAGATTTGTAGTTATGATTAATGATTATAGTTATTCGGATCGTTTTCACATGAATATCTCGTGATTCATTGCGGATTATAACCCTCACGCAATATAAAATTTTTCAAATAATTTTCAAACAAAGTTAGTTTTACCATGTAGCAATTAACAAACTCTTTGTTTAAAATTTCGTAAATTTAAACGTTATGCGGTTGCTGGTTGTGCATGGCATAGTCCGAATGAATATAATGTAGTTTAAAATAATTGTTTCGTTTTTAAAGTCTGAAAAAATCAATCAGGCAATTTTGTCATTTTCGTAAACAGCTGAGATTGAGAAATGCTAAGAGCGTAATATTTATATAATGTTGTCAATGTATATATTTTTTTATTTCCAATTGAAAACAGCCAGAGCACGTTTATTTCAATATTGGTATGGAATACGCGTGTCAAAAAGACACATGACTACGCTTGCATCAATATAGCTACCAACAAATTATGGGTTGAAAAAAAACATTTCAAATTCGAATTCTCGATCATTTGTTAAACCTTTTCATGCATCCTTTGACTTTGTTTGAATAATTTTACGTCCTCTTGTCAATGTCATTAACAATCTTTATAGAAAAAAATGAAAATACCACCCGCTCCGATAGCAATACGGTACACAGAAAAAATGAGACAACGACCCCCGTCAATAAACTTGTAAAAAATACACATATTGTGACAAAATACAAAAGGTAAACAGTAGTTTGTCGACCTTTCATGTGAACAGAATTGTTGCCACTTACATTTTTGATGTTAATGACTTGACGGTAAAATGATTTGCATGCTAACATATCTCAAAACTTAGTCGATATTGTGACCCTAACAGTATGAACAATTCATAACTGCGACATGTAAACTTAGAAGTCATTTAACTCGCCTACTTACGATCTAAATTACGACACCAATTAAGACAGGCTGTTTTATCTTCTCCTTGTTTTTCGCAGTTATCAATTTTATTCGGACAAGGAGTGCATCCATTATCCACATATTCACTTGGGAATTGTCCCAACTCACAGCGCTTCAGTGCACTGATTGCAACGCAACAAAATAGTGTTGCGTACATAAATATTGTAGGAACGCTGATCGATTTTCGACAGGTTTCCATTGTCATAAACATAACTTGCTTGTATAGAGTTGCCACAATTTGAGTGTTGTCTTTTCAATCATTGCATGCCTATATATATAAATATGTATATTATGAATGTTACTCATTGGCAAAGATTATAACGCTGTTATGACTGGATTGTCTAGTTTTTCCAAAAATGGCGTGTTGATTGATTGGAATTAGCATAGCTCACATGATTTTTCTTTAGTCCGAAGTACAGCGTCATGCATGCAATTTTTCATAGATAAAGTATTTTAATTTGTCTTTCGCAGAAAAGTGATTTATACTCAGTCAAACTTTTGCTGTTCATAACTTCTAAGAGACACTGATTTCAAATTTCAATCAGGTTTAATGATATATAATGATCTGAAATTTAAATAGCACGATCAAACTTTTTGTTCAGGCTACGCAAGAAACGCAACAAATTGTTAGATCAATCCAGTTACTTTGGTATAATTTTTCCAATGAAGTAAGATTGTTGTAAACTTGCACGAAGTATAATTATTTTTGTTTCGCAATTTGTTAAGATTAGAAGTAGGGAAGCAAAAACGCCTCATCACAATCCGGAAAGCTCGAACCTACGTTATGGAAGTGATTCAGCAAACATAGCAAAAGGCGCAGTAGGGAATTAACACTTAAAAAACTAAATTGCTTAGTTTACAATTTTTCTCTTAATATCTTAGTCATAAATACGTAACATTTTTCAAGACTATTGAGCGAATCTGGAATTTACAAGGAATTTATATTGGAGTAAATTTTTCTTACGTTAGCAGGTAATTGTGATGTGTGAGCGTTTCTGTTAAACTCAGTCAAAATTTATTGTGAATTGTTCGGCGAAACAAAGGAGACAAATCCCAACAAGAACAACTTTTTAACCGTTGATGAAACATTTCGTGGACCATATTTGTCATTGCTTGCAATAGCTGTTTCCCATATCAACCCCTGGGGGCCAACCAAATTTTACAAATACTGCAAAGAAACTGAAGGTTGTTTCCTGAAATTGAATATCAGCAAGTTGTATTATACAGAGAAGAGATTTTTGTCATGAAAGTTGTCTTTTAACAACAACAAGCTCTCTAAGAGTTGCCATTCAAAACTTTAATTTTTATTATGATATTGCCATTAGCGACGTAAAATAAATATTTGTATGTGTGTCAAAGTTTTATATGCATAGAATGCTAACTGCAAATTGATATATAATATAGGGTGTTTGCATGGGACATCAAAGCGGCCATGTTGGAGGACTGTATCAAAGAGCTCAACAAAGCATGAAATTAACATAGATTCCTTTCACTATATGTGGGATTTTCTTCCAACATGGCGACCGATGCCAACACCCTATACGAAGTGAGGTTAATTAAAGTACAGTTATTATAAGTTTACAGAGAGTTTTATAATTTGACGTTAACAGCAAACCGCAAAAAGTCACGCGATCATAGGTTTCCGTTTTATCTTTAAACGGAAAATCCCCTTTGCGATAGCAGATTTACGGCAAATTTCTTAGTACTTTTAATACAACCAAGTGACGTTTATGGCTCAATGTTATATTTTGTGTGAGTATACACCATGATTATGCCTTTTTTATTCACAAACTGTTAACAAAACAAGAATTTAGCTCAGGACAATGCAAATTGTAAAATACGCACGAAAAACGCCAAACTAAATTCAATTTTTTTGAAACGGTAAACCCCAACGGCAAGGGGATAGCTGAGGTTTGCCGTTTGTCGTAAACGTCAAACTAAAACTTTCTAATATACTATTGGCTAGCAGTCCATTACTGAACAAGTATGCCGATCAAGATGAAATAATCACACCACAGTTCCTCAAATGCCTTCTAAACGATTTTATCCTTCAACTTAGTCACTGAAGTCAATTATAAACATAGGAATATAATGCTAAGGGGTCATATTATCAAAGTTAAAACAAAGTAGAAATAGTAGAGATATCTGAAAACCAGAATTTTTAGGACGTCATTTTTCCTCGTACGACATTGGAGCGGGGGCGAAAGTAGAACGTTAATTTGGGGGGTATATATTCATAAATTCAGCTGTGTCCTTCTGATTTCTCTTGTTTGCGATATTAAGTCAGCAGGGCAGAGCTGAATCTATATTTACCCCTCCCCAATTTGCGTTTCAGTTTCGCCCCTGGGAATGGCGTTGGCCAAAATTAAACCTTTTGAAATGTTCCTAAATTGAAATATTTCAGTGAAATTGATGCCATTTTCATTCTCAGATTTCCTTTTTAACGAATAAAACGCTTGAAGTCAGCTTTATTTTACATTAGAGCGTAGGCAGTGACAGAAAATGGCGCCGGCCAGGAAAGCTTCATTATACGTCGTGAAATATCGAAAACATATTCTTTGTAAAAGATTTCTACTTCTCAAGTGTGGCTGTCAATCATCGATCGTCATTTTTCAATTTTGTTACGATCCAGTTGAGGAGAGCTGGTGGGCTATATCTATTGCGTTTACTCAGTTTTTTTGAACTTTTGATAACTCTTGACCCCTGCGAGGAATCAACTGTGATCAACTCATACTGTGAATGGCTTATGTAAAAATCTTTACAAGTAATGCACAAACATTACATTTTTCTTTTCTTATAAACGATTGCAGTGCAGTTTATCTGTAATTGCATTGTTGAAAAGTTGTAATTGCTCTGTTGAAAAGCTCTACTTGCAACGTAGATAAGTGTAAATGCACTGCAAATGCTGCTTCCTGATCAGCTAAAAAGCAATGAAAGCCAAACAAACCTCTTTTCAATTTAAAAAAAAAAACATGACGGCAGTTTTCAGTAAACAAAGATTTCCACAATTGCAATCATTTGAAATTCAAGAATTACAAAAGAATGCAAAGAATAAAACAAAGCAGCAAGTACTGTTTTTCAGTGAATGTGGTTAACAGTCAAGCTGCGTAACGAGGTTTTCTGAAGCTATAAAGAGTAACAAAGCGAAAAAAATCTAAACGGTACAGTCAAGAAATATCTAAAAGTATATTATTATTACGTGATAAAGCAGTTTCTCGTGCAACTAAGGTTAAACATATACTCGAGAGTTTTTTAAAGACTGCAAATAGCCCTTGTCTTTCGGACTTGCGCCATTTTGCTACAGTCTTTAAAAACCTCGCGAGTGCAAGTTACGTTTATCCGTCAATGCACTCAAAACTATACTATTATCTATACTAATCGTTATTTAGCTCAGTAGATTGTGTTTCTTGTACACAATTGCCACAGGTGTGAAGTTGTGGTACTTAGTTGTTAGCCGAGTTTGCTGATCCTTTTTGATTTTCGTCCATGCTATATATGAAAAGAAGATGAATAATTGGAAGTAGAAATACAAATTTGTAGATGATATACACAAGGAAGCTTCATAATATAAATCCTAAGTCCAGAAATTCCTCGAGCAAATGCAACTCGTACGGCTTTCGATGATTGTACTAGCTTCGAGTGATGGCACAGACATTGTCAACGAGTGCAAAATAATCCTGTTTCCGGCAAAATAAATATAAGAATCTTTTTCCTTTGTTGAAGCTCTCTTCAATTCAGATCGCAAAGAATTGCCATACAGTAAAGATTTTGATGAAGTTAATCAGTGGCGTTTTTCAATTTTACATTACTGAACACTGAACTCTATAGCATAAATGCAACAAGGACAATGACAGCATTGTAAAACGTTTGTTTTTGTCGTGGGCGAGCAAATCAGTGGAGCACCAACATACTATCATAGAAATGATATCAACTTTTTTCCTTCTTATTCTCTCATACAAAATATGTAAATTAAGCTATTCCAGTCTGAGACAGTCTCTAAAGAGTAGTACACTTAAAAGTAATATGAAGTTGGTGTTAAAGAAAACTTGATTAAACATGCACTTATGCAGCATTAAATGAGGTGAAATAGACTCGCCAACATCTTTTTATATTGTTGTATGCTGTTCTATACCTTGCTGAAGGCATGTTGTCACCGTGTCCAGTAAGAGGCAGATCACTGCCAGAGGGTTGTGCGTTCGCTGCTGCTTTCATTTTTAGGTTTCTTCGATTTTTTATCTTTAAATACGCGAGCACAGGAAGAACAATGATCGACACTAAAGATAAAACCACGAATAATACAACCACCTTTTTTTGGTGTATAGTGTATTCTTCACTTTGCTTGCGGCAGTGGTTGTCCGGATCGTCGCCGTGGGCAGCGACATGGTTTCAAAAAATGAGCCTAAAAATATACAATGTGAAAACAACGTGTCGAGTGGACTGTTTCAAGCATTTTTCGGGGATAAAATTGACAATAGACAAAGCGGTGATGTTAGTTTTCAGGCGTAATTCAAGTTTTTTTCAATTAGTACACCATGAAAAATGGCAGCTACGACTCCAGGTGAAAACGCTTTATACTAAAAGTCATTGCACCAATACAGAATTTATAGTGATCAGATTAAGGCCTGCAGTAGTTCAAACGCCAGGTGGAGTGAATGAGTGTTGCATTTAAAATTTACTAGAGTGATGTACGTTCGTCACATAATACAATACATTTCTTGATTAACATATAAACTCCTCGGTATAAATATGAGCTGCAGCTCCAATTTACGTAAACACAAATGTTTTCGAAATGTTCACTTTCTACAATCTACAGATTACTGGGCTTAACTTAAATGTTTTTGTCAAGTGAATGATCGAATACCTCGACATTCTTGAAGACAAACGCTTATAAAAGTGATGTTATGAAATCGCTAAGGTCATAGTTACACTAGTAAAACTCAAGACAATAGACACTCCGTATAAAATACACATTATTTAACCTAAACATTTCGACAAGTGTTAAATGTCGTCAGTCGTCATGTAAAACTTTGGCAGGCGTAATAGCTACACCACTTCCTGGAAAGGATGTCAGCAAAGACCATATTTTAATCCGTTATCTTTTCTCATCTGCCTGAGTAACACGTAAGTTTTTCTTGTGATTGTTAGGCTTTTGTGAAAGTATACCTGACTGTTTATGCGCCGTATTTGTCTTTGTGATGTAGAATCTTGTTTTGAGTTATTTCGACTATTTTCTACTTATCTTTATTATTTAAGGCTGTTTCAAAAATATGTTTCATACATTTGTTTTATGAAGTTGGTGCAGACCAATATGCTCTAAATCGAACCTAAAACCAAGCTTAAAACTCGTGATTATCACGTGATACTGGGGTGTCCCCGTTTACTCTTTGAAAATGAAACTCGTGAGCCATGACATAAATTCGGTTGGAATTTCACATAAAAACTGTTAAGTATAAAACTGTAGAAGCGTTCGCATAGTTGAGCAGGATACTACACGAACAAGATAAAAAAGACCATTTCATTTGTTAGTTTGAAAGTAATTTTGAAAAAATGATTTGGTCATTTTGTTATCGGACACCCCATGCACTTGACACCACATGAGTTTCATATAACGTTATTGTTTTTTTCCAACTATACAAACAACAACACATCATGAAGCGTTTTATGAATATAAAACACTATGCAAACAAAGATCTTCGAACTTATTACTTCGTACTAGAGTTGATTGAACATATATTTTTACATTCAAAGACATACTAGCAACGATCCCCTAAACAGATTCACCAAAACAGAATATAGCAAACTTGAACACTAATTACAACAGCATATAGCGGGAATATGCGCAAATATCCTCGGCGTCCACTGTATTGAAAAATTTGCCTGTTTGAAGCGTGAAAATAGTCGCCAAATGTTGTCAACATTATAACCTTATGTTTAACAAGTTGATAAACGTTGCGTCAATATACACATGGCATCACGACGTAGTGTAAACTTAAAAGTGAAGTATATAGTCTACTTACGACACCATTAAAGACAGGCTTGCTCATCGTTTCCTTGTTTTCCGGATTCATTATATTTTGGTGGACACAGAGTGCATCTATTACTCACAAATTTATTTGGGAATTTTCCATGTTCACAGGTTGATGAACTGATGGCGACGTAAGAACACATTGCTACGTACAAAATATTGTACAAATATTGATCGATCTTGCACTCTTATCTCGTTTCATGACGCACCTTATTTGAACGTATTTTTAGTATATGTTAGAGTTACGAGTGATAAAGTCTTGTTTTCAAGTAGTATCTTTAAAGTATGTATTGCTTCTCTGTTGTCTGTCTTTGTCCGGGTGAATATGCTTATTGCTTAAGTCATCATTTTTTGTGGTGTATTGATTGGATGAAAATGATGGAAACGGAAGCTCGTGATGCGTCCTTATCGCTGATCGCAATAGTGGATTTACACGAGAATAATACTGAATTATCAATGTTTAAATACATGAACATATTTAAGAGATAAATCAAATTTTAAAATTGCTAAAACTATGATGAAATATGATGAAATATGATTAAAATGCAGCAATTTTTGTCATGAGTGACCGTACTGTGGTATAGTCAAACAATGGGAAATGAACCAACAACTGCATGGAAATGTATTGAATAAGTTAAAAATAGAGGCTAATGAAAAATTGTTATTTACGATCGCAAACTGATCAATTCTAGAAAATTACCTGACTTTTTTATCAGTGATTCGGAGTGAAAGGGGCGAATTTAGTGGGGATGGACAGAGGGTGGCTAGTCCCCACCACTCCTTTTTAGTTAAAATTCTTAAAAATTCATCAAATGCTGTTTGTAGTTTATTTTTAAGATTTTTGATTTTCCATTTCCAATAAAAGTAATTTAGAGAAGATAATAAATATCGAATACGATACACAAGAGTTAAAAGCGCATCTACAAGGTTATATTACAAGGCTATTGGTTATGAATATTCAAAGAATGAAATATTACTAATGAATGAGCTTTTGCAAAAAACTTGCAATATATTTTGTATAACACTTTATCTAACTGTACTCAATTATTTTTTATGGCAGTATGAAATTTATCATGAGATTACAATTTACGCGACTACTTTGGCGAGCCAGCGCTAAGTATCTAATAGACAAAATGTTTAATATATAATGTCATAAATAAATATATATATAAATTCGGACCAACTGAATTTATAAACGGCAAAACATATCGACTATCCATGTAGTGAAGGACAAACAGGTCTCTAAAAAGGAACTGATTGAATTTTTGACCACTTACCACTCTTTGCTTAAGAGCAGTTATGTCACTGTGTAGTCAACATCATTTGCTGTTTACTTATAATTTAAGTAATTAAAATTGTTGCTTCGTCAGCGTAAACGTAGCAAAATTTAAAGAATCATTATTATTTCAGCTGTGTGTATGGTATTTGGTCTATACGTTGTGATATATGTATATAATAAATATACGTAATAAATAAAAATGATAAATATGTATAATAAATATAAATTCTACCAAAGTACATATTCCATCCGTAGAAACAAAAGTGCTCGTGCATACTACATCTTGTGCTTTGTCAATAAGTTCAATTGTAAAGAGGCATATTCACAAGTCGCAAATCTTGAAAGCATTTTTTAAGCCAATAAACATGAGCTTCATCACGCTAGTTTTACAAAATGTAAGAATCGAAATGAAATTGTCTGAATCTCTAAACGGTCGTTTAATTTCAATAAGGAAATGCGTGATCAGCTAATACTTTTTGTTTTACGTAAAAATCTTCAGAAGACGTGCACAAAATGTGAAAATGCCCCATTCACTTACTCAAACTGTTGTATTGTCTATGGAGTCGAGATTGTCGTACGAATGCACCAAAAATTCCGCTCTCTCATCGTTTTCTTCATGCCTATTAAATACGACTCAACGTAAGTTACAAAAAATGTATTTTGTATATTGGTTTTCTCCAGTCACAATATTGCTGCAGTTAAAACCATGGCAAATATGATTTCTGGCTTTTGCCACTTTCCAGTATAATTTTATCGTCCTATAAAACCTTCACTAATATTGTAGGCAAAAGTGCGACAGTTTCAACTTCAGTTTGTAAATGTGCCAAAAAACCTCAATGAGTCTATTAAGAAAAGAATTCAATATTCCCCCTCTAGACCTCGTAGACAGGGTTCCAGTTGATGAGTTGAATTGTTTTATTTGTCAATGTAATTGTTACATAGAATTTTTCGTAATTTTCCAGATTCTAAAGATCATGGCCCCATCTATCTCGAAAAAAGTGATTCTTCATAAATCATACTTCTTTATTACGCACTGATGAGTTATAAATAATAATAATTATTATTATTATTATCCCCGTTTGATGCAGGGATGAGTCAAGCCAGCTATGAGATGAGGTATGTATCCGGTATTCCTACCTTATATTGAAATCATTGTTGTCCTCAGTTCTTGTTGAATTTTGTGCGCTCAACATGGCCCCATTCTTGCTATTCTTTATCGCAATTCCGATTCCCAAGATACTACTAAGGCTGTGACTATAATTAAAAGACCGCCAACTTTAAAAGCATTGGCAATTCTTTCGTATTTAGAACGATATATTGCTGAGCCATCGTGTTCACTGCTCGATGAGATTGCCGTCAACTGAGAAGTGAATGTTTTCCACAACCACGTCGTACGTTTCGTAATTGGAGGAGCAACAGAAATTACTGAATTTTCCGTAGTTGACATTTGCAAGGTAAATTTATCTTTAACAGTTGTAAACAGCGGTGCTGGATTTTTGGTTGCCATTTCCAAGGTAAATTTATCTTTAACAGTTGTAAACAGCGGTGCTGGATACATCAATTACGGAAAAGAGACCAAAATTTGCAATATACTACATTTCAATTAGCCTTTTCAAAAGCGAGTGGGGCGAGCTTCGTCCTGTCAGGGCGTTTGGTATCGTTACTGCGTATAGTGTTTGTTGTTTGTCTGCATTTTACTCCAACAATGAAACCCGTCACTTCAAACGAGTGATTTTGATCCATGCAGGGGCGAAACTAGAACGCTAATTGGGGGTATATATACATATATTCAGCTCTGACCTGCGGATTTCTTTTGTTTTCGATGTTAATTTCAAAAGAAATCAGCAGGGCGGAGCTGAATTTATGAATATTTACCCCCCCCCAATTAGCGTTCTAGTTTCGCCATTGGATCCATGCCATCTATGCCCCCAACTGGTGACTCGTCATCTTCAATGGCCAGTTGTTGAATAATCATTCTTTCTTCGGTTGACATTAGTTTTCGTTTGTGAACGTTTTTGTGAAGCGTTGTAGACATCATTTCAAGGAGATGGTTAACACATGTGCCCATTGACATAAGGAATCAGTGGTACATTGAAATAGCAATAGAATCATATTTTGTCCAAGCCGAGTGAGTTATGCAATTTATGTTTGTACTCTAAAAGTGGCCAAATCTTTGTCTAAATAACACGTTTTTATTTAGTTATGCTCATTGCATTTATTTTTATTTGATTCGCCCTGAATTACATAGTGTAAGTCCTCGAATATTTACAAAAGTAGGTATTGCTAAGAACCTTCAAGAAGCCATATAGGGCTTTTGTCAAGGTTCCTATTAAGTGTTTAAGGTAGTTGTTATTTACATAAAAAAAAACAGTTGAAATAATCAATATAATGATGTGATAAATGTTCATAATTAAGTATACGTAAAAGGAAACTACAGAAGTAGGTACTACATACATTTTAATTTATAATATATTATTCAAGTTTTGCACAAAACTTCGAAGCTCCACCACTCGAGCACATGCAATCAGTAGAAACATGGGGGACAACTTATATTGATAAATCCTGTTAATCCGTGTTCGATACGACAGAAGTTCAACGCAGAGTGCGTATTAAAAATATAATTTAAGTGTCTGTGTTAAAGGAAAAAATGACCACGTACATTGGATTATATGCCCTACCCTCTTTTCATGGACAATTAAGCTATTCATTGGGAATAATTCAACATCCATAAAAATACAATGTAAGGCTATTCTCCTCCCCCTCAGCTTTTGAGCATGCTATGGTCATTATTTGTACCTCCCAAGCATCAACTGTCTTTCATGTGAGATGTATTTTATTTTAGGTGACGGTTTTTACATGATGGCAGGTGATTTTTTCAGAAAAACTCTCGTTACGTTTACTTTTGCTCAAATGGTAAGAACTCATAGGTGACGTAAAGCTGCTGTTGACTCATTCCAATAAATGATTCAAGTTAATTCTATAACTGTGAGGAGGAACAACAGCTTTTACGCTCTTTTTATCTTAGTTGAAAGGATAAGATGCACGAAAATGCTGTTAGCATAATACGTAAATATGTATCTGGAGTAGCTACAAAAGTTTAGACTACTACAAGATGCACAATACCGATGTTTATCCGTGACTTTAACGAAGGTTATTTCTGTATTAGAAACCGGTTTTAAATTAACAAAGAGGTAAATCAATCAGCCAACCACAAGCCTTAAATCATTGTAATCTTACCGTTTGCTAAAATACACGAAATTTACATTCCTCGGATTGTTGCGTACGCTGCCATGTTTTTTTTCAAATTTAATATCAATACCACACAAATTTTCCAAGCTTCAGTGCGTAATGCAGCGCAGGCTCTTTTAATTTCAAGTGCACGGTTGGCAGATCCATCAAAGATCATAATAAATTTTTCATACCATTTTCAAAAATGCATTCATAAAAATGCTTATGGTTATTAATTTCTACATAAGAAATTCTCACCCAGTCACAAATGTTCGAAAACGCTATTTCAACTTTTTTTATAATTTTATCCCCCTTCCTTAGATTTGCCACTGCTGTCAGTTTATAGTAATGAGTATAACAAGCATGGAGCATGCATATGTAAACAAGTGAGGTCAAAATGTTATGCTTGAACTGCTTCAAAAACCAATGCTAACATTGTATAATGCATCAAGTCCTTAAACTCTACTTCTTGTTGTAATTTTGTGTACCTATCTGGTCAAGCCTTTTCATCTAAGCTTATAAAATAGCAGCAATACAACGCGTCTGTCAGTAGAAAGTTTTTCGTTTTTATTGTGAGATGAAAACTAGTCGCAAACGCTCATTGGTCTATAGCTAAGTTTGCATTAACCTATGCGAACCAATCATGACTCACTCAATCATTTACTGATCAGTCGAAGATTATTTGCAATTCAATCATAAATACATGTTAAAGGAAAATTAAAACGTTTGTCTTATTGTTATTTGTTTTTCACTGTAATTTTGCAACAAAGTTTTTGGGTTATAGCTATTAACGTGACAAATCTGTTCACTGTCTTCTCCTTAACGGTAGATAATGATGGTGGTCGCGATTGCCTCAATATCATTCTTCATGGACAAAGCTGCTTACAGTTTGCCAGACATGAATAAAGATACGTTTATGGAATCTGGGTTTTACGGACGTCAGGAGTGCTTATTTTTGTTGCAGTCAGCGGATTAATCATTTCCTTCCTATCTTGGCTTATTGCACTTGCACGAGCTCACCATAAATTAGGTCTTGCTTAATCTTTAAGTACAGCACAGCCATGTTTTTATCAACTACATCGCTAAAAAGGTGTTTACAGTTTGTTCAATTATTGGGTGAACGTGTGACTTGAGAAAAGTTAAATTCAGATAAAAATGTTTTCAAAGTCCATGCAATACTTTCACTTTGTCATATTCGAAACGATCTTGTGTACGCCATTGCTGCAGTGAAATATTAACAAACATTGCCTTCGGCTAACGTCAACCTCTGCCTATACTCGATAATATTGAATATTACGCTTAAAGTGCCTATATCACGCTTTTGCAGTTAGGCTATACATGTAGATAGTTTAGAAGATTTTAAAATATTGTCAATATATTTTATACTTCGAAAATTTGATCTTCGTACATTTTTTAGAGCTTAAATTAATGATTATTTTCCTGACCGTGACATTAAAAAAATTAGTGCGAGAGCTAGATATGACGTCATATCGGGAATGCACTTCAAGAAAACACTTAAATTTTACACTTAAATTTCCCAAAAGAACAGCTATGTTGTCGCATTACATACGTATAGGACATCTTGCGTCGAAGATGCTCAAAAATGTCTAATTTTCAGAGCCCGTGCGAGCTCGATAATTGTAGATATGACGTCATAGTTACAAATGTCTGATGAATCATATGCAGGTGGCCGAACCAGTCTTCAGGCTCTTTCCCACTCATCGCAACACATGTGCTGCGAGTGCCTGCGAGTTACTCACAGCGAGCTTACCATGACTTGCAGCATAGATAAATTATTTGAACAAAATTTGTTGATTGCGTGAACAGACTCACAAGCTCGCAGCAAGAGCATTTTGCGATGAGTGGAAATGTGCCTCTAATTGAGCTTTTTTACATACAGTAAATAATATTGTGATTTAGTCTTACGGTAGATGGTGGGGTTACATTTGTTCATGTTTGTTCTCCTGATTGTGTCAGGGTCGCTTCTAGCAAAAACAGACATGGCTTACCATGCCCTATTTATTTGTGAAAATAAGAGCGCTTTGGGCAAGGATGCGCACTGTTATCAGTTGAAGATTGGATTAGTAAATATCAGTATTTTATATTTTATGGCATGGCAACACATCATTGATTTTTGTCGTAGTCAATATATCGATGTCTTCTGTCAGTATTTGGAGATAAACAGTCGCTTTTCGTATCATCTGTTTGACTTCGTTTAAGTGAGTTTTTGGAAACTTTTCAATTACTATTTTCAAATATTTTGATTGCTGGTTTTTATAATCTGAGCTCTGCGCGTGATCAATTATCTTAGATAACAGCAAAACACTGACATTAAGCTCAGTGGCGAATCCAGAGTTGGTTAGAATACATTAACGGAAATATATTTCCATTTTAAAATACTTTAGAGTGAAATCTATCGAGAGTATTTTGGCCTAAATATTCCTTGAAATTTTTAACCACCAGCATAGCTATATAAGCATTTGAATTTAAAATGAGCTATGATTCACTTTGACTTATCGCAGATCCCTCCATTGATTGTTGTACCAAAGCCTAAACACTCCCCTTTTACTGCTCCTTTCGCCAATTGTCCTGAGGTCGTGTATAACAAAACACTTAATGCACATTCTCCCTAGGGATTTAGTAAGTTTTGTTTTCCTAGAGTGTCAAGACTCGAGGAAAACAAAACTTGCTATTTCCCGAGGGAGCGTACATTAAGTGTTTCGTTTCAAAATGTCTAAAGAAAACTGCAGCATTTTTTGTCGACTTCCAAGTGTTTTCTGAATCCTTTTTGAGATTAATAGTTGAAATTTTTCGCTTTGTAAGATCAAGATAATGTTTTTAAGGCAAACGTGTTTTTCGGCCACATGTTTGCCTTGAAACAATTTGTCGTGTATTTTAAATGTCGTATGACGATTGTACTGCTACTACGAAATTATGGCATTATATTGAAAAGGATGGGCAACATTTTTTCACTTGTGGAATAGATTATTCAATTATGCAAATATATCTTTTCATGTATCCCGATCTCAGTGGAGAGAAATACCAAATTTGGTTGTTAATATAAAATTCAGTTGTACACCTCGGTATACTTTTATCGTTGTCAACACCACAAAATTCCGGACCTCTGACGAAAATTATCGGTAAAACAGTTATAACGTTCGAGTTGTAGGTCTAACCTTATTATAAGTTAACTATTCATTTCCAACAACGCTTTTCAGTGAAATTATAGTGACGTTTAATCAGAAATGGTGACGTCATTAGGAAACGTAGAAAACTTTGTCTCTTACAGATTTTTGGTTTTATGGCTGTCCCGTTGCTTCTGGTATGTGCTGCTATTTTCTACATGTCAGCGTTTTACGGTGAATTGTACTTCCAGGAATTGGGAAGTGAAGTAAATTAAAAGTTCCGCGAAGACATTTAGTAGAGTGTTTAATTTGTATCTCTTCATTATGTACACGATTTATAATGTAAGAAAATATTGAGAACACGTCACATGACAGAGAAAAGTCACCCTTAAACAGAAGATTTTATCTGCGAGCAAATGTTGTATTGCGGGGCAGTGCAGGTCTCATTATAAATTTGATTGCTAAAAGCAATATATAATTGTCTCGTAGTTATTTCTGTAATTATTATTTGTAATTATCATTATATTTTATTTTATATTGTTACTGAATAATTATTCTTCAAGTAGACGGTGAGCGATTTTGCTGAAAAGCTCTTGTTTGATGTCAACAAAATATCTTGCTAAAAAGGTTTGCTTATTTTCAACTGGGACAACCTATAGACTACCTAAGTGCCGTTTGTACTGCTATGTCAAACTTGTGGTATTTCGTCTCAGTATTAGCAAGTTTAATAAATGCTATTTTTGGATGAATAATAAAGTTCATGACAAACGAGGCATTAAACTTCGCCCATAGAAGGGAGGATGAAAGGGAAATTGGTTAAAGCCAGACGCGACAGATTGGTTTTCAAAACTTAAATTTCTTTCTGATACCAAAAAAGGGTAGTACAATACGGCTTCCTAAATCATTTGAAATCATTTATTTTGCTGATGATATCAAAGCACAATGTTATTGCGGTCTAGAAAAAAACTTTTGCATGTGTATGAGCTGCTGCATAATCTTTAATCTTTACCTTTCTCTTAACGTAGACAATTTATTTATGACCTCAGTACACGTGTTGTTGAGTTCACGTGACTATATCTAGGACAAGTAAAACTTAAAAGGAAATAACGTCTACAAACATCCTTAATATTTCATACTTCACCCTAAATTTGATAATTTTAGGCTCAATAAACACTATTATTAACACTAAATAAACATTATCTATGTAAATATTAAAAAAAGTATATTAAAGCTGCATAAATATTCCAACTAGCAAATTTTCTTTTCTCTGCTTGTCGTTGATGGATCCACAGTTGTTTTGTAGGGAGGTGTGGTCTTGTTTGGACTCTACTTAGTCGGCTACCTGCTGCTGAAGCATGTCATGGTTTTATGATCTCGAAATCGTTTAAACGGACGTCGTGTCCATTTCGTCGATGATATCTTGAGACTTGTACAAATTTTTCCTGAAAAATGAAGATACGATAATAAAACCAACGTCCACAAAAACGGGTGCCGTGTAATAGAAGTAAAGTTCCTTTTCTTCTATCTGATTTAAAAATCGCCGTGGTGGGGTTTCCTCGGAAAGTAATTTCATTGGATCCCCCAAGCTAAATTTATTTTCTGATTGGTGAACAATAAAGCATTTGTATGATGAGTGAAGCTGAATATTGGCGATAATTTTGAGTTTGAGAGATATTAAAGCTGGTTCGAAGGATACATTGTCCTTTCAAAAGAAATCTCAATGTAAATTGAATAATAAAGTGCTCAATATGAAAGATTGTTATATGCAGTGCGGTGTGCGAAGATCATATCTTCATTTAAAGTGCTTAATATAACACACAAGTTTAATAAAAATAAATTCATCGATTTTGAAACAATGTCATTATAAACTACTGCGTTAAAAAGAAGCGTGTTTTACAATAAAATAAATGTACGTCACGTAAGGGGAACTAGACCCACTCACAGTACCTCACTGTCAAACACAAAGAGCGAACTTCGAGGCCCAATAAGTAAAGGAACATCAAGTTTTCGTCTTATGAAATATAATGCAATTGTTCAAAATGGTCAACTCAATCTAACTAGATTATTATCCCGTGGGTGAGATAGGCACTTTAATAGAGATTGTTTGTATTTTAAAGATTTTATGTATAATTTGTGCATTGTCATTGCCTTTTCTTGTTAATTGTTTGCTTACCTTGCATGCGTTTTATGACGATAAATTAACAGAATTACGATAATTAGAACTAGGAAGAACACCACACATAATATGATTATCCAAACAGGAAAATCTTTGCCACCGATGTCACTTGTTACTGATGCTACCGTTGTTCTTGATGAAGAAGTTGACATAATCGTTGAAACATGGTGGTCTTTGCTCAGGGAGGGAATTGCAGATGAAGGAATTCTTGTAGGTTGTTGGGTAGTGCGTCCTTTAAAGGTGCTAGTGGGGGATGGGATTATTGTTGGAGATGGAGCCAGAACAAAGGCGATAGAAGGTGATGGTTCTAAAGCGAAGTAAATATATTATCTTTAATTTCACAATCTCTATTGTACCAAAACAAAGATTGATGCATGCAATTGATCACATAATACCCTCATTTCATGTATAATACCCTCGTTGATATCTCGTCAAGGATAACAATAAGATCTTAGAAAGAATCGTGTAGGGAACTAAATATGATCTGACCATGAGATTTTACAAGGCCCAACTAAGTCTAAAAGGATTTTAACTAACATCTCACCAAAAATTTTAAACCCGATCCTGTAGGGAACTTATGAAAGACCTCAGCATAAAATCCTATGTAAGATTTTATAAAGTCTTTAAAGGATCTTAACTAAGACGTTACAATAAAGCAGGATCCCATAGGGTCTTAACATTGGCTTGGAAATAAGAGTGAATATAAAGAAATGATGGTAATAAATTAATAAATGAAACTGGTGTAATACCAATATATACATGGTGCATCAAAGTAATAAATTATGACATGCAAGTGTGTATTAAGATATGCTTGATTTTTTCTTAAGTCAACAAAGAAGGTAATGAAATTTAGATGGGGCTCAGGAATTAAGTTTGACAAGATAACTACTTACGTGAAGGAATTTTTGTAGGTTGTTGGGTAGTGCCTCCTTTAAAGGTGCTAGTGGGGGATAGCATTATTGTTGTTGATCGAGCCAGAACAAAGGCGGTAAACGATGATGGTTCTTCAAAGCAAAGTAAATATATTATCTTTAATTTCACAATCTCTATGGTACCAAAACAAAGATAAATGCATGCAATTGATCAAATAATACCCTCATTTCATGTATAATACCCTCGTTGATATCTCGTCAAGGATAACAATAAGATCTTAGAAAGAATCGTGTAGGGAACTAAGTATGATCTGACCATGAGATTTTACAAGGCCCAACTAAGTCTAAAAGGATTTTAACTAACATCTCACCAAAAATTTTAAACCCGATCCTGTAGGGAACTTATGAAAGACCTCAGCATAAAATCCTATGTAAGATTTTATAAAGTCTTTAAAGGATCTTAACTAAGACGTTACAATAAAGCAGGATCCCATAGGGTCTTAACATTGGCTTGGAAATAAGAGTGAATATAAAGAAATGATGTTAATAAATTAATAAATGAAACTGGTGTAATACCAATATATACATGTTGCATCAAAGTAATAAATTATGACATGCAAGTGTGTATTAAGATATGCTTGATTAGGTCTTAAGTCAACAAAGAAGGTAATGAAATTTAGATGGGGCTCAGGAATTAAGTTTGACAAGATAACTACTTACGTGGCATTGGTATATATATATATATATATATATATATATATATATATATATATAAAATGAACTAAAATAAAATGGACAATTGTTTGCTGTCGCTACTCGGAGTTTCACGCCGTAGGGCGATCTTCAGGCAACTGCGTGATTCTTCTAATATATAGAATATTGAGCGCTCTTTTATCCAGGAATATTATCCATAATAATATATATATATATATATATATATATATACATATACCAATGCCACATAAGGTATATATATATATATACCTTTGTAAGGTATATATATATATATAAGTTTGAAAATTTGTAATCCAGGCATTGAATACATAAAAGATAAAAGTTTCTCCGGATTTTAAAGTTTCTCATAAACAATGTGCCCTCCCGGCTATCACCATAGTAAAATGGTGACTCCTGCACTTGGTACACAGGACGTACGGTCATATATAAATATATATATGTAAGTTTTATATAAGGTATTGTCACTATTTTTACTGGTTCGTCTGTATCTTCGTTAGGTTTTTCAGTTTGTGGTTTGTTGTGTATTTTGTTTAATACTTTGTTGATAAAGTTTCGTGGGTAATTGTTGTTTATGAATGTAGAGTATAAGTAGTTGCGTTCATTCTTCTTGGCTTCTGTATTGCAGTGTGTTTTAATTCTGTTAAAGAGAGTTCGTATGCAACTAATTTTGTGTTGTGTTGGGTGATTGCTATTAAAGTTGAGTATTGGTCTGTGTGTGTATTTGTTTTATGACAAACTTAAAGCAAGTGCTCATTCATTGTAGCGTAGATCATAAGGGGAAGTACTTGTGAAGTACTTGTGAGGATTCAGGCCCATCGGCCACGTGGCACAAATAACATGCGAGCGGCAGGGAAAACCCGTACGATAAATATCTCTAAAGAACTTTATATATAAGTTATCGATGATTCCGATGGTGACGCATAATAATGTACCTACTATATCTATGGTGCAGACCAATATGCTCTAAATCGAACCTAAAACAAGCTTAAAACTCGTGATTATCACGTGATACTGGGGTATTCCCGTTTACTCTTTGAAAATGAAACTCGTTGGAATTTCACATAAAAACTGTTAAGTATAAAACTGTAGAAGCGTTTGCATAGTTGAGCAGGATACTATACGAACAAGTTAAAAAAGACCATTTCATTTGTTAGTTTTAAAGTAATTTTGAAAAAAACCGATTTAGTCATTTTGTTATCGGACACCCCATGAGTTTTATAAAACGTTATTGTTTCTTCCCAACTATACAAACAACAACATATCATGAAGCCTTTTATGAATATAAAACACTACGCAAACAAAAATCGTTGAACTTATTACTTCGTACTAGAGTTGATTGAACATATATTTTTACATTCAAAGACATACTAGCAACGATCCCCTAAACAGATTCATCAAAACAGAATATAGCAAACTTAAACACTAATTACAACAGCATATAGCGGGAATATGCGCTAATATCCTCGGCGTCCACTGTATTGAAAAATTTGCGTGTCTGCGTGCGTGAAAATAGTCGCCAAGTGTTGTCAACATTATAACCCTATGTGTAACAAGTTGATAAACGTTGCGTCAATATGCACATGGCATCACGACGTAGTGTGAACTTAAAGTGAAGTATATAGTCTACTTACGGCACCATTTAAGACAGGCTTGCTCATCTTTTCCTTGATTGCTACAGTCATAATACTTTGGTGGACAAGGAGTACATCCATGCACAAAGTTACTCGGGAATTTTCCATGTTCACAGGTTGATGAACTGATGGCGACGTAAGAACACATTGCTACGTACAGAAATATTGTACAAATACTGATCGATCTTGCACTTTTATCTCGTCTCATGACGCACCTTATTTGAACGTATTTTTAGTATATGTTAGAGTTACGAGTTGTAAAGTCTTGTTTTCAAGTAGTATCTTTAAAGCATGTATTGCTTCTCTGTTGTCTGTCTATGTCCGGGTGAATATGCTTATTGCTTAAGTCATCATTTTTTGTGGTGTATTGATTGGATGAAAATGATGGAAACGGAAGCTCGTGATGCGTCCTTATCGCTGATCGCAATAGTGGATTTACACGAGAATAATACTGAATTTTCAATGTGTAAATACATGAACATAATTGAGAGATAAATCAAATTTTAAAATTGCTAAAAATATGATGCAATATGATAAAAATGCAGCAATTTTTGTCATCAGTGACCGTACTGTGGAATGGTTAAACAATGGAAAATGACCAACAATTGCATGGAAATGTATTGAATAGTTCAAAAATAGAGGCTAATGAAAAATTGTCATTTACGATCACAAACTGATCAATTCTTGAAAATTACCTGACTTTTTTATGAGTGATTCGGAGTGAAAGGGACGAATTTAGTGGGGATGGACAGAGGGTGGCTAGTCCCCACCACTCCTTTTTAGTTAAAATTCTTAAAAATTCATCAAATGCTGTTTGTAGTTTATTTTTAAGATTTTCGATTTTGCATTTCCAATAAAAGTAATTTAGAGAAGATATTAAATATCGAATACGATACACACTAGTTAAGAGCGCATCTGCAAGTGCAAGTATGTCGCCCCGACCACGTGCATTGATTTACGCCAAAAACATAGCGGCATGTAAATCGGATAACAAAGCAATTTATATTAGATGATGAGCATAAATCGATGGAAATATAGATAAAGCGTTAGCAGTTTTGTAGCCAGTCCGCAAATTTTGGTCCTGCTACGTAAATTTCAAAAGAAACAAGACATTGCAATTAATTTGTTTGGAAGTCTTTTGTTGTTACAGTGATTGAATACAGGAAATTTAGTATAGCAGGGGAATATAAGGAAGCCTTCTACGCTGTTGTAGACAAAACATCGGACAGTTCTGTTAAGGGAACTTCCAAAGATGTTAAAGAAGGAAAAGTATATAAAAACAGCTTATTAGACATACAATTTTTTTTCTACCCTTGCTCAAACTTGTAAAAAATTTGATTTTTTCCCACTGTCATCCAAGACTCCTCCATGCAAATGAAACCGTCTAATATATTCCACTTAGTCCCCCAAAATCCTTCATCCATCCCTAGAAACCTGCATGCAAACTGTTATTATACGGCCGATTATTCTTCCTGACTCTCTTTTTTTTACTATTGCCACAAAGTTTATTTTTAACCTTCTGCTTTAGCTTTCTTAAACTTATAAGATGATTTTGCCATGTTTAGCTAAATTTCCCGATAGTTTAATTAGTTTAGTGAAACAAATCTTTTGATGCGTTTTTATGGTCTCGTGTGACCAATATTTTCTTCCGACGGTTGTTGCTTTTTGTAAATTTATTTTCAAAAAGTAATCAAATCCCAGTTACAGTAAGGAAAGTTCACTGGCTCTCAAGATCAAAATAACGGTAGATATTATCATCAAAGAATTTTCTCGCTCAAATTGCATGAACCAATTTGACGAAAAGAAAGGCTAATTATAACAGCGGATCCAAGTTAAGACAAAATAAATGAAAAGAGAATTTTAAATTTATAATATCTTTATTACAAGGTTATTGGTTATAAATTTTCAAAGAATGAAATATTACTAATGAATGAGCTTTTGCAAAAAACTTGCAATATATTTTGTACAACACTTTATCTAACTGTACTCAATTATTTTTCATGCCAGTATGAAATTTATAATGAGATTACGATTTACGCGATTACTTTGGCGAGCCAGCGCTTAGTATCTAATAGACAAAATGTTTAATATATAATGTCATAAATAAATATATATATAAATTCGGACCAACTGAATTTATAAACGGCAAAACATATCGACTATCCATGCAGTGAAGGACAAACAGGTCTCTAAAAATGAAGTGATTAAATTTTTGACCACTTACCACTCTTTGCTTTAGAGCAGTTATGTCACTGTGTAGTCAACATCATTTGCTGTTTACTTATAATTTAAGTAATTACAATTGTTGCTTCGTCAGCGTAAACGTAGCAAAATTTAAAGAATCATTATTAGTTCAGCTGTGTGTATGGTATTTGGTCTATACGTTGTGATATATGTATATAATAAATAGACGTAATAAATAAAAATGATAAATATGTATAATAAATATAAATTCTACCAAAGTACATATTCCATCCGTAGAAACAAAAGTGCTCGTGCATACTCCATCTTGTGCTTTGTCAATAGTTCAATTGTGAAGAGGCATATTCACAAGTCGCAAATCTTGAAAACATTTTTTAAGCCAAAAAACATGAGCTTCATCACGCTAGTTTTAGAAAATGTATGAATCGAAATGAAATTGTCTGAAGAGCAAAAAGTTTTCATCTCGTTTATATACACCGCTTGGAGATAATTATTTGTCGTAAGCACCTTATTTTAAACGGTCGTTTAATTTCAATAAGGAAATGCGTGATCAGCTAATACTTCTTGTTTTACGTAAAAATGTTCAGAAGACGTGCACAAAATGTGAAAATGCCCCATTCACTTACTTAAACTGTTGTATTGTCTATGGAGTCGAGATTGTCGTACGAATGCACCAAAAATTCCGCTCTCTCATCGTTTTCTTCATCCCTATTAAATACGACTCAACATAAGTTACAAAAAATATATTTTATACATCGGCTTTCTCCAGTCACAATATTGCTGCAGTTAAAATCATGGCAAATATGATTTCTTGCTTTTGCCAATTTCCGGTATAATTTTATCGTCCTATAAAACCTTCACTAATATCGTAGGCAAAAGTGCGACAGTTTCAACTTCAGTTTGTAAATGTGCCAAAAAACCCAATGAGTCAATTAAGAAACGAATTCAATATTCCCCCTATAGTTAATACTTATAGTCTTCATGCCGTTGCATAGCTCTTTTTTTCTAGAAATATTAGGCTTGCTTATGCTGCATTATATTTGTGTGCGTGAGTTTGTTTAAGTTGAATTGGTGCCCCGCTCACGATCGTGACTAAAACACCACACGAGTACATACGAGTACATACGAGTGACATACGAGTACATACGAGTGACATACGAGTACATACGAATGACATACGAGTACATACGACTGACATACGACTATATACTGGTCAACAAATGAGAAACAAGTTTCTCATTCAAACAACACAATTTCTTCAATACATTGATATTGCGTTTACTTTTCCTTGTATTTGTGTGGACTTTGGGGCAACCTTTTGATGGATTTAAATGCTGAAAAGGTATTTTACTTTCATACTACATTCATTTGTATGTTTCAGTTGAATTTGTTATAGATATTTTGTCAATGCGATTTGCCAGTATTTGAGCGCTTTTTGACACACTTTCACCTAGGAAATACATATTTATGAAAGCGATTATACATTCATTTTGACTCTGAAGATGACTTCATATAGCACGTTTTCAAGGCATTATTTATACGTTGTATTTTTAATCGCTTTCATAAATATGTATTTCCTAGGTTAAAGTGTTTCAAAAAGCGCTCAAATACTGGCAAATCGCATCGACAAAATATCTATAACAAATTCAACTGAAACATACAAATGAATGAAGTATGAAAGTAAAATACCTTTTCAGCGTTTAAGTCCATCAATAGGTTGCCCCAAAGTCCACACAAATACAAGGAAAAGTAAACGCAAATATCAATGTATTGAAGAAATTGTATGAATGTTTTATGCAGTGCGGTGTTTGAAATTAAATGAAGATATGATCTTCGCACTTTGCTGGCAATTTAAGCAATCGTCTCAGGACCTGAAAAAATCAGGTGACTCAACGGGATTTGAACCCATGACCTCTGCGGTGCCGGTGCAGTGGCACCTTTGTCCAGCAAAGTGCGAAGATCATATCTTCATTTAATTTCAAACACCGCACTGCATAAAACATTCATACGACATTCCTTTCACGATAAAACATGAGCCCAACAATATTGACCTGCTCACCACTGTGTGACTTCATAACTCAGTTGGTCAGTGCACTGCACCAGCACCGCAGAGGTCATGGGTTCAAATCCCGTTGAGTCACCTAATTTTTTCAGGTCCTGAAACGATTGCTTAAATTGTCCAGCAAAGTGCGAAGATCATATCTTCATTTAATGAAGAAATTGTGTTGTTTCTCATTTGTTGACCAGTATATAGTCGTATGTCACTCGTATGTCACTCGTATGTACTCGTATGTCACTCGTATGTCACTCGTATGTACTCGTATGTACTCGTATGTCACTCGTATGTACTCGTATGTACTCGTATGTACTCGTGTAGTGTTTTAGTCACGATCCCCGCTCACATGTAGAGCAAACAAACTTCTCGCTAAGCCTGTGTTCCCTGCAACAAATACACAATATTCCCTGGCTAAGCTAAGGGAATATTGTGTATTTGTTGTTTGCAACTATCGCATAAATTACATCTCATTTGTGTTGTCATTTTGATCATATAATTCTGTAGAATTAATTATTACATTTGTGCTATTTTGAAGTCTCTTGCTGCTAAGAAGTACGGTGTGACTTATCAAACGTTTACACGAAGTAGCGCTCTATGACCTCATAGACAGGGTTGCAGTTGATGAGTTGAAATTCTTTATTTGTCTATGTTATTGTTAGATAGATTGTTGCACAATTCTGCAAATTTTAAAGATCATGGCCCCATCTATCTCGAAAAAAGTGATCCTTCATAAATCATACTGCTTTATTACGCACTGATGAGTTATTAAATAGTAATAATTATTATTATTATTATCCCCGTTTGATGCAGGGATGAATCAAGCCAGTTATGAGTTGAGGTATATATCCGGTATTCCTACCTTATATTGAAATCATTGTTGTCCTCAGTTCTTGTTGAATTTTGTGGGTTCAACATGGCCCCATTCTTGCTATTCTTTATCGCAATTCCGATTCCCAAGATACTACTAACTAAGGCTGTGGCTATAATTAAAAGACCGCCAACTTTAAAAGGATTTGCAATTCTTTCGTATTTAGAACGATATATTGCTGAGCCATCGTGTTCACTGCTCGATGAGATTGCCGTCAACTGAGAAGTGAATGTTTTCAAAAACCACGTCGTACGTTTCGTAATTGGAGGAGCAACAGAAATTACTGAATTTTCCGTAGTTGCCATTTGCAAGGTAGATTTATCTTTAACAGTTGTAAACAGCGGTGCTGGATTTTTGGTTGCCATTTGCAAGGTAGATTTATCTTTAACTGTCGTAAACAGTGATGCGGGATTTATGGTTGGCATTTTCAAGGTAGATTTTCTTTTAGCCATGGTGAATAACGGTGCTGAAGTAAATTTAAATGTGACGTAAGCGTTAACTCGCCTAGTTTAGCGGGGAATCCCCGAAAACCTTGTTCACGTGGTCAATTAAACACCATTCAGAGTTGAGAGCGTGGTTTGGGATTACATGCTCATATACAAACATACAAAATATTTAATTTATGTTGCCTTATTTAATTGGATTATGCTCAACGTGCTTTAGCTCTTTAACTTTGGATGGGCTGAATAAAGTGTTTATAATAACAAACAAATGATGTGATTTTCCACTTATAATACAAACATGCACTTATAATACCAAATATTTATTATTCTAAGCACAAAACTCTAATTTATGACTCTTATACTAACCACATGAAGCAATACAGATATTCGAATCGATTCCCTCTCTTTTGCATTGTGTTAGTTTGCGAGGACATTCGACACAATTCCCGAGAAACGTACTTCGATATTCTCCGTATTTGCAACTAATCGTCACGTAAAATTCCAACAAAAATTACGAAACATTTTGTGATGTTTAACGAGGCTTGCGCACTATTCTGACCCATATTTAACAGGTTACTTTGATATATTTAATTTTTAAACCTTACTTGTTGACACACTGACAATAATGATGTAACCCTCATTGCATTTGTATATATGCAATGAGGGTGAATCCTTATTGCAAATGCAAATGAGACAGAGGGGTTTTCCCTGTTTTAGTGGAGGGTTTTCCCTCAAGATTTGCTTACAGTTAAAATTTCAAGCGCACTTCCTATTTATAAACTAAAACCATAGGAGCCCAGAAATCTGTTTCAGATTTTTATTCAATCGATTTATGTAAATAAAAGTAGATTATTGATTAATATGCCATGTTTCTCACGCAAGCGATCTCGCGTGACTTCCACGTATTCGGTCGGTAATTTTCACTCAATGATAATTTTGTGTTGAGTTGGTTTCCTTTGAGTTCTATTAAGTTACCTGGAGAGGAAACGGGGCCTGGGAACTGTTGTCAAAACAGTGAACTGTAATCACAACTGGAATGATAACTCCCATAGTTTTTCCTATGATTGTTTGAAGCCAAACTCCCCAGCACCCCCACCCCAATATAATGCGTGTTTTTTGGCGACTGACGTTTGTTTTGGTTTGTAGGCAGTTGAAAACAGTGAAAAATAATTTGTTTTCGTTTTTTTGACACATTTTGTGCTTTAAAATTTCATCTACCATTCTTAGCGTATACCTCAGCAAGATGTTTCGAGGAGAAACATAATCGGCAAGAATTGTGGACGATTGTTTTCAACAATACCAAGTTTATCGGCCCGTTATATGCAATGTGTTCATTTCCTTTTCTCTCTTTGTATGCTTTACAAGGACGGCACAAGAATAGGGTGTTATGTATTTGAAAAATAAACTTGATTTTTACATATTTAAATGGTAAAATAGTTTTTAAGAATCCTTTTGCGAGGATCTTGCACTTTTCTTTATGACAGCTGTATATATATTATTTGCAGGTGTGTATATTTTCATGGTATGAGAAATGCTTCTAAAAACACATTTTTCTACTTGGCAAATTGCTCAATTTTTACGAAACTTGGTAGGATTGTGTATTTAGCATGGAACTACAATATTTTGGCGAATTGAACGTTTAGGTATGCGTGAAACTTTCAAAAACGCAGAAAAAGCAACAACAAATCGCGCGGACTTTCGGTAATTTTTGTCTTTGCTTTAACGTTTTTCAGCAATACTAAGTTTTAGCCAATTTTTTTTGACATTCTGCAAGTTTGACTAATACTCTTCAAATATAAAAGTATTTTGAAAAACTAACGCAAGGTTTACTTTTGAGATTTTATAAATATAAAAATGCCATATTTTTTACCAAAGGGACTGGAGCTATCTGCAAGCTGGCATCATATAGATTTTGTGTGCTTTGCTTCAATCACATTCGAGCATGTTAGTTCAAAACATAGAAATATACCTTTTATTACATAAAAAGGGTGTATACTTATATTTAACTTCGATGTTCGAGCCTAAAGGGTAAAAGCTTTTCTTAAATACTTCTTATGTTCTTTTTTACATTTGGAAGTAGAAGTGTAGAACAGAAGTTACCGGCTGTTTTGAGCAGCTACCGTTTGGCAAACGCAAAGTAACGTTGAATATCGATTATACCTTCTGTTGGCCTCAACATTTTATTGACTTTATGTCCTTGAAATATTGTCCTCGAGATTTAGTAACTGCAACTTGCCATTATATTTACAATTATACATCCCTAGTCTTATGACAAACTGCTGTCAAGTATAAACTCTATTAATTGAAAGATCTCTTTAGCTATCATAAAAATTTCTTCTGCTTTCACATTCTAATGCAGTGGAATGCTCATTATGTGCGATGTCATTGCACATCAAATAAATTCTGAGCTGTGAGCAATTATGAAATATTTTCAAGATTTTGCGCATGGGCTTTGGACATAAAAGCACTATGACACACTACATAACAAGCAAACAAATGTTCGAAGTATTCTTTTAGGCAGTGGGTGGCTCTTAAAAGAGCCGTTTGCACTCTTTGTAAACTTTTTAAGATCATATTGACAAGAATTTACTTCTTTGCTTTCGTTGTCTTTTTTGCCGCTGGCTTCTTTAGGGTCTTTTTTGGTGTCCCTTTCTTGCCTGCCGCTTTTTTTGTCGCCACTTTTGCGGCTGACTTCTTGGAAGGACTCTTCTTGGGCTTTGGCTTGGAAGGACTCTTCTTAGGCTTTGGCTTGGAAGGACTCTTCGACTTTTGGGGGGATTTGGCAGATGTTTTAGCTGCAGGTTTGTTAGGTTTCTTAGTCTTCTTTGCCGCAGGTTTCTTTGGTTTACTTGCCTTAGTTGCAGTCATTTTCTTCGCAACGGGTTTCTTGACCGACTTCTTGCTTGCTTCGCTCAGCTTGAAGCGAGAACGACTGTCTTTGCTCGGCTCGAAGCTTCCTACGTCGAGTCCTTTCTTCAACGCATTGTTCACAAGTTTCCCTGCGTTGTCGCCGACCTTGAAGTTAGCCAAAATATATTTCAAAATCGCCTGGCGACTCGCTCCCTTTCGGTCTTTCAAAGCAGAGATCGCGGTGGTAATCATATCCTTGTACGGTGGGTGCGCTGAAGGAGCTTTCTTTTTGCCACTGCAGACATGCTTGTTGTATTTGAAAAATATTGCTGCCGTATAAACCACTCAAGTAATTAATCTAAATGCTATGCAAGAATCGAATTTCGCGCTGTTTATATATATAAGCAGTTAGTCGGACGTCAACGTACGCAGCCACCGAACAAGACAAGATGGCCATGCGATGTGGAAAGTTTGTGTTAGTTGTGATAAATTGTCGACGATTTTAGCTCGATTTAAGGCGTTTTTCCTCGTAATAAACGTTTGAGGGAATACAAAGAATCTTAAAATATTTGATTAGGTCATTAAAATTTGTTAGATAATTGCTAAGGCGCGTGTATTTTCCATTTTATTGCAAATTTCACCTGGCAAAATCGAGGATTTTTTAAATAAATGACGATTAACATTTTACAACGGTGCTTATCTTAACAAATTACTACAAGATTATGGAATTTATGTTCTTACGTTTCATATAAGGTAGTTATCTGATTAGAAAATTCAAAATTTCATCAAATATTTTTGTGCCAAAGTTGAGCAGAAAGCACAATTCGTATCATCCTTCCTTTTAAATCCCACTATACATTTGGTGAAATAACACTGCGTTTGCGACAAGAACGCTGTTTTGTACAATGTTGTCACTTTGCAACGAACTAATGGAATATTTTTCTTCAAATTTTAGATAGTTGAAGAAAATATTGAGGAACTCTGAAGGCAAATGTCACTTTAAGGTATGAATTCCGGAATTTGTAATGAACTCTAGGAGAGTACCATCTCGACCCCCATTTATAATCTTTCAAACAACAAATTCATACGGCTCTAATAACAGTGCACAAAGAAGAATATAATTTGTTTTTTTAAAGTTGAGTGGTGCATAACATGTTGTGAAAGTAAAATGAACGTTGAGGTTTTGCAAAGTGTTGCTGTGAGCAAGTAGTTATTTGCATCAGAGCCCCCTATGATTCGCCCATGTCTTCCATTATACCATGGTATTAATTTCCATGAACGTTTTTGAGCAATGCACCATATTGCTGTAGTTTTTGAAGGTGTTGGGTACTTTTCTTAAAAGCATTATGGAGTTTTTTCCTATCAACTTTGCTCTATAATTCTTTTTATTGGGATTATCTTCATAGAAAGTGTTACTTAAGAAGTTAAGTTTTGTGGTAGATTTTTATAGCATATCAATAATAGGAAATCACATTTGGCATAATCAAATAAATTCAATTTATGGTTGAATCTCCAGCTCACCTGTATTATGTAGTAAACTTACACTGTTATTTTTTATTAGAAGATAACAATATTTGATATAATTTGAGAAATTAAATCTATATCTCTGTATTTGTCAACACCTAAAGAGGCATAATCCTCAGATTAATTTTGATCAAAACATATAGATCTGATTTATCTGATTATCAACTGCATGAATCTATTTCCAACTCACCAGCTGAGCATACTACATTCATAAATCAGCTTTGATCAAGAAAGATTGATCCGATTTATTTGAGTACAATTTGCATAAATCTGTATCAAACTCGCTGAACATGAACATGCCAAATCTCTAGATGAAATGAGGCTAAAGTAAAAGTTTGGGTTTTCAACAATCGAGATTAAAAATGAGTAATTTTGATTTCTCATGCCAGCACCAACTCAGACTTGTAAGACTTGCCCAGCAACATAAAGTTTACTTTTTTTAATTTGCTGTCAAACTTATTTTGTGATTTTGAAATGAACCAATATCAAAGGGTGACAGGTTGGTCTAATTTTGTGAAGAACACAAAAATTCTCATGTTGTCCGACTCCAACAAGAAGTGACAATAGTGAATTGACTAACTTCCTGTGTGTTGTTTTGCATTTCATTTCCATAGATGTAAATTTCAAAGTCTCCTCAACTCAAACTGAGCTCTTGTAAGCTTTGAAAAAAGATGGATGACTCAACTTCTTTGGGAAAAGTTGCTGGTGAATCTTGTTTAATAAATGAAGTACAAGGCGATAGTGAAAACCAAAACGGTTGTGCTGTACGTAACGAACAAAATATTCAGGCCCTAATGTCATTGAGAGAAGAATGTCATATGTGGTCCAAGAGGAGTCTAGCAGAGCATGAAATACTCGATATGATGACCATTAAATGTTTTTCCGTTTTTGACAGTCTATGCAAATTACGTTGGCTCGTAGTTCAATGCTGTTATTTGACCTACATGAGACAGTAGCATGCGATATCCAGCTTAGGCCTTTGTCGCCGAATGAAGCGAAGAAGATGCTTCATGTCAATTCATTGTTGCACCAAAAGAAGACTAGACGCTGGCTATAAGAAAACACTTCAAGGTAGAGTCTCTGTTTATTTTGTTTTGTTCTGCTTTTATCGCATATTTCGATAATCATAAGAGAGCGTATCGAAGCGTTAGCGAATGAAGAATATAACATAGCTTGACACATTCTGTTGTTTTTGTTTGATGTGTAATTACCACTATAATTTCGGGTCTTCTTTGTCTCATTGTTTAAAAATTATAGTAATATTGTAACGATTACGAATGCCGTTATGTAGACATGTTAAGTGTAAAAGAGTAACTGTATTGAACAGATGATTGCAGTCCAAACCAACGCGCACCTCCTATTTAATTGCCGTACAATTGAAATAGAAATGGAGGTTTTCGAAAACTTTATTAGATATTTTTCAAAACGCCGTTTTTATGTTTACGTGTGGACGGCGAAAAGGCCGGTTTTCGTTAAACGATTACTTAAACAATCGAATCCTGTATAATGATCCGGTCCAGCGATCGTATTTCGAAAAGAGGGATTCAAAGTGCCCGACTATTTTCCTTTGTCGAAATTTACGACGACTCAGAGTTAGCATATTGCCATGAATTTAGTTAAGTTTTACTAAAATCATTTGCCTTACAAAGCAACTCGCATGCTTTATGTTATGTCATATTTCCTCAGTTTTATCGTTTACGTGTGGTCAGGCGGAAACAATTCAAAGACTCTAAGTGCATGTTGACGCAAGTTTTTTTGAGAAGCGGACGAAAAATCTCCGTCTTAGAAATCTGGAGGCGTGTATGGACAGGGTCTTGATCGTGACTAATGGGAAAATCATTGCATCTTTTCATCGTCCAGGAATCTGTTAAAAAAGTTCGCTTGTTGTCATGATTTATGGAACATTTTATATATTTCGTGTGGCTGGTCGGGTTGTCTCGTATCGCAGTCAAAAACTAGCAGTATGCGACCATACTGTTACGCTTTGTTACTCCTCCGTGCAAGGGCTAGGTTTTTTTTTAGCATGTATTCTTTTTAAAGCTCAGTTTCAGCTTGTAAGCCTGCATGGTCACGTGTCTTGTTGACATTCTAGCTTCATTCTTTTACTTAGTTTTACTTGTCATGCTCTGGCTATGCTATGCATATTTTGTCTCGAAATTAAGTCATATCTATTTATTGCTGATACCCTCTATGGAATTTAATATACATTCATTATTATATACATCATATTATGTTCGTAACATGTAATGATATATAATGAGGCATATAAATTCTGTCTGTGGGATCTGCAAAGTTGTTCAAATAGCTGAAATAAAGTCTAAAGAATGGGACTAGTGATGATTGATCATAAATTCACTCTATATCCTTGTTCTTTATAGACCTAACTAAAAGATGGATTTTACAGTTAATCATATTAACTGGCTAAAAGTTGGCGAGATGATTCGATTGCTGCAAGCACAGGTCGCTCCTTATGTGGATGAAATTGTCACATCATTTCACCAACATCTTTGTCAATATTTTGAGAATACTTCGACCTGCAAGAGCAAATTTTGCACAAACAGAAGTAATGAAAAGCTGTGCTTAAGTTGTCAAACTTGGTGGAAAAATAAACTGAAGAAATTTCACAAAAAGAAAGATTGCCCAAACTGGCTGTCAAAAAACTGCCATCTTGAAATGTTTTTTGTAAGTCGATGGGAAATTGCAAAATTTTTTATGACGAATCTTGGATCTAATGCTGTGAATGTGACTGATGCCCAGTCCACTGATCTCTCCTCCTTGCTCAACTTCATCGAATGGACGAACGATGACGTCTACTCAATAGCAGGCAAACAACGAGTTATGATCGATTCCGTACTAAATGTGCGCTCAATTGTTCGAAATTCGTGGGCACATGCATCTGTGCAGGAGTTGATTGAAGAGGAAAAGGATCGTTACTTTGTAATTGGTCGTGATTTTCTCATCGAGTTGAAAATAGTTTTTCCTCGCGACCATATTGGCATGGCCATAGAAAAAGTTGACCATCTTCAAGAAAACGGAATTCCCAACTTGATGATGTCAGAAATAGAAATATTGCATCAACAGCGCGACATTTTACAAGAGATTAAAGCAAGTTTGGATCCACATAGCAACGAACTGAAGCGATGTGTCGACGCTATGAAATCCTGCCAAAAGAGACTTGAAGAAACTCCTGATTTGGGAAAAGAATTGAACACACAGTTTGAAGCTTTATCTTATAAAATTGAATCTTTACTTTCCGTTGTACGCGATAACAGCAAGGATTCGTCTACCGCGTTGAGCGAAATAAAAAATTGCGCGACTAAAGATCAAGTGCAAAAACATCGTCTCGTGAACTGTTTACCAGAAAGAAATCCGAATTTTATACCGCGAGCTGGGGAAATGGAGAAAGTTTTCTCTTTTTTAAATGATGAATGTGTAGTTCTCTGCATGCACGGAGGACCAGGGTTTGGTAAGAGTTCTTTGGCTGTGGAAGTGGCTTATCGGTTGTCAAGTGTTAACGATGCTTTTGTTGTGTTCTCAGATACAAAGCACTTAACAAATGTAAATGCCGTCATATTTCAGCTTTGTTGCGACTTGGACCTCAATCTTAACCAAGAAGACGATTTAAAAAAACAATTTTTGACTCAAGTGTTGCGAAACGATGGAAGAAAAGTGTTCTTTATTATAGATGATGTCGACGGTATCCTGGAAAATGAACAATCTAAATGGAACGATTTCATCAAGGAGCTCCGAAAGAACACCATAAAAAATGTCGTTTTATCACTACATCCAGGATGAAATACGCAATTCCTGACATCGAAACAGGAGAAGTAGCGATAAACCAGATGGACAAAAATTTAAGTTTGAATCTACTCAAAAAGCTTTGTCCAGCACATGACGTCGTGTTTTTAAGAAAACTGGCGTCTTGCTGCGGTTATAATCCATTGGCAATGTGCATTGCAGCGTTGCGAGTTGATGATTTTCCAAATCATAATGAACTCTTAAAGTACTTAACGGAAAACTCAAATGATACGTTACAAGACTCAATGCGAAATCTTAGTTTCAACAAGAGCATTCAGTTGTCATATGACAGGCTCAATGAAGAGGAGCAACGACTCTTTACAAGACTTAGTGTTTTTGAAGGTACTTTTAGTATTGATGCGGCAAATTCAATTTTCGAAAAAGAAAACTTAGAAACAATAAACATTCTAAAAAAAATTCATATGAAAAATTTGATATCAAAGTCAAGTGAACGGCAGTACTCACTTCACCCTCTCATTCGACATTTTTTGAATAAAAAGGGAGATCAAGGTGAGAGACTAAAAGCTTGTAAGTTGATGGTCGAGTACAACGAGCGATTACACCTCGAAATCGTAAGAAACCTACAAAAAAAAACCCGTGCTTTATCAGCTGATACTGACGTTTGCCTTCAAAACTAGAAATGAAATCACTTGAGGCATGTTGGTCGAAAGTTGCTAGTATAAGCCCGGCGCACACGAGAGCCATGTGCTTAGCAAAATGTCATTCGTGTCAAGTGGCGCGAGCAAGTTGCTCTCGTGTGCGCGTACTGTTTCCGACGACTTTTGCCTTTCCTGGCAGAACTGGCAAATATCAAACATGTTTGATATTTTTGCCACGCGGCGAAATGCTTTCGATTTGTCCGTGTGCGGCGTCTTGAAACAAATTGCTTTCGTGTTTTCATCACAGCGCATGCTCAATAATCTATATCAAACAAAATGGCGGCTTTCAATGAGTTAAATTCTGTGTTATTTCTGATTCCGAAGAACAAGACGAAATAGTACTTTACGCCTGTTGCTAATTCGCCGTAGACGCGGGCGTTTACCAGCTTCTTGTCGTAAAACATGGACGAAGCGGTGGATTATGACAGGCATAAAGTGCTATTTCGTCTTGTTCTTCGGAATCAGAAAATGACACAGAATTTAACTCATTTGAGGAAGCCGCCATTTTGTTTGATATGAGATTTATTGAGCATGCGCTGTGATGAAAACAAAAGCAATTTGCAAGACGCCGCACACGAAAATCGACAAAGCATTTCGCCACGCGTGGCAAAAAATATCAAACATGTTTGATATTTGCCAGTTCTGCCAGGAAAGGCAAAAGTCGTCGGAAACAGTACGCGCACACGAGAGCAACTTGCTCGCGCCCCTTGACACGAATGATATTTTGCTAAGCACATAGCTCTCGTGTGCGCCGGGCTATATAGTGCACGATTATGAAGTTTTTATCGCGATTACGAAAGTTGAAACATGAGTGTAAAAATATTTTAGAGGTTTGAAAATGTAGGGGCCCAAGAATTATTGCCATTAACGTTAAAGAGCATAATACTACAAACTGTGCTACTCTCCCCATTTGTTTCCTAAAATCTCAAGCCTTGAATACGCGATTATTGTATTAAATGAGTCCAGTGCGAAGCTAAAGAATTTTTCTTATTGCTTTTACTTCAGAATATTTACAAATAAACGCAGCCCAATTTACATAAATTATTATCTTATTAAACTGGAAGCCATGTTTTAATCGAGGAATCCAAATGAACCTCATCTTGTGGTGCGCATCTGAAAATATCAATTAAAAACAATTAGAGTTACATTTCATTATAGTATAGAAGAAAACAGCTAGACTATATAAAATTGTAAAGGCCATAGTGGTTTATTCGTTCTCCAAAATATAAGAAATGTTCGCATGTATTGCTAAAAGTATATTTTGATCACGAGTAACTTGCTGCAATACATTTGATGGTCGAAACATAGTTTTGTAGAAAACATTTTTGGTCGGCGAATGTGGGTAATATCGTAGCTATTACATCGTAAAATATACTATTAATGCAATCGCTGATGCTGAGGAATAATTGAAACTATACTATACTTGATGTTTGATGTGTTCTTCGTGATCAATGGAAAGTGACCATTAGTTGCTTGCTTTTCATGCGACATTTCTCTAAAACGAGCAAGAATAGATTGAATGAATTGAATAGTTGGCGAATAGACTTTACACTTCATTCTAATGCAGTAAACATACTTGATGTTCTCTTGAAGAGTAGATACATCATTTGTCAATGCCTTTATTTCGTTCATGTGAACTTCGATTTCCTGTGGAATAGAAAGGCTGTATTTACGATAGCCGCCTACCTCTCATCCAGGAGTCGATTATTTACGTTGACAAAAGTGTGTATGTGCTCTTGTTACCTTTTTCATGGTCAGATTTTGAAGAGCTAGTTTCTTGACATTCTCGTTCATTGACGAAATAGCTTCCTATCGCAAGTGACAAATGAAATACATCATTGCTGGCAAATATTGGACGATCTTGCTACTGCATAAAGTTTATCTTTGTAGTGTTGTTGGCAATGACTTTACAAGAGTGTTGCTTTGTGTCATGGAATTTTACTGAACTGAATTCAATTATTTGGACAACGATCGTCTTGATTTCTGATGTCTTACTTATACTGTGCTCACCTCGGTTGCGCGTTTTCGCTCGTTTTCTTTTTGCAACTCAACTTTTGCTAAGAGGGTTTTTTGATGATCATTCATCGCCTCGACCAGCTCGTTCCACTCATTCTACAATAACAACTCTTTTTTACAACAATAACCAACTTCTGATCATCTTCTGAAGATTGAATCAAGCTGTTCCTCGATGTCTGTATGAGAGAGGTTATGTCAGTGCTTACTTCATGTTCATTGCGAAGTCTTTCTCTTATTCGTTTTAGTTTCGCTATCTTCTGTAGTTTCCCTGGGTATTCCTTCTCCTAAAACGTGAGGAAATGCCGTAAGGTAGACAGTAGGTAAGAGGAGCACGCCACAAACTGCGTTTGAGAGCATTGCGAATGCTCGAATATATCGCCCCTGCAAGCATTGCACGTCTTCTGCAAGACGACTGAACGTTGTTTGCTTAGTCCAAACCAAAGCTCTGTTTTTCATATTGATATGTTAGACCTAATAATTAGACCTAGATTTGGTCAATCGTGAGCAAGTCAAAGACTGACAGCAATTTACAGGAGTGTATTATTTCCATAATTTCTTAATAGCTCTGTATACATCAGGCATTTCAAGTGAACGACAAGTTTTTTTTAAAGTAAACATGTTTCGGCAGGCTTATGCCATCTTCAGTACAAGGAATGACTATGCTATCTATTTACAGTTTTATTTAAATTACGAAAGTGAGAGTGTATCGAATTACTATAGATGATGGATGAATTATAGTGTATTATTGTAATGCGCACCTCGCTAATATTTATTTTAAGCCTGTTTTCCACTAGCCACGCATCGTAACGTATCGTAGCAAAACGTAACATGGTGCATGCGTGCTTATGAATTTAATAGTTAATAGGCACAAGCACGCATGCGCCATGTTACGTTTTGCTACAATACGTTACGATACGTGGCTAGTGGAAAACAGGCTTTAAGTTTTCTCTTAGAATGCTGCCTCTACACTTCATGGATATTTGTTGAAAATGGGACTGGCAAAACTTGTGGCTTATATGGATCGAGAACTTTTCTCCGGTTGTTTTTCCTGGAAAACCTTTCATGTCAGGGTAAATTATCCCAAGAACCTTTTTACTAAACAGAAATCTTAAACCAGTGCCCAGTGGTTTTGTAAATGATACGTCCCTTTATGCAATATGTCTAATGGGCATGTTAGCTGAATCTTACTCGTCAAATTTTTTAGAAAATGAAATCATCCATCTATTGGGGACTGTTGAATTGAATTTCAGGGTATTTCCTTCACGTGTTATATGTTTAGCGCGTAAGCGAAGACAAGCAATGACGTTAAAAGCAGTTTACTCAAAATGCACTCCATGTGACAAACCTCTACCTTATAATTCATTAATGTTTTTACTTCGTCAGTTTTGGAGGTCAGTATGATATCCAGTTCCTCCGTTTGTCGTTGAAGTTCTATGAATACAATTAAACAGAAATAATTCATGCGTTATGCGTCCATGTAGGATCAGAATTCTCGTTGAAAGAGGGATGTTAGTTTCGACGTAAAATCACAAAAGAACTTTTTGTGCTAATAAACGATTCACTTTGGCCAATTTAACATTTCAAGTCACAACTTTTCTGAAAGTATCTCTGTTGTTCCTGTGGGTGTGCGGGTGCAACATTCTGTAGCGGTAAGTTACCAGGCACGCTGCAAAAATTGTGTTGCAGGCCAGTGAAACTCCCCAAAAGGAAAGCTCGCGGGTATCCCTGTTGCTGTTTTATCACCAACCTTGTACTTCCTTCTCGATTTTCTCTAGGATTTTCTCGTATTTTTCAATAAACTCCATCGATTGACCCTTGTGTAGTTTTTGTAAAGTATTCATAGAACCCTGGAGAAATCGAAAGAAAACTACAGAAACCATTGCAAACCCAACTTTTCTAAATGTTCGTGAAATTTTCAGTAATGTCCAACAATTGGACACAATGACATGCATAACAGTCTTTTATTCAACTGGGTGACTGTTATGGCAAAATAGTTCAATAGCATAAGATACTAAATGAGAAAACCCAATCCAAAAAACATCATCTTGTAAACTCAAGATTCGAGTTATAATAGCAAGAGACAAGACCTGAAGCAATATTTCGACTTGATTTCAGAGTCCTTACCAAGCTAAAGCCTGCTTTCCACTAGTCACGTATCGTAACGTATCGTAACAAAACGTAACATGGCGCATGCGTGCTTGTGCCTATTGACCATCTAATTCATAAGCACGCATGCGCTGTTACGTTTTGCTACGATACGTTATGATACGTGGCTTGTGGAAAGCATGCTTATGCAAGTGGTCTTACTAAGCCATCACATCGAATCTTCAGTGGACAAGATGATGTTTTTTGGAGAGTGTTTTTTCTCATTTATTTTTTCAAATTATAAGCTGGAAAAGGTTTTAAGTATACTAACTTGAAATCTTTGGTATTTTTCCAGAAGTGACTTAGCTTCGAAATGCTGATAAATTGTAGAAGAGGACAACTGAATGATAGTACTTCAGATTATAAATTACATAATTTGGAAAGGGCTAAATGATAAATTTTGTCGTGGTAATTGAGACTTACATTCTGTTCTTCGGTCACTGTAATTTCTACTCTGATTTTATTATTTTCTTCTAGCCTTCATATATTAATGTGTTAAGGTTGAGTAGAAAATGTGTAAAATAATTTATTACAAATTCATGGTCAGCAATGGCAATAGCATGGTAAAACGTGCAAATGGAACAAAATAATTGCTGCCTAGATTACTTTACAAACATTAAACTCGTTGAAATTTCATCAACAGCAAACATTACCACTTTTACCAAAATTGCAGAATAATAGTTTAGGATAAATTGTTGGAAGATGGACACATAGAAATTTATGAAAGTTTTGTAACCTGGCTTTGTCTCTAAACAATCATATCTTATCGTTTATAAACTTTAGAAACCACGTGGAAAGATGAAATGAGCAGTTCGTAAATCTCCTGGCATGGTGAAGAAAAGATTCTACGATTAAGACACTACCATCAATGTAAGGATACAGGTTTTTATGTAGTTTTTTATATTCGATCAGCGACTTTTCCTTGGTTGTTATCTGCATCTAAAGCAGAAACAAAGTGCAAAATTTCGAGGAATATTTTACAAGCAATTCTTTTCAAACTACGCAAACATGGCGACCTACGTATCTACTGCATTTGATTACAGAAAATCGTCATTTTATTGCATTTTAAACGTATAAGAAGGTAGGTTTTATTTATTCCAATCAAACTAATGAAAACATCCGTGTCTACTATCAGTCTATCTTGACAGTTTACTTGCTGGCTAAAATAGCCATGGTTGACTGTGCTCTCATAATGTTTCCTGGTCATATTAAAAAGTTCGGTATTTTCTTAAGTTAACCACTGTTTGACAGCAGTAATAATTGTTTTTGGGTGAGGATTGTGCACATTTAAGGGAGTGAGTTCAAATGAGTATAAAGTTGTAGACATAGTGTGTTTGCAAATTATTTCAACCATTTCATGATTAAAAAAGTTGGCCCAACTCATAGATTATTATAATTGTCTTGTGACTGTTGTCAATAACGGTTTGACAAAGAACCACCAACAGTTTCTATTGCAAGTGTGTTCTTTTATGGTAAAAAGCTTTAGCATTTTTTTAACTAGAAAACTTTCACTCCTAGCACTTTTCACAAAGAAAATAAGTACACCGTATTACTAACTGTGAAATCTCCTCCACCTAAGCTTTAACAGATAAAATACTTGGCAAGTTAGCTTTACTTTGCAAGTATTCATTAGACTACTCAAACCAGTAATTTTAAATCAAAATCTGAAGCTTCTTGCTTTGCCCAATTGACCTAGACTTGGATAGTGAACACATAGTAATTTCAATTTGTGAACATTCAGTCTCGATCTTAATATATATCATTTTTTATGGTGATCTCCTTAAAGTTGAAGCTTGTAGTTCATTGCAATTTTGTATTCTAAATCAACTCGTTACAAAAGCCCTTACAGGGAATGGCATACCAGAAACAATATAATTTCCAGTAGCATTTTTGCTCACTGCAGCAGGATATCTTTGCAAGAAATAATCTTTCGATAAAATCAAAACTCTCATCATTCTACAGCAAGTTAAATACATATAGACAACACCACCCTGCATCAGTGCCTTCTTCTACCTTCTGGCAACACATAACCTTTCTTGCAACACATAACCTTTCTGGCAACACTTTTCCTTCTGGAAATACATAACCTTCTGGCAACACTTTACCTTAAGCCTTGAAAAAAGCTTGCGTTTTCCTTTGTCCTCTTCAACATTGATAGGTGGAATAAGATGTTTCTTGTTCCAACTGTGCTGACATTTGGAGCTGCATGCTGTGTGGATACTGAAACGACTAATTGGCCAACTGTCATCGTTAGTTTTACCACTGCCAGGGCTTAAACCTGTGGAAATCTTTGGCTTTTCATTTTCAAGCCGTGGCCTTGCTGTACGTTGCCATGGGCGATAGTCAAAGTCAACTTGAGATTGTTTTGCGTATTTGGACTTGTTTGCGGCGTTATTTTGTAGTATTTCCTGCTCTTGCATGGCATAGAGAACATCCATAGTATATTGGAGCTTGAAATGGAAAGTGTTTTGTCCATAAATGTTTTATAAATGTATAAAATAAACTTTTTTGACTCCTAGACCATCATCGGACTTTGACGCTCAGCCCTCGGTTCTGCTCGTTTTGCAGGCTTGGCTACCAAGTAAATTAAATTTTTGTATTGTCGGCCATTTTTATCTAATCTGATCTTTCATTGAAGAGTTTTCTTTAAATTAGCTCAAATTTGACCATAATAATGTCGTTGCGACTTTTTTCTCGTGCTGCATTGTTGGCAAAGTTTGCTCGGCGAAGCTTTGCGTCAGAAGTGGCGATTTCGACTCCACCAAGACTGGAGCACTACAGTCCTATTGAAATGGACAGATATGAAGTTGACGGATCTCTTGCAGGAAAAGAGAAAAAACCATGGACTGAACTCAGTAAAGAAGACAAAATTGCCAGTAAGTTGTTGATATTTTATCTGATCAATTTAAATTCTCTTTCACTTGAAAACGCCAAAATATTTTGCCTTTTTGTGGAAGAGATCAAAATAGTTCAAAGTTCATACACAGGATGCTTAAAGTTTTAAATATTCATTTTTATTGATTTTAGTATACAGAGCCTCGTTTCCTTACACAATCGAGGCAATGAACAACACAGGAGAGTCTTATACCAAAGAAATTGTTGGTGCTGTTGCCATGTTGTTGGCATTATCAATGTCATTTTTCTTGTTTCTGCGGAAATATGGTAAGAAAACCACATTAGTTCTTTCTGGTTGATGTTCATATTTTATATTATTGACATCATTAGGTTTGATGTTTGTGTTTCTATATGAAAAGGACTAGATGGAAAATTATTTTTTTGATTCACATTGATAGAAGGGATGTGTTTTTAATGACAAAAGCCAAACTAGAATGGGGTGTCTTGAAGTAAAACCCATTCAAGTGTAATGTTTAGCACTTAACCAAGTCATCGTTTAAGATATACACTTCAATACACAACATTACCTAATCATCTTCTAAGATATACACTTAATTATACAACATTACTGTCATGACACATTTCTCGACATGTACATTAAAGTTGCAAATCTTTTGTTTGTCAAAAGTGTGAAATTTTTACATGTGAAAGCAATGTTTTGAATGTGACTTCATTTAAACATTAATGATACTCAATGCATTTAAAATTTATAACTGGGAATTGTCAAACATATTATTACAATGTTTGTTGTGATTCAATAATGAAATTCTCTTCCACCCAAGAACCCTACTGTGCTTACTCATAGGCCTTTTGTACTTTGAAAATTCTGAATGTTAGCAAGTAACTTGATATTATAGTTCGTACCTGATCTTTGCAATTGACTTAACTGTAAGCATATCAATACACATGTAAGAAGAAGGACCCAAGAATCTGATGACTTCATCTTTTTTAGTATCAGCAGAAACTCCAAGAACTGTGAATGAAGAATGGGCAAAGGCGACAGTCGAGAAACTTCAGAAAAATCAGGCTAATCCAATTACTGGCATTTCCTCCAAATAAGATCTTCGAGATGTACACTGTCATTAGTTAAGAAAAATATTGTGTTTGAATATCTTTGTAATAATTCACATTGACTTGTTAAGTTTAGGATTACTATTGCGACATAAAAAATATTACTTCCCCATTGTTTTTCAATTTTATTTTTTTGTGATTGTTTTCAATTTTTTGTCTTAGATGGGTTAGTACAAAACGTGAATGTCCTTGAATTTAAATTGAAAAATTCAAAGCCTTAAAAGTACTTCAATTTAATAAGATGTGCTTGAAAGTGCTTGAGTTTGACGCTTATAAGATTACCATACTGGCGGCCAATCGTTTTTAATTTCTTACCTTCGTATACAGTCGTATAGGAACGCTGGCATTACGTCCATTACTAATTTATTAATACTGTGATATTTTTCTGTGCGTCAAAAATCATCTAACGTAGTTGGAAGAAATAAGAAATTAAGAACTCGGTATTTGCTATCTACTATCGTTTTTGAAAAAGAGATTATTATAAAGTGCACAATTGTCCTTTTAAATCGATTTTAAACACGTCGTTTGGACGCAGATAGAATGCAAAAGCCACGTTTTCCCAGAGAGCATCCTCACCAATTTCGGAGAATCTTTTGAATCGTTTGATTTTCTCTCCGTTCGTTGCCTGTGGATACCACATCCAACGACCATTATCATCTCTTGTTATGATGCTCTCTTTCTCTGGTATTACTGGGTATTTGGAAAATTGCTCATGACCTTCTATTGCTTTGCTCCATACTAGGACGGCGTGCATTATTTCTTTTTCGTAGAGGAAGGTCCCAAGGATGCTGAACTGGAGATCGTTTTCCAGCCCTATGTAGTTTCTATAGTGACGTAATATTGACGGGATGGGAAATTGAAAGTAACATTCGGTATCGCCTTCTTCTGGTCGAAACGCTTGGGATGTTGCAAACTGACTTCTTATGTCATCAAAATTGTCCACCCCTGTCTCAGCAAACTTTGACAAGTGTTTGCTTAAGTGATCTCGTAGTTTTTCGGGGACATCGTCAGGGAAAACTGGACTCCACCATGACAGGTTGGCAGATACAACTTCCTCTCCTTTCATGTTTATTTTCTTCTTTTGACCTCGAAAACCTCCGTCTTCAATGATCGAATTTGAAATGTTTTCACTCGTGAAATGCGCCAATTTCTCAATGGGAATACCATAGCCTTGCTGTTTTGCTTTCTGCAAGGCGTTCCACTGCGTTTGACAAACGCCTTTTTCCCATAATTTTGTCATTTTGATGGGATGAGGAAAAGGGCATTCATAATCAGAAATGTAGTCATAACGACGTTTTTTTTTGCTTCTTAAGTCTTCGGTCAAAGAAGGACACCATTCTGCTTGAGTCACATGTCTCTCTGGGCAAATGCGTTCTTCACCTTTACCACTTTCTTCCCCAATTAACCACTTTTCCATTGTGCCGTGCTTCCTCTTCATTGTAAAGAAGTTATGTGCAGAAACGTCTCTACTTTCAATAACGGCAAACCTTTAAAAAGCAGACAATAACATCAAATTTATCGTTAGTTTGACGTAACTCAAATTAGTGACCTTACAACCATGTTCATTGTCAATAACCGTAGAAAACGTATCAAACTCAGAATAAATGATCATATCAATTACGAGAGCGATTTGTGTCATTCAAAATAGTGTTATGACGTCAGTTTTCCGTAACTTTACATGACGATTTTTTACTTGGGGACAAGACGAAACAGCTCTAGATCGTATTTTTTAATGTTGTATTCTGGAAACCTATATATAGGCTATAATAATCTAATATAATACATTTATAACGATCATGAAACCTGTGACTTTCATATTTAGTATGACTCTGTGGTGAGTGTGGTTGTAAATGTAAAAGGTACTCGTATTTGTGGAGTGTACATGGACATGTACAAGTTTGCAAGATTGTTTTGAAGTTTGGAAATTAATATGAATTTTGTTGCCACTATCGGAAGTTCACTGGTGTAAACCTTGCAACTTAGCAACCAACTTCAGGAAATTTGGCAAAATTTGTGTGAAATCGACTGTAAAGCGGCCATTATTATGCACATTAGGACTATAGACATACCCCAAATTAAACGACTGTGATTGTCGCAATTTCCTTATAATTTCTAAGTTAGAGTCATGGAGGGAAATTTTAGAGTCGTCAGAATGTTACCGAGTTTGTAGAAGCATAAATATTTTCGTTATTTAGGTTGATGAATGGAATTCATTGGTATGGTTCACCATTTATTTGTCTTTGTTACGTTGACATGCACTTGTTATGTCAGACGTCATTTAGGTCTTTACCGAGACTTTTATCTTTGAGCTGGTTTGTTTTGTTGCTGTTCACTGTTTAGTTTTCTCTTTGGGTGATCTTAATTTTCGGCGATTATTGCGAATGAGTCTGTTTTCTCATAGTGCGTTCGAACATTTTACCCGTCGCCATGAAATGAAAGCTCTATTTACTTAAATTTCTTTAAGAGACTTCAAAGGAAATCACGTAAAATGCTCCTGGATCCTTCATAGTATAAATTATATTATTACCGGAACATACCTTTGAAATTGAGTAATCCTCGAAATTATTTCACGAGCAATAGATATAGGTAAGTTATTGCTTTCTCATAGGGTTGCAGTAAAATAACACAATCGTCATGTATGAATGCTACAATTATATAGTAAATCAAATACTTTAAATTCTATCAATTTAAATTTTCAATACATGTAAAGAATTGCTATAGAAAAGCTCCACAGGATTAAATAGTCATGCAAATAACGCAACAACCGCTTACTACAATAAGACACTCTTACAAATGTCTTAATACTAAGTACTTTTAAATATATTTTTGCAATTTCATTGGTTAACATTCCATATATATTTATATATAATCGTATCCTCAACCAAATTACTGCTTTTTCTCATCTCTTGTTCTCTGTCATTCCTAATGTTTTAAAACGTTCCTATTCTCCTCGACGAAACAATTGATCGACAATTTTTTTGTTTTGCATGGTGTTCTTACCTCACTTACTATTGAAGCTTTCCCAAAATTTGGACAGTAGCTTCCTTAAGCGATCTTGTAGTTTTTCAGGGACATCATTTCCTTACAATACACTGATGAGAGACATCAAATTTGTAAAGAAACTTTCTTTTCAAAGGAAAGAAACTCGACTTAAATATATAGCGTCTATATACGTTAAATGCGTAATGATTCCAATCCTTATGATTGGTTCAATTCATTATGCGACTTTTCTTAAGCAGGTGGTTTGTCGGTTTTTCGTTGGCTTGTCCATCCTTTGAGTAAAGTTTTAAACCAGAAGTTGCGTTTGAAAATATTGTGTTTTATACATAGGGTAATCTATTTTACGTTGTTAAAAAGTACAAAGCTACCTTTTGCTTTCGAGAAGGTCTTGACCTCTTCTAATATATAAAAATGTAAATTTTCGATTTCCTATGAGAATTGATTATTTATGCTAATAATTTTGGGCGAGATGTAATAAATAAAATTAGTATTTGCAGCTATGAATTTCTAGCAGCTTCAATTGTTAATGCAATGATCATGCCGTACTGACCAACTTTCTTGGAAATTGGTACTAACTTGAAAAATTGCACTGTATTGTATTTAAAACGTAGCAGCAGGCTCTAATATCGTGGCAACATGAAAGCGAAAGTGAAGGTGAACGCAAATGTTTTTTTTGTTCGTATGTTAAATAACAGACGTTGCATGTCAAAATTAGCATACTTTTTGAGCATGATGATATTCAAGATCTTTTAGAACAGAATATTTAACACAAGAACTCCTTCATTTTAAAGTTACATGTGTTCGTGCGTTACAAATTGCTTGTCTGAAGTATGCGGTGAACGAAAGCCATTTGATACGATGACTGAGATATTGCTTTTCCTAGACAATTCTTAGAAGTCCCGGTCATTTTAAGTTATAACAATTTACTTTTGAAATCATACGATGTCAATCAAAAACAGCTTCATGTATTTTTGAATTTACCAAACGGAAACTGTAAAAATATTGATAGAATCATTGCTTTCATCATAAAGGTTTCTTTGGCATCCATTTGCATGTAAGTAGATCATTGTTTAGAGATAGACGGGAGAAAAAGGATTCTTTGAACTACTGAAGTGGTCAATTGTTTAGTTTCTTTGAATGTTTATCGACATCATTGGTCTTAAATATTTCTCCGTGTCGCACATGAAATGCAAAAGACACACAATCATAACGTCTATACATAGGGAAAATCTTCCTGCTATCAAAACGCTTTATTTTTGTTCCTGTTGCCTGTGGATACCACATCCATTTTCCTTCGTTATCTTTCGTCACGACGCTGTTTCTTTGCGGTATAAGTGGGTATTTTGAAAATTGATCCTTCCCTGCGCTTTCACTGCATACTAGAACGGTGTGCATTACTTTTACCTTATATGCAAAAGTTCCCAATATTCTAAACTCGATCTTCTCGGCCCTGCCAACATGTTGTTGATAGGACTCAACTAGCTCACCGATTGAATAAATAAAGCTATGGGAACATCTTTGACCTTGATTGCGAATAGTATATGGCAAGAATGCATCAGAAGCTCCAAACTGATTCTTAATCACATCTATGTCATTGAGTTTGCGATTATTCAATTCCAAGAAACAATTTTTCATGTGATCTTGCAAATTACGGACAACATTTTCGTCGAATATTGTACTCCACCAAGAGAGATAAGCATATACGCTCTCACCACTTGTCTCGTTGATCTTCTTTTTTCCGCCCAAAAATCCTTTCGATCTAATTATATCAGCTTCTTTACTTGTGTGATGTGCTAGGTTTTTTATTGGAATTGCGTATCCTTGCTGTTTGGCAGACTCCAAAACTATCCGTTCGTTTGAACTAAGTATTCTGAGATCAGACTTATGTCTTGAGAAAGGAAAAGGACATTCGTAGTCAGAGATGTGATCGTAAGTTTTGCGTCTACTGAATTCTTCATTCCATTTAGGCTGCCATTCTTGTTGTTGAATGTGACGCCCTGGACAAATGCGTTCTTTACCAGTATTGCTTATACCTTCCAACCAATTTATAGTCTTGGTTGAATAGTTTCTAGACGTGTAAACTTTTGACTGTAGTTTGAGCTCGGCAAAAGCAAAACGCGCTGTGTACTTTGTGAAAATGTTATCTTCGAGGAATAAGATTGAGAGAACTCGAGATAAACTTGTAAACACTTGTTACGTAGCTTGTTCATTATGAACTGTAACGTCGTCATGAAAGACAATGAATGTTGTGAGAACGTTGTGTACTAAAAAATGTTGTCTCGTAGTAGTAAACTCATTATGCTGTGAAATTGTTATTAAAATTAAGTCAAATTTACGTGGCAACTATTGTTTCATTCTATCGATATTCGATGACATTCCAAGTAGATTCTACAATAAGAAATATAGGTTCGTTAGAGTTTCGAAACTAGCAACCAAGGTTGTTAACTCTAACTTGTGTACTAAAAAATGTTGTCTCGTAGTAGTAAACTCATTATGCTGTGAAATTGTCATGTAAATTAAGTCAAATTTACGTGGCAACTTTTGTTTCATTCTATCGATATTCGATGATATTCCAAGTAGATTCTACAATAAGAAATATATGTTCGTTGTAGTTTCTGAATTAGCAGCCTTTGTTGTTAAGTCTCCTAAACCGAAGAAGTAAAAAAAATCAGAGATTTGAGGCAGACAAATTAAAAATGCAATCAACAAACACAGTAAATTGAAATTATGTAGATGAACACTTATAAATAGAAAGTTGACGAATAAAAGAAGCTTGCTGCGAAAATCGAGTATTTACGTTTCAAGTAATGAAATACAATACACTGCAGACGTGAGCGTTCTACTCTACTTTTTTTTTTAAATGCCAAATTCCCAATATTCTGAACTCTATCTTCTCATCGCCAATATGATCTTGATTAAGTTGGATCAGTCTCGTCGATTGAGTACGGCATGTAATAGGTACTTATGCTTGAGTGCGAGAATAGTCAAGAAATGCATCGGAGGTTTCAAAGTTGTTTATATTTTCATGCATGTTGGGGATGTTAAGATCAATAGCTTCTAAGAAACAATATATTATATTACAGATTTTTGGCAATCTTCGGAAGGAATATTGGTCTACACCAAGACAGATAGCGTACACGTTCCCGTCCTACTCTACGTGCCTCTCGTTGATCATCTCTGTCCTGTCTTTAAACCTTTTAGATCCAATTATGCCGTCCTTGTTTAATGTGCAATGTACCAGATTTTTGACATGGATTTGATATCCTCGCTGTTTGGCATTCACCAAAACTTCCGTTTGTCTTAAGGAAGTTTGCTGAAAGTTGGCTCGTCACTGTCATCTGGATAAGAAGAGATGGAATCGTAATCTGAGATGTAGGATGTGCTTTAACATTCCATCGAATCCCTAATTCCATTCTGGATTCCATCACTTGCTTTGCTGAACGTGTCTTCCTTGGCAAATACGTTCTTTACCCTATTGGCTTATACCGTCTATCCATCACAAGAACCCTTTTCTCCCGCACGTCCCGGGAATTTGATCATTTTAACATGGAGATTTCAGTACTCAATGATGAGAAAGAAACAAACGTGCCAATTAAGAACAAGCAACGCCCTGAACCAGAGGGAGTAAGAACAAAACGAAAGACCAACATTTCGCCTGCCCTATCATGCAAATACAACCTGAAAACGACTGCTTCTGTCTTAAAGGATGAAACAAATTAACCAAAGGTCAAATTAATCTTACTGCTATTATTAAAATTAAGTTAAAATAAGCAAACCCGTCTGGGTGTGCTTTTGTAAAGAAAACAATATTATGTTCCACAAATAGAAAGGAACGGTTGTTGTGGGCACAAACACCATTAAGGGTGGAATGTAAGGCAGTGGGATCAAGTTTTTTTGTATGATATGATGAGTGAAAATTTTGTTTTGCTGTAAATGGAAGATTTTTTTGTATAAAGAATGCCAAATAAACGAGATGGGTGACTGCTGGGTGGTTCTGTGATGGTATAAAGTTGCTTAGATTGATTAAGTCGAGTAATTTGCTAGAGGTAAAAGAATTATAGTAAGAGTAGTGACACTCTTTATTGCTACGACACGAAACATCATCTATAAAAAATCACAGGACAGAACTTTATTTCTCAATGAAGCAAATCACACGTTAAAGAATTGTCGATAGGTGTCTTTAAGACCATGGAAATTTTAATTTCCCACACGGCTGGACCTGAAAGAAATTCATTTGCTTTCTTACCTTCTGCATTTGTTGCTGAATATTTATAAATGCTGCTTCCTTTAATTATCTACTGCATCTGCTGAAAGATTTCCCAATAGTTACTTTATATTATAATCACGAGTATATGGAAAAGCAATACAATAACCTTTTGCTCGATGTGCCCAAATAAATAAGGGATTCGATTTGCCATTAGAGAGCCATTGAAAATTTGGTAAAAACGATAGTACAAACTAACAAACAATAAGCAAAATCAATGTTCTTCCTATAAAAAACACCCTCTCCAAATAATGCAGGTGTACGGACACCAAGACACATACGGCTTCCCAAGCCCCTGGTTGTTATTGTGAGTTTCATGGGCGGATCCAGTTTATGTCAAAATAAGTTATAGTTACTCAGTTTTTAATTCAAATTACATTCTGAAAAACACTAAAATAGTTTCTAAAGGATATAATTTTACCAATGGACTAGCCTCTAAGGCGTTTAGAAATGTAAATATACGCCAAAACGTGCTGCAGTTATTTATTTTGACGTAGTCCGGATCCACCACAGGCCAGTTTCCTTCACCAAAATATGTGAAAAATGAAAGCAAGTAATTATATATACTTTGTGCTTGATTTATTTAATTAAATCACTAATGAATTTTTTTAAAATATTCAAATAATTGTTTAAAGTTGATGATGTAAGTTAAGCAGTCTATACATTGTAGAAATCATGTGTTGCTCATACAATGCCGGTGTGGCGGTCTGAGTTGCTTTTGTTTGCATGTATCAATCGGAAAAAAAGTATTGTAATTTTTATTGTTGTAAGGATCGTTTCAAGTTTCCTGCGTGAAACATCAAACGTTGTTGTAAACGAGAAAACTTCTTTCTTGCATTTATGAATCTTTCAAAAGAATTGAGAAATTTCACTGTAGTCTAACTGTTGTACTCTCTGTGATGATTATTAACAAACACACTGTGTTTAAAACTTTGTGCTTATAAGTAAGTTGAAAGGCATTCGAAGTCCTACTGTTGTTGGGTATTTCATTGGTTGACAATCTATGTATATTTATAAATAACCATATCCTCAACCAAATTAATGCCTTTTGTCATCTCCTGTTCTCTGCCATTCCTAAATTTTTACAACGTTCCTATTCTCCTCGACGAAACAATTGGTCGACAATTTTTTTTGTTTTGCATGGTGTTCCTAGCTAGATTACCATTAAAGCTTCCCAAAATTTGGACAGTAGCTTGCTCAAGCGATCTTGTACTTTCTCACGATCGAAATTGCTAAGAAGCTTTCTTTTCAATGGAAAAAACTCGACTTAAATATATAGTGACTATATACCTTAAATGCGTAATGATTCCAATCATTATGACAGGTGAAATTCATTATTCGACTTTTTAAAAGCAGGTGGTTTGTCGAGTTTTCGTTTGTCCATCATTTGAGTAAAACTTAAACCGGAAATTACGTTTAAAAATATTGTGTTATATTCAAAGGGTAACCTATTTTACGTTGATACAAAGTTTAAAATTACTTTTTGCTTTCGAGAAGGTCATGACTCTAAAAATATAGAAAAATGTAAATTTTCGCTTTCTTATGAGAATTGATTATTTATGCTAATGTTTAGTGCGCGATGTAATAAACAACATTAGTACTTGTAGCTATAAATTTCTGGCAACTTCAATTGTTAATGCAATGATCTTGCCGTCCTGACCATCTTTCTTGGAAATTAATACTAACTTAAAAAGTTACACTGTTTTGTGTTTAAAACGTAGCAGCATGTTCAAATATTATGGCAACATGAAAGAGAAAGTAAAAGTGAGCGCGAATGTTTTATTTTGTTTGTATGTTAAATAACAGACGTTGCATGTCAAAATTAGCATACTTTTTGAGCATGATGATATTCAAGATCTTTTAGAACAGAATATTAAACACATGAACTCCTTCATGTTAAAGTTACATGTGTTCGTGCGTTACAAATCGCTTGTCTGAAGTATGCGGTGAACGAAAGCCATTTGATTCAATAAATTTTACTAGACAATTCTTAGAAGTCCCTGTCATTTTAAGCTAAAATAATTTACTTTTGAAATCATACGATGTCAATCAAAAACAGCTTCATGTATTTTTGAATTTACCAAACGGATACTGTAAAAATATTGAAAGAATCATTACTTTCATGATAAAGGTTTCTTTGGCATCAATTTGCACGTAAGTAGATCATTGTTTAGAGATAGAGGTGAGAAAAAGGATTCTTTGAACTACTGAAGTGGTCAATTGTTAAGTTTCTTTGAATGTTTATCGACATCATTGGTCTTAAATATTTCTCCGTGTCGCACATGAAATGCAAAAGATATACAATCATAACGTCTATACATAGGGAAAATCTTCCTGCTATCAAAACGCATTATTTCTGTTCCTGTTGCCTGTGGATACCACATCCATTTTCCTTCGTTGTCTCTCGTCACGACGCTGTTTCGTTCTGTTATGAGTGGGTATTGAGAAAATTCATCCTTCCCCGCGCTTTCACTGCATACCAGAACGCTGTGCATAACTTTAACTTTATACGCAAAAGTTCCTAATATTCTATACTCGATTTTCTCGGCTTTTCCAACATGCTCTTGATAGGATTCGACTAGCTCATCGATTGAGTAAATAAAGCTATGGGAACATTGTTGACCTTGATTGCGAATAGTATGTGGCAAGAATGCATCAGAGGTTCCAAACTGATTCTTAATCACATCTATGTCATGGAGTTTGCGATTGTTCAATTCCAAGAAACAATTTTTCATGTGATCTTGCAGATTACGGACAGTATTTTCGTCGAATATTGGACTCCACCAAGAGAGATAAGCATATACGCTCTCACCACTTGTCTCGTTAATCTTCTTTTTGTCGCTTAGAAATCCTTTCGATCTAATTATATCAGCTTCTTTACTTGTGTAATGTGCTAGGTTTTTTATTGGGATTGCATATCCTTGCTGTTTGGCAGACTTCAAAACTATCCGTTCGTTTGAACTAAGTATTCTTAGATCAGACTTATGTCTTGAGAAAGGAAAAGGACATTCGTAGTCAGAGATGTGATCGTAAGTTTTGAGTCTATTAAATTCTTCATTCCATTTAGGCAGCCACTCTTGTTGTTGAATGTGACTCATTGGGCAAATGCGTTCTTTACCAGTATTGCATATACCTTCCAACCAACAATAAGACTTGGTTGAATAGTTTCTCAAATTATAAACTTTTTGACTGTTGTTAGAGCTCAGCAAAAGCAAAACGCGCTGTGTGCTTTGTGAAAATGTAATCTTCGAGGAATAAGATTGAGAGAACTCGAGAGAATCTTGTAAACACTTGCTACGTAGCTTGTTCATTATGAACTGTAACGTCGTCACGATAGACAATGAAAGTTGTGAGAACCTTGTTTACTAAAAATATATAAGTTAAATGTTATCTCGTAGTCGTAAACTCATTATGCTATGAAATTGTTATGTAAAAGAGGTGAAAACATACGTGGCAATTTCCGTTGCATGCTATCGATCAATTATTTTAAATAAATTCTACTATAAGAAATATGTGTTCCTGGGAAAATATATGTTCCTTAGAGTTTCTGGCATTGGCAGCCATGCTTGTAAAGCCTCCTAAACCGAAGAAAGCAAAAAAAAAAATTGAAGAATTTTTTCCAGGCAAACATATTTAAAATAGAAACAACAAACACAGTAAATTGAATTTATGGCAATGACGAATAAAATTATAAATAGAATGTTGATGAATGTAAGAAGCTTGCTGCGAAAATCGAGTATTTACGTTTAACAAATGAAATATAATACAATGATTGAAAAATATTCCATTCAGATTTTTAAATTATTCAACAACCAAGTCAATTCATCGCTCAAAACAAACTTTAGTTTTCTAGAGTTAAAATTTGAGCTTCATCAACTAATTCGAACGAAAATTTTTTCAACTAATTCTGTCAACCATAACAACGTTTGTAGTTACGTGCTTCGTATAATTTTTCCTAATTACATGTGCATGCAATTCATTATTGGATTTTTTAAAAACAGGTGGTTTGTCAGTTTCTTGTTTGATGAAAAAATTTAACATATGAGATCTGTCGTGTTAAAGTAAGAATTTGTTCGAACTAGTCGAACGACGTATGTAAATATTTGGTGATGTGTCGAAAATGAAAGCTATTAATTATAGAGAACGTAAGCTCTATTTAATGTATTATATTGCTGTCACTAAAATATCTATACAAATTCATAACAACGGTAGATCTCATGTCGTTTTGAAATAAGCGATTTACAATTAGTATCATGCGATGTCTATTCATAAACGGCTTTAATTTTTTTTAATTTCACAAAAAGGTCATTGCAAAGTTGTGTTAGCATTTGGTTTTCATCTTATTAGATTCTTTTAAAGAAGTTTAGCTTTTAAGCAGATCACTGTTTTGGTTATTAACAGGCTAAAACGTGCTTTGAATAACTGGTATCACTGAATTTCGGAGAAACGAGAAGAATAGTCAAGAAACACAGCGGAGGTTCCAAAGTTGCTTATAATTTCATCCATGTTGGGGATGTTAGGATCAACAACACCTAAGAAACAATTTTTCTTATGATTTCGCAGATCATTAACAGTCGTATGGAGGGATGCTGGACTCCACCATGACAGATAAACGTATACGTCCCCATTGCTCGTCTCGTTAATCTTCTCTTCCCCGCCTTTAAACCCGTTAGATCCAATTATGCCGCCCTTATTTGATGTGCAATGTACCAGGTTTTTGATTGGGATTCTATATCCTTGCTGTTTAGCACCCAGCAAAATATTTCGTTTGTCTTTGTGAAGCTCACTGAGAGTTGGCTCTTAGATCTCTTCTGGATAAGAAAAAGGCGATTCGTAGTCTGAGACGTAGATATGCTTTCCACTTTTCCAACTTCATATTCCGGATTCTTCCACTCGCTTTGCTTAACGTGATTTCCTGGGCAAATAAGTTCTTTACCATGCTTGCTTATACCGTTTATTCATGTTTTTTTTCCTGATTCTGCCATGGCTGAATGGATTTCAATGCTCTCTCAGTATAAAAGAAAATGCGAGTCAAAGAAGATTGGGTAAAACATATTATAATCCCTAATTTTAAATTCAAAGTACCTTTACAATTATGCCATTAGTTATGAATTTAGTAAGAAAAAGATTTGACCAATTGATGAGTTGTGTTCTAATTTATTTTGCTTAGTGAATGCAAATGCAATACGACAAATAAGAGTTTTGTTTGCGTGCTTCTAAAAATATAGTCATTGAGGAGTGAGGTAGAGAGATTAAAAGAGGATGTACTTTTAAACTAATGTGTACACAATAGGTTTGCATTAAAGATGTATTATAGGATGTACAAATCAAATCCTTAAGAAGCTTTTATAGTGCTCTTCAAGCCTAAATTTATTTAAGATTGATCACTACATACAGCAAACTACTTCTTATTTTTAACCCAGGAGGAATAGTTGTTTATAGCGACATGTTGCTGAGCTTGGCGAATTTTTTTTTGCGTAACAAAAGTTTACTTATTGACTAACAGCAGCCAGTATACTGATTGGCTTCTGTCACACGGAAATAATGTACGTCTTCCTTCAGAGTTTCACGTATATAGTCAGGCATAAACTGTAACGACGTACTCGTGAGAAGAGATCATGCCTTTATTTATAGTTGGTATTCAGAACAACTTCAACTGATTCAAATGCGTGTAAATGTCATCTGTTGTTCTAAGAAAGTAGGTAATAATTTCATGCATTTTTATTTACGTATATAAAAAATCAGACAGTGTTTTATAACTGGTAAATGATGAAACAAAACTATTGTTGAAGAGCAGTATGGATGAATATGTTTCATTTTGGCAGATAATGTTTCATTTTGGCAGAAACACATTGGTAAGCAGACTCCATCCTGTCACAACAGGTATAGTTTATATAATAGAACCTTTTGATCTCATTATTTATTTGATTTACTACGGATGAAAGAAAACTTCCTTGAAAAGCGACTTCTCAACGATTATTTTACAGCTTTCATTTATTTTTTCACGCTTACGTGAAACATGCGTGTAACGTGTCACACTTGTTATTCTGTTGCAACAAATTGTTGCGTCAAATGTTTTTAGATGAGGACTCTTTTAAAAAGCTTTTACTTAGTTGCATGAGCTGTACCCGTACGGTTTAATGACACTTTTAATCATGATGCAGCTAATACTTCTTTGTTGCATATATATAATTGTTGCTTCCTTTTAACTACTGCATCTGCTAAAAGATCTCATTTTATGGAAAGGTTTCTCACAAGTTATTTTATATTATTACCTTTTGCTCGATGTGCACAAACAAATTAAGGAATTCGATTTGGCATTTGGCAGAAAAATTTTTTAAAACGTGGATAAGTCTTTTCAATATTTTTACGGCAAAGGATATGTATTATTGGTTTCTATGAGTCATTAGCATAGTAAGGTAATTTTAACAGTAGAAAATAATTCGCACCAACGTTGTAAGCCCTTTTCACTAGACAAGTACCCTGGAAGTTTATGCCCCCTCCTGCAACTTAAACAGGTTTCCTGCGCCCTTGGCAGAATGTTTAAATGACGTTGTAACTTAAACGTGAAAGTAAACGCATCTAATTTTGTTTTGTAAGCTGACATTACAGACCGTTTAAAATTCCTCGGAAACTGGATGGTTCCCGCGTTCATTAATTGGAAAATTTAGTACAGCTGTAAAAACATAGTATAAACGATGAGGCACACTCCAAAAGTTGTAGGTGTATAGATATCAGACATGCACTCACGTCTTCCCAAGCCCCTGGTTGTTATTGCGACTTTCCTTCTCCAAAATATATAAAAAATGAAAGCTAAATTGATCATATAAACTATGTGCTTGATTCCATTTATTAAATTGCTATTGAAATTTCTAAAATATTGAAATAATTGTTTGAAGTTCCTGTCGTAAGTTAAGCGGTCTATACATTATAGAATTCATGCGTTGCTCATACAATGGCGGTGTGTGACGGTCACTGAGTTTGTGTTTGTCCCTGAGTTTGTATTTCATCCAGTATGTGCGCATTTTCTACACGTTATAACAAACCAAGTGTCTAGTAACAATATTTATAAACTGTCAAACATACATATGATGTGTTTTCTGGATCTAAAGAAAATATTATAACGTGCGCTTCTCGACGAGTTGATGTGTACAAATTTTAATTTTCAAAGATCTTTATAACCTACAAATGATGATTACTCAGTATACTTTGTGAATGTTTGTGTTTCTTTTTTGTCTCTTTCGTGTTTCTACTTATCCCACGTCATACCATCTTATCCCATATTTACTATCACGTTTTCATCCCACCATGTAATTTAATATTATGTAAATAGCCATTATATATATATCCCTCTATACTTGTAAGTTAATACTGTCTGATGATGTCTTCAGAGTCAAGACGAAACGTTACACTTATAAATAAATATTTTTTTATATGTTATTTTGTATTAAATGGCTCTTTTAAAAGCACTTTGCTGGGCTCTGATATTTATATTAAGAATTCGCTTTCCACTCGGTATATCCCTGGTCACAATGATGATTAACTTTAAAAATTCGTAGGTCGCTTGGAAATGTTCTACTATCATTAAGGTTTACTCAGCTGATTTCTCAATTTTTGTTTACAATTTACAAAGCGATCACTGTAAAATCTTGATCAGAATTGTGTCTTTGAACTTGAAGATTTCTTCCGCACATCATTTGTCTGTAAATAGATTATTGTTTTGGATAGTAACGTGATGAAGCTTGCTTTAAATCACTGGAAATCTCCGATTATATTTCATGTAAATGTGTTCCCAAGTTATTGATATAAAATATCTCTCCTTCTCGCACATGAAAGGCAAAAGACAAACAATCATAACGTCTATACTTGGGGAAAATAATCCTGCTATCAAAACGCTTGATTTCATCCTTTCCTGTCGCCTGTGGATACCACTTCCATTTCCCTTCGTTATCTCTCTTTACGACGTTGCTCTCTTGTATGTGTGGGTATTGAGAAAATTCATTCTTCCCCGCGCTTTCACTGCATACTAGAACGTTGTATTCTACTTTTGTTGTGTATGCAAAGGTTCCCAATATTCGAAACTCCATCTTCTCATCGTCAATGTAATCTTGATAATATTCAAGCAAATCGTCGATTGGATACTGAAAGTAATGGCTACATTTTTTGCCTTGTCTGTTCTTAGAATACACGCGAAATGCATAGGAGATTCCAAACTGATCTTTAATGTCATTCCTTATGTTGATATCGTGATCAAAGACATTTAAGAAACAATTTTCCATGTGATCTTGCAAATTATTGACATCATCTTCTTCAATGCGTGGAGCCCACCAACACAGATCAGCATAGACGTCCTCGTCGTTAGTCTCGTTGATCTTTTTTTCTCCTCCTATAAAGCCGTGAGAGGTAATTACACCATCCTTATTATTTGTGCAATGTACCAGATTTTTGATTGCGATTGGATATCCTTGCTGTTTGAAAGACTGCAAAATATCCAGCTCTTCTGTGCTGAGCTCGTCGAGAATTGGTTCATGGTTACCATTTGGCCATGGGTAAGGAAAAGGGCATTCGTAGTCTGATATGTAGTCGTACTCCCAATTTCAATCAAATCCTTCATTCCATTCAGGATTCTTCCACTCTTTCTGTTGTACGTGTCGTTTTGGGCAAATACGTTCTATACCGCCACTGTTGCACATACCGTCAATCCATTCTATCTGTGACATTGCCATGGCTAAACTATTTTACAATATTCAATGATCTTGTGTTGATACAAATTCCTAAACAAGTTACGTGCATCCTTAAAATATGATCCTCGAGGAGTGTGGTTGAGAGAAAATGAGAAAAGTTTATGAGCTGTAGGATGTACCAACCAATTCTTTTAAAAGCTTTCACGATGTGTTTCCACTCACACATTTAAATTTATTAATACTTGCACCGATCTAATCTCGTTTAATACAAGTTTTTTCAAGACATTTAACTCTGAATGGAAAATAATATTTTCGTATTTTCTCCCTAACTGACGATCATTGCTTAGCGCCACATGAATGTTTTTTATTGGTCTACAGAAGCGTTTATATTGACATTTGTCTACACGGAAGTAATATACGATATCATTTTCTAAGAAGTCCGATATGTTAACACACACAATGTAGTTGAATTTTTTTCAACTATAAAGTCATATGTTGGATTACATAGTTTATTTTCCTAAAATATAAAAAATACAACCCGTGCGTTGATTGGTCTTTCGTTGTGTTTGCATTAGCTTGTACAGGTCGATATGATCTGAAATAGAATTTACAAATCAATCATCAATGCTCGTTGAAATACAAACACATTTGTTTCGCATTAGTGTTGCTTTATAAAAGAAATAAAAGATTTTTTCTATGCTTGCACTGGCATACGCAAACCTCGGACATGTCTGTGAAAACTCTCCACCTGCGGTCGACCTGCACTTATCTGATCTCTAGTGCTCCCAAACGTACCTCGGTTTAGACACTAGTATCCCGAAGGTGTGAGTTCAAATCAAGTCCAAGTCACAAGTTTTTCATGTGCATATTAAAAAACCGTGTTAGGATTGATATATTATATATTAGACACCGTACGCATTTTCGCAAACGAATAGTTGGATCGAGTTGCAATGACAACAACAGAAAAATTGGATTTCATTGCGTGCTACGACTTGCCCTACTGCGAGTTTCATCTTCACTCAAACAAAACTGTTTTCGTCAAATATGCAAATCAGATTGTAGATATAGTGTTTAAAAATTAGCATATATTTCTTGAACAATTTGATGTATAAGAAAGAACCTGTTTAAATTTATAAGTTTAGTATGCGCTCTCGGTCATAATACTGTAGTTGTGTTTAAACGATATGTGGCAACGAAATATCCACAATGAACCAGCTAGTCAATGAGACAGGGAGTTGATTCAATGTGATATATTGTGATTGGTATTCACTAAAATATTGATACAAATTGTAAATGTCTATGTCACGTTTTGAAAATTTACATCTCAAACTATCCAATAACGATGGAAATCAGCTTATATGCTTTCGTTTACAATTTATTAAACAATCACTGTAAAATCCTTAACTGAATTATGGCTACAAACTTAGAGTTTTAGATACAATTAATGAATTTTCCAAATCATTGGTCTTAAATATCTCTTCTTCTGGCACATGAAATGCAAAAGACACACGATCATATATTCTATACTTGGGATAAATTTCACTGCTATCAAAACGTATAATTTCACCCCCTCCTGTCGCCTGTGGATACCACATCCATTTGCCATTGTTATCTCTCTTTACGACGTTGCTGTCTTGTATGTTTAGGTATTGAGAGAATTCCTTGCATAAAATTCATTCTTCCCTGCACTTTCACCGCATACTCTACTTTACTTGTACTATACTTTTTTCACAATAGTTGTAACTTGCTTGCAGTTTTGACTTTTTGTAATGCCTCAAAATTCTCTCACGCCTCGCTGAATGTCGGTTAGCCAGGGGGACCATGTAATCAGTCTCTTAGAAAGTATAAAAAGCCACGAGAAGGAGGTTGAGAAAACACGACAGGATGTATTTGTCAACCAAGATTAATAATAGAAATTTTTTCAGTGCGTTTTCAGCTCTCTATATTTTTTAATTCATTACAACATGCAGGGACCTATTTCATATTTGATACAAGTTTTTGTAACTCGAAAGGAAAATAGTAATTTTTAGTTTCTCTTAAGCTAGGCAAGCATTACTTTAGCGATGGGTATTTTTTCTTAATATAAGTGTTCGCTGATTGGCCGACATCAACCATGTAGATTAAGTAGTAGATCTTGTCAACTTGACTTGATATTAATATCTTGAATTGATGTTCCCGGCAACTTCAACAAGAGAAGATCTACCTGAACTTTTAGTTAAACAATAGGAGAGCTCTATATCAATAATAAGCTAATCAAATGAAGAATTTAAAAAATATTTTTTAAGTGACTGCATTCGTTACGATTGGTAACCAGCAAATCAAAATGGCATATAATGTTTTCTGAAACTCTCAACTTGAGAAAAATCTCAAGGAAAACTCAAGTTAACTCCAAATCAATCGACAAAGCATTTCGTGAGCATATAGGGATGTGTTGAATATTGGTAACACGATTAAAATCACCATAAAAATGATTAATTTCTGTCTATTGTTGATAAACGTTATGGCGATATTATATTTACCGACGACACTAATTGTAAAACGTCAAATCATTGTGTCAGTCAATTTGTACAAATGTTATAATAAATGCCCCTGATTGTGCCTTTACGCAGGCTAGCAAAGGCAATTGCGCAAGAGGAAAGAAGTATAATTTGTACTTCAAAATTTCATATCGAATGGCGACATTACTGGGGAAGTTTTATTTTAATACTTGGCGAGTTTTACCATTTAAACACCAATATCGTTTGGGATTATATAAGAAAGAGGTTTGTGCACGACATGTTGCTTCTGACTTTTAAAGATACAAATATGTTTTGTCTGAAGGGACTTGTCCAGTTGTCCTGTCAGTTAGATTACATAATTTGTCTTGAGCAAAAGATTTCTTTGCTTCGCTATCACACATCAACGCTTGCCTATCTCCATATGAGCACTCTTGTGTTTATCTACAAGTTTGGAAAACTTTCAATCTTGCCCTGTTCATTGATCTTAATCGCGTTTTCTTGATTGCATTCCGAAGTCAGACTCAGACTGTCAGGGTCCTGGAGTTGGCTACCTCACCTGTCGTGCTTGGTTTAGGTGTATGTAACTGAATTTTGAACAGCTAAAAAATTAGATTTTTTGGTTTGGGTAAAACAGGCCTCAAAATAGCTTTGCTGTAAGATGAAGTCAGTTCAATGCCTTGTCTTTTGTTGTGGTAATATTCAACCAGAAACGTTTGAAATTTATTCATATGACGTTTTAAATCAAGTATATCCTTGTGATTGGGCCTGATTGGCAATGCCTATGGATTAAAGATGAACAAAATTAAAGCATGGATGTTCTAACCCCTTCAATTATTTTACTAAATTGATAAAAACTGACCTCCCTTAGTTGATGTTAGGATACTTTTTAATCTACACATTTATAAAATGGTAGTTTATAATCATTATATAGGTTGAATGTTTGCTTTTGAAAAGCCAGAAAGCATTCTATGCCAATGTTATTGCCCGAAATGAAGAAGAAAGACGGATAGCTGAAAAGATTAAATCAAATCTCAATGCTTCAAAAATTGAAGTAGAAGACATATCAGGCATGCTTTGAATTAACCATATTTTTTTATTCCACCATAGAATACACCCTAGTGATGTAAACTGCAAAGTTGGTCTCTCACAAGTTTCTTAGACTATTGACTGCCATTGTTTTAAGATCTGCATGATTGGTAGAGGTATTTTACCAACAGGCATCTACTGTACGAGATTTAGCATTTTATTGCTTATGGCTTTAACTGTTTTCATCAAATGTAAAAATCTTATAGTTTTTCTACACAAGATTACTTAAGAGTTTGGACTCTGAGACTTGACTCAACTTGTCCCCTCTCAAAACTGTCAGGCAATGTACCTGACCTTTTAGGGGGGTCTTGAAGGGAGCTAGGCATTTAACATACTTTTTTACATTTGAATCTACAGTATGTTTGGACAGCAGTTTCAATGAAAAGGTTTGTAACACTACTTCTGCACTTTAGGTGGCTGTGGTTCCATGTACAGAATATTAGTGGAGTCGTCAGAATTTGAGGGAAAGCGCACCATACAACAACACAGAATTATAAATGATGTAAGTCTATGTTTTTAAAACTTGTTTTTGGCTGGCTTTTCTTTCGTTATTATCTTTCCAGTAGAATATAAAAATCATTGTTCATCAAGGCATTTTATACAGCTGTATTGCAGTCTGTTTGGGATGGTCAGTTCTCACAAAAACTGACTTTGCACTATCTTTAAATTGTGTTTCATGAAGTATTGAGGAAATACTGATGGGAAAGTGTGCCCTGAATCTGATTGGTTGAACAATCTTATAATATTTAAGTTATAGCAGTTATACTTGCCAGGGGTCTCTTTTCACTTTGGTTGCCTGCACCAATTGATCAGTTCATTATAATACCTGTTCAAATGTGAGCTGGGATTATTGTTTAACATGATAGTCAGCTCTGCTGCTGTAGCCATAGGACTAGTTAATGTTGATATTTTTATACTTATTTTCAAGCCATGCAAAATTTTTACTTGCTTCTTCTCTTGCTTACCCATTTCGTTTTCTCAAGTTTCTTTTCTCCTCACCTTTTCTACTTAAGACAAAACTAGAGCTTAAAACAAACTTTTTCCTTAGATATTGAAAGATGATGTAAAAGACATGCACGGACTGACATTGCAAACATCTTCTACGAAATAGCTCGCCGCAAACAGTTGGATGCTAGAGAATAAGTCTCAAGCAGGGGCGGGTTGAGACTACGTCACATTCAGCACGCGACGTAGTTAAATTCTTCACAGCAGAAGAAAAAATTAATCAAATTTTAAATGCCCCTAGTTGAAGGTAAAAACAATTTGCCGCATGTGGAATGAAGTCCGTTTTGTCGAAAGGACCAAGAGCATTTTTCTATTCGTCTTTTGCAGGTTCGAGTCTCGTCTTGGCATGGTGTAGTTTGTTTCGTTGTGTGAATAATGATCATGAATTCTTTATCCGAAAATTAAATAATTTTTTTGTGTCCTCACAACGAAAGCATTAGAAAAATAAACATATTGTCAGGGTTAAATAGTATTATGAGAAAATAGTGCAACAACTTGCATTCACTGAGCAATGTTATTGTTTCCAGGACCTAGATTAACCATGGGATTAAGGGATCAAGTGGCTAAAAATACTTATATTTCACTTGCGGGAGAAATACCCATAGCTAACCCGCACAGAGTCAGCACGCCTTAAATTGTGCTGAATTTGGAGACTAAAATCTGTCTCTTGATTGGTTTATTGCCGTTGTGCTGACTAACGAGCCACCGTTTTTGCTGAAATGTTCCAGCGGTGTTGTGCGAAATTCAGCACAGATTGAGATTGTTGATAGCTGATGTTTTATCTTTGAGCTTCAAAACCAACAATATTAATGAGAAGCATGGCATCTTTCACAGACCGAGTCGAAGATGCTTTTACGAGGAAAGATGAGACTTTTATGGCTCAACTCTACGGAGAGATGTTGGATTGCCTGAAAGTCAAAAGCATTGTTACCAGCGATAGTTTGTTGGATCGTCTCGGTGTTGATATTTTCCGAAATATCAATGCCGAATTTTACATACCGCAGAGTGCCAAGACAAAGAACACAAATTTGGTAGCCTTAAGGTTAGAAAACTTATGACATGTTATGCATGCATGCTTACACAAGAATATATAAGCAAATATGAATTGACTTGATGTGATGCCCGATGGATTTGTCATTTGTGTTTTATTTATGTGATTCAAAACAAAACAAATTTTCGAATTTCGATCATATTTAAAACGTTTCTATTGATTTATTTCTTGATGTGCTCATTAGTGTACTTAAGATAACATATACAAAAATAAACTGAAGCATGATATTTGAAATTTGCATAACATTATTTCAGATCTGCTACAAATGGCAACTGCCTCTATAGTTCATTGTCAATTCTGCTTGTTGGTGACAACTTTGTGGTGACTATTTTGAGGCTGATGACCTCTATAGAATTATTTTTATTTGCTGATTATTATTTTGCTGATTATAATAATCTTTTTGAAACTCAGCATAACAAACACTTTGATCCTATCTCAAGCATGGTGGCCATGTCAGTCTCTTCTGAAGCTTTTGATAGTGCTGGAAGTGGTTGTTCTGTTGCTAAACTGGTCAGGGCAGAAGCTGTGTTAAATGCAAAAGATATGTCATGGACTGCGTTTGTTTGTTTGTTGGCACTCTCTTCAGTTACATCCTGTAGCATTTTTTCTTATTATCCTGACATATACTCTGGTGCTTATAAAGGGAATTTAATATTTAACCAAAGAATTGAACCTCAAATTCTATCTAGGGCTTGTGCTTCTACTAGTAATTATTTGTGAGTTTTGTTTAGCTTTGAAGGCTTAGCTCCTCAAGCAACTGCATTCAAACACAGTCATTATGTGCCTTTGATACTTAGTGGGAAGGGAACTAAAAGAAAGGGAAGTAGTCACTTGTCACAAGCTAAAAAGCCCAGTATACAAACAAAGTTGAGGTTTACACCTTCTGGTCCTACTCAGACAACCATGACAACTAAGGCTCATCCATATGGTATATCTCACAGGTAAATGTCCCAGGTTTTGAGAACATAAAAGTATTGTTAAAGATCTTAAGTACTATTCCAGTCACTTCTTGTGAGTGTGAGAGATCGTTCTCTGCTTTGCGAAGATTAAAGAACTATACAAGAAGTACTATGGCTGCTGACAGGTTAAATGGTCTTGCTTTATTGTATATTAATCAGGACATTAATTCAGATATAGAAAAGAATATAGATCTTTTTGCAAAAGACAAAAGAAGAATTGACTAGCTTTCTAGTAAGGAGTGAAAGTTTTTGATGCCTTTTTAAACTCTTGACTGTAAAGATGACTGCTGCTAACCTCATTCAATATAAACACAAGCAATCGCTCTCAGGACTTTACTTCCCTGAACAATGGACATCTACAAACATTTTTTGATTTTTTTTGTTGGCAACTTCATTTGATAAATTGACATAAAATGTCAGAAGCCCTCAAAGCATATTTTACTGCGAGTTTCCTAGGCATGCTGATGAGCTCTGATATTGAACGAAATTATCATAAATCAATGATTTATGAGCAAGAGTTTTAGCTTTCCAACTGTAAAACGCAGGAAATAGCGTTTTCTGCAATCCAATTTTAAAATTTTACCGGGGACATGCTTCTGGACCCCATAGAAAAGTTGCGCTAACGGTGCGACATTGTGCCTAAGTTCATATACGAAGCTGGATCCGCCCCTGGTCTCAAGGTCATGCTTAGCTCGCTTAGCGCTTATGGTTTCACACCCGAAGTTTCGTATGAAGTGTACTTATTTGCATAAAGCAAAATACGAAAGCCGCTGTTTTTAGAATCCCCAAAATGAAGTTAACCAAGCGCGCAAAGCATGACTTTAAGACTCATAATTTTGTACTTGAACAGTAAAAAGGGTTTGCCCTAAAGGCTCTCCGAAACTCTCATATATTCTTTGGCTGTGTTAGTCAGAAATAAGAAAAAGGAGAGCGATGCATCGAAGCTCAAACGAATGTTCGAAAAAGCTCTGAAGGTCCTAGTACATCTCACTTGGCACGCCATTGTCATGTCATGTCATGTGTTAATAACTAAATGTATCTTTTCACAAAATATTGATGAAATGTTTTCCAAAGATTGATATTTATTTAGAAAATGTTTGCCACCCTTTTTACTCTCACTAATTAGTAATACCAAATTTTACCAATCACAAATCACGATATAAACTAAAAGCTCCATAATTTGAGTGTCTGATATGTTATCCTTTACGCATGCGTGTGTTTGTGCGTGAAAAGCATGCGACAAAACAAATAGCTTTGGAGGCCAATATGTCACTGCACCCTTTCTCCTACACAGATCTCTATGATATTCTAACAAAAGACTTAAGTTTGATTTTAAAATAAAAATGTTGTCAAAAAGTATAAGTTGCCAAAGTCAACAAAGATAAAATCCAAGGACCGTGTAAAGTTCACCAAATGTTAACGTCATATCTCTTCCAATTCTTTTTGAATTGTGGTCGCTCGTGTTTTGTGTACGGCGCTTACTCAGATCAGCAAGGTTCTTCTGAGGATATTTGGTATGCAGCAGCGTAGACCGTGATGGCATTTTCTTGACTTAACAAGTGCTCCATTGTAACATGAAGTTGCACAGTGTCCAATTACTTCCATCTCGTTATCCATAGGACTGTAGCATGTTGTACAATCCGCTGGCCAAGCCTGCTCACCTAACAGCAGGAGCAGAAGAAACCAGATCCTCTTGTCCATTGTGCGAGCTTTCAAAGTCTTATCTGCGAGGGAAAAACGATGATTTTCAATAATTGTATATCGTTCGGGTGTTCATAATGAGCAGCGAGGCGAGCGAGCTTTCTTGCTGTCCAAGGCATTCGACATTGGAAAAGTTTATGTCTTAAATGGCATTTTGGCAGCTGCGAAGGCTATCAGAATGAGCGATGAAATAATTGTCAGCAATATGCATTTGCATTTAATCGCGATTTGCATGCAAAAGCTTGCACGAAATCGAGGCGACTTGTCAACGTGAAGCCCAACGTGGTGTTTGTTTTTATCAAGGCACGCTATAATTTTTTTTACGGTATGTGTTCCTGTGGATGAATGCCCAATTGCTTTCAAGAGCTCTTGGGAAGTGGAAAAGGATATGGGTTTTAAATTATTTTTCCCTATTTCATGCAAATATTACCAAATGCAGACTCTGCTTGCCTTAATTTTTCAACTTTTCAAGTCTCATCTCATGAAATTTGTAAAAATTTATTCACACGCAGTTTGAGTCGTTTAAAAATATGGTCATCGCTCTCGATATGTTTAGAGAAATCAAGCACTTATTTATTGTCAATGTATGGATAGCTATGGACATCTATGGACATCTACAGAATACAAATAACTAAAGCTTATCTCCCTCAGATAGGGTTAAAGTAACATCTCATTTTTTCAAAAATTCTATTACATTGATTGTGTATTCGATAAATATTGGATGAATTTGTAATTTTCCTGAGCACCTCCCTATTTTTCATTTCACATTTAACTATGTCGCTCTTATTTCACCGTTCATTTCGTTTTGATGCATTGAAAATACGTCAATTCAATAAAACTGAACTCGCACAAATTAATCTTACACTCGGATTAAGTTTAGATTGATCGTCGAATGCACGAACTTAATTATTTAAGTAATTTCAAAATCGGCAACAATCCCAAAAACTCCAAGCTTTTAGCTCAAATTGCGTTGATGATGGCAAATTTTACGACATTTGAGATGTCCCAAGAGGTACAAGGTACAAGCATGTTACAAATAATCTCTTGATTGCTCAAATAATTAGCAACATGTGTGAGAAGATGTTTGCACGAATTATCGAAAGATTCCGTAAAGCATTATCAGATTGGACTACTGCTGCTGTACCGGTTGCTACACTGGCTTTTCGTGCATGTAACACAGTCTTTTACAGCAATTGTTTTAACCGTTTTGTAAGTATGAAGTTTTTAAGCACGCTGGTCGTGCAAAATCAATGCTGTGACGTCCTTTGTGCGGACATCAATGAGCGTCATGTAAATTGCAGAATACATTACTAAACATTACCTTGCTTCGTAAGAAAACTACTTACAATGAAGATTTCTTCTTTTTCTCGAGTTACTTGTCCAGCCGAGTGTCAAGTGAACTCTCTACTTGAGCGGTCGGTAAGCGTATACCGTGTGTCCACCGTTACTTCTGCATCCAATATAAATGTGAAACTCCCACATTGCAATAATTCCATTCATCTTTCGACGTCAATTTAAATTTGAAACTCCAATCAGAGGTTGCAATTACATATTAATACTTTGATGACTCGCCGGCCTTACGTGTTGCGTTTGCAAGTTTAAGAATGCTTTCGAAAGTTGGAAGAATCGAATCTAGAATTCTCGATTTTTCATTAATTTTTCTTTCAAGTTTTTTTGCGGGAACATATTTTGAGATTATGAAATTTGAAAAAAAATCAGTCGAGCACAGCTGGATACATGAATAAACACCCACTTCCAAAAACGTACAAGTGCCACCTCATTGTGTCGAATTTAATTTTTTGTGAATGTTTATAATGCTAGCAACAAAACTCTGTGGGTGTGTTAAAGAATTTAGGCACCAATTATTTTTTAATTAGCATAGGAAAATATCCATCTTGTAGTATAATTATCAATGAATATCTGTCCCGTGTGCGTCATGTTTGTTTCATTTGCGTTTGACGTGTCGTAGTCGTGCCGAATAAGAATTTAAATTAATCATGGAAGGCCGGTGCTGTTAGACCTCACCTGTAAACTTTCCATGACAAAGATTCCCTTCCCACCAAGAATTGTACTTAAAAATGTTGTTTTAGTCGGGTTTGCAATTGTCAATGTGAAGTAAAGAGTAAATCACAATGGGTATGCATTAATTAGATCAATATATACTGAGGATTAATCATTACGCATTCGAAAAAAAGTTGCAGAAAATGAATGATCGTACTAGGTGGAAGATCGACGTTTATTATAATACCAAAGTCAACAACACGCAATGAAGAAATGAGAAGCGTAAGATTGTTTTTCTATCCTTAATACCTTCGCCATTGATGGATCATGTGTTGTGTGAATATGTCTGCGTGACGATTTTAATGTCGATGTCTGACTCCGCGGGACAGGTCAAAAGCTACCCGAACACAAACATTTGCGTTTCCCGTTTGTGCTTTGCATTCTTCGTAGAAAAAGAAGCCATGTAAACTGCGAGAGTGTTGAAAAAAAAGGAAACGACACAAACATTTTGAAATGAAGAAATTTTTGGCTTTGCAATATATAATTACCAGGCTGCCAGCATGTCATGGGTGTAATATGCCACGTGACTGTAACCATGAACCATTGTCTAGGATTAAAGAATGATGTCTCAATAATTAATTAAATACAATATTACACAAAAATGCCCCATTTAAATAAGATCAAGACTTGACTGCGTTAATTTAGGAAGATGAAGACGATTTAAGCTATTACGGATCACCCGTTCAACAACCTGATCATGAAGAACAGGCCGCACTGCAAAGTACAAACTGCTAAAATCAACATTGATTCGTACATCGATGGACAAACGTGCGCAAGGATTGTTTTCTGGCAATCAAACATGACTACATCTTTATTCAATTCATACTTGTTAATTTTTCATTTCTTGGCCGACCGTCGATTTACCAGACTTAGCAGTTGAAGTAGACTTATCACTGCATTGACAACCTAATGTAATGTAGCCAGTGAGTGTATCGCCATTTTGGGGTGCCTCTGAACTGGCTGCCTGTGCATGGCTAAGCGCGCAAAGCATTACCGTGTAACTTATTCTTTAATGGATCAGCTTTTTCTGTCACGACTGGCCCTTCAAAGGGGCGGTAGCTACAACGTTGATTGGGGGGTGCATATTCATTTCAAAAAATTCAGTAGGGCACAACTGTATATATGATAATGCACACCCCTCCTCCTCCAATTAACGTTCTAGCTACGCCTCTGGACACAGTTACACAAATATTTTTATTGTTGAAGGTGAAAACTGTCATGACTTTTCCTTCGTATGTTCTTTGGCTTTTCAGTGGCGCTGGATTCTTGTCGCATTGTATCCTAATTGGTCGCCTGTTCCAGTGCGTTCATAAACTTATCTATAAAAGACGATACGACAATTTAATAGGCTATAACTTTCAACGCGCCTATAAAACAGTTGTAATTCCGTCGTCTTAATCTATATAGTAGCGAGCCTAAGCAAAGACTACGAGTACGAATACGAATTACGTCATTTTGGCGCGAAAACATTGCTGTGACAACAAAAACATGTAACCGTCATCAATCTGAGTACGATGAGTACAATTTAATAATTCAAGAAGTTCCCTAATAGTGTGCAAATCAACCATTGTTTGAATTTGCTCTTCCGAACATAACGAAGTACTTTTTGGGCGCTACGCCATACTAAATAGCGTTGTGGTTGAGAAATCCTGCTCAGAAACGCACCCCCCTGTATAAATTAGAGCACTCTTGAATTATTAAAATTAGCCAAATGTAACACGTGAACACCGCGTGCCATTTTTCAAATGTTTTGTGCGTGCTGTTTTCGAATTTGTTAAGTGTTTCTTCCCATTGGAATTGTTAACTTAATATTATGTCTGAGCCACTTCGTTTTAAATTTATGTTTGTCAAATGTTTAGTGGGAGCGTTTGAATTTTTTTATCATTGGGTTCGAACATAAATTTAATATTTGAATGCATGAACAAACTTTCGTAATATTGACTGATTCGGACAACCATAACACGTGGTAGAGCTGGTAAGAGCACCCTGAATTTGACTTCCCCATCCTTGGATAGTGACGGAATACATGAATATGCAACTGGCCGTGGCATATGGATAACGCTTTCTCTTTGTTTCGATTAGAATTTTTAGATGGTGTTATCCATAAAAAGAATGGTCAATTCTTAACAAGCATTGATTCGTCGCCTACAAAAGGATTACGGGTTTATAATTTATCTTTGTTTTAAGCGTCATGACGTCATCTACAAATTTAGAGATGTGATGAACATTTGTTTTTTTTGTTTTTGTTGTTGAGGATCGCGTGCATTTCACGTGATTGACACTTTGGGATTATTACAGAAGGGGGAATTGTTGTTAACATTATAGATTCGAGATGTTGTTATTGAATTGTGAAGTAGTTTTCTTAGAGACGACTTCTTTGTATGATGAAAGTTCAAAATTAAATCATTTGAACTAACGTCAATGTCAAAATTATGTGCTCGAGATAAATATAACGGTTTTATCGTGCAACGTGCATTACAAGAGATGACGTTAGCTTTTCTTACTATTAACTGTTGCATGATTTTTAATTCTTATTTAGCTGACGTTAACACCTGATGAGTAGTCTGCTGAATGCCTAGTAGCCAGCTTTAGCAAGGACTACGAGTACGACTACGGGTATGAATTACGTCATTTTGGCGCAAAAACATTGTTGCGACAACAACAACACGTAGCCGTCAATCAATCTGAGTACCATGTTTTGTAAAAAATTCGTAGTCGCGACTACGATGTCTTTTCACTAAGAAAGAAAGTAGTTATTTTTTCATTGTGTAAGAATTTAGTTTATAGTACTATTTTAAGTATCCGGTTTTTTAGAACCGTTTTTGAGCGCAGATGTACATTTAAAAGGAAAATATGACCTTGAAAACTTTCATGTATTTTGTACTCAAAGTGAACGGTAAACAAACAATAAAATAGCATAAATATATCGTACATAAAATTTAAAACAGTGAAGATTTTTCACTCTAAAGAGTCATATGTTCTCCCAAAACCAGTATTACCGATTACTTGATATCGTTATTGACAAATAGAGCCGTAGCTGCTTCGCAAACGTCGGTGTTCTTCACAATAAAAAGGCTCGTTCTGTTGTTTCCAGCTAAACCTCTCTTTTGACGAAGGGACAATGACAACAAACTTCCTCGTGCTATTCCATAACACGGTCAAACTTCGTACTCGTTGTCGTAGTCGTACTCTTGCTAAAGCTCTCTAGTGTCTTTCCAGTGCTGTAGAAGTTGGGGGGCCCTTCTACCTTTGAAATGGGTAATTTTAAAAGGGCACTATTAACAAAAACGTCAAGAGAGCCCCCCATCTGATAAATTTAGTTCTACAGCACTGTGTCTTTCAACTTTAAAACAGTTCTTTTATAACTATTGAGTTAGTGTTCTATTTTTAAACATTCTTTTAAGGACTATTATATTGTTATTTCGACCTTTCACCATGGTATTTACTATTTTTCAATGAAAAAAATTTAGAATTTTATTATAAGGATAAAGTCCCTATTTTACATTACAAAACCTTTTCGACTAAATTGTGTAATATGTGCTCTATATCCGGCTATGTTTTGTTCGAACGAAATATGCATTTAGATGCGAACCGATAAATATGTTAAATGAAAGCGAATAATAATTGAGGCCCTTCATTGTTTCAATCTATGAATTTTTATTGAATTTTTCTAATACTTGACATACGTCAGAACTTAGAAATCTCTTTCGTTTAGAATTAAACGAATTACGGATACCATGCGATGTCCACCAAAACCGTTTTATGTGGCTTTGGCCTACGATTTACTGAACGATTACCGTAATATATCTTTAACATACTTTAGAATGGGGGTGATGTTTGTACTAAATTTGGCTGTAAGTAAAGCGTCGTGAGTAGGCTTTTGTGAATTATGCAATTGGTAATTTCTTGACTTTATCTTTCACACATTCTGTTTTAAATATCTCTCCTTTTTGCACATGAAATGCAAAAGATACACGATCATAACGTCTGTACTCTGGATCAGTTTGGTAGGGGTGAAAACGCTTGATTTCGGTTCCTGTAGCCTGTGGATACCACCGAAATTTGCCTTCTTTATCTCTCGTTATAACGTTGCTCTCTTGCGGTACGAGCGGGTATTCAGCAAATTCATCTTTCCCTGCGCTTCCACTGCAAACGAGAACGTTGTACTCTACTTTTTTTTTGTATGCAAAAGTTCCCAATATTCTAAATTCCATCTTTTCATCGCCAATATGGTCTTGATAGGATTTAAGCAGCTCGTCGATTGAGTATTCAAAATAACATTCACATTCATGCCCTTGTTTGCGATAAGAATAAAGAAGAAACAATCGGATTTTCCAAACTGCTCTTTAATATCATTTATGTTGTTGATTTGATCATCGGTAAATTGCGAGAAATACCCTTGCATTTGATTTTGCAGATTTTCGCCGACATCATTGCTGAATCTTGGACTCCACCAAGACAAATAAGCTTTTTGCGTACTATTGATCTTCTTCTCGCCGCCTTTAAAGCCTTTATCTAAAATTATTCCATTCATGTTAGGAAATGGTGTGCAATGAACCAGAATGTTGATTAGGATTGGATCTCTTTGCTGTTTAGCAGCCCGCAATTTTCTTTTTTTGTCAGGCTGAGATTGGGCTCGTGTCTTCTTTTGAGTAAGGAAAAGGACATTCGTAATCTGAGATGTAGTCATAGTGGTTAGGAAATTCACAATTCCATTCTGGTTTCCATTCGTGTTGTTGCACATGTCTTCCTGGGAAAATAAGTTCTTTACCTCGATTTGCCACTCCCTCTATCCATAGTATCTCTGGCCCCGCCATGACTGAACTGTTTCTGAATTTTCTAGTGTGAATAAAAATGCAAAACATGTTATTTTCTTTCCCAAAACATAATCTTGGAGTGAGGTTGAGATTAACTGGGTTGTTGTACTAACCAATTATTTTAACAGTTTTTCAAGTGTTCTTCAACTCTTGCATTTTAAAGTCGAAACTATATGCAGCCGCCTGTTTCTTATTTTATAGAAGTAAGCTTTTTATCACATTTAATCCCAAAAAAATGTTAGTTTTTTAATTTATCCCTGACTTTACGCTAAGCCTTGCTTAGCTAAGGTCAAACAGCATCAACAGCAGTCTTGGCTTCTGTTAAAACGTAAGTGATTTATGCTATATTGCAGTTAAATGTAAGGAGTCTATAGCTTATAAACATCTTTAGGCATTAAAGTACGCAGGGCAGTTATTAGAAAATAGTGTGTGTGTGTTTTGGGGGGGAGGGGTTGTCTTTGTTATACGGTTGGTTTTTTTGTTGTGTTTGTACTTAATAGAAAAAGCCCATTGTGTAAGACGTGCCCGGTAACAGGTGTACACAGTGAAATAAGAGCCTTCTGTTTAATGTGGGCGTGCTGTTTAGTTTCAATGTTTCTTGTTGCTACTACTAACACCATTATTATCATTTACACCAACACGTAAAAGTTGTGGGAAATTCATGTAACGATGTTATTATACAGACGTTCCAATTTTAGAATTACTTTAAGAATACTTCTAGCTTTATAGAAACATTGATTAAATATCGTCGTCAATGACGTGGATAAATGAATTTTTACTCTTCATTTGTCTTTGTTACGCTGGCATTTTTAGGTTAAAATTCACCTAGTTCCTGACTGAAATTCATTGCTTATG